TTACTCAGCAGACGTGCTCCCGCATGGAGCACACCGGAGCTGTTTGATCTGCTGAGTATACAGAGAGAGAAGGTTGTGCAGTTGCAGCTTTGCACCAGCTGTAGGAATTTCAATACCTATGGGCTGATTGCTGGTGGCATGCAAGAGAAGGGGCACGAAAGGGACGAGCAGCAGTGTCGTGCTAAAATCAAGGCGCTGAGGCAGGCGTACCAGAGGGCAAGGGAGGCCAACTGTCGCTCTGGTGAGGAGCCGAAGACATGCTGCTTCTATTAGTAGCTGCATACCATCTTCAGCAGTGACTTCCCCACCAAGAGGCCCGTGGATACTTAACAGGGACTGGAGGAAGCAGCCCGTGGACTCAACCCTAATGAGGAAGTGGTGGACGAGGTGGAGGACCTGGAGGATGATGTGGAGCCCACGGCAGGCTTATCTGGTGGCGTGGAGAGTCAGGACCTCTTTTCCACTCCAGAGGGGTCTAGCCAGTCCCTGCACTCTGGAGGCAGGAGAGGGGAGCTTTGGTAAGTGTGCATTTTGCTTTGATATTGCACAGTGAGAGGAGATTGAGCTCTCATGTACTTCGTTATATGGTAGAAGAGGGATAAGAGACAGAAATTAGTAACAGAGCCTGTCCATCTAGGCAGTGGAGCCATGGTGGAAAATTTTGTTAATGTACATGGGGATGTCTGAGGAATCCTCCATAGTGATCTCTAGGAAACTTTCCTGTAGGTATTCTGCAATCCTCTGCCGAAGGCTCCTTGGGAGAGCTGCCTTGTTTCTGCCCCCACTGTAGGAAACTTTGCCGCGCCACCCAGCAATTATTTCTGCAGGGACTAGAGTGGCACACAGGTGAGCAGTACACGGAGTCAGTCTGAAGCCACACGCATGCAGGAGATGCTCCCTTACATCTTGGATTGCCCTTAGGAGAGAGAGATCAGGTTTGATTACCCTAGCCTGTGGAAAAAGGATACCGGTATTCTGAATAGGCTCTCTAGTCATTTAGTGCCCCCCTTCCCAAACCACTGTTTGTCCCCTTGCCAATTGCCCCTTTCTCTGCCAACTAACCATAATTGAGACTTGTGGAGACCTGTGTGCTAGCAGAGGGACAGTGAGAAATAGGTGTTATTTTTGTGATTCATAGCTGTGAGTGCACTTGCAATATTATCTCTTTTCATTGTTTGTTTGCTTTCTGCAGATGTGCCTTTGAGAACACTCCTCTATACCGGCAGAGCACCTCCATCAGATAAAGTGCCAACCCAGAAGGAGTATGTGTTTGGCCAAGCGCTGCAGTCAACAGTTTCAGCACAGAGTGAAACTAGAGCATGGAGGGAGACAATGAAAGACTGAGGGCTGGGTAGACAGGAAAGGACATAGGGGCCGGGGCGGATGACAAAGCATCTCAAGGACCAGACAGAGATGTTGAAGTCCCTCATTAGCCTGCAATCACAACAAATCTGTGCCCGACTCCCCCTTCAGCCACTACAGAACTCCTGTCCATGCCCTTCCCAAACTCCCCCACTGCATTCATTGTGTGTTCCCAGTCCCGCACAGTACCTGTGCACTCCACGTCTGGAGTTTACCAATGAAAGCTGGAGTTAAACCCAGCTGTGAGAGCCCTAACCGTGAGACTGTTCTTTGTCATGTCCCCTGTTTGACCAAACATTTGTTTGATCCTGTTATTAAACTTGAGTCTTTTTGAAATTAAATGTCTTTATTTGTGAAATGCATAGATAAATACGTAAATCATTCAGTGCTGACATTGAAACACATTGGCTATAGGTAAAAGTATGTGCTCCTTGCAATTAATGTTCAAGAAGCAAGCATGACCCAGGTAATTCACGTTGCCTGGCTGAATGCATTCTATATGGACACATTACTGGGAATTGTTGTCAAAATGCTCCTTCGAAGCACCCCTGATTTGAATAACCTCCCGCTATGCCCTTCTAATTGCCCCTGTATTGGATGCTCAAAATCAGCAGCCAGCTGATCAGCCTCATAGCACACCCCTGGGGAAACTTTCCCCCTTTGATTCGCAAATATTATAGAGTACAGCAGGCCACAATGACTATCGCAATATTTTCCTCACAGAGGTCTAGCCGGCCAAAAAGACAATACCAGCAACCTTTTAATCGGTCAAAGGCACATTCAATGGTCATTTGGCACCTGCTTGTTGTTGAAGTGCTCCTTGCTGCTGTCTAGGTTCCCAGTGGTAAGGCTTCATGAGCCTCGGGAGCAAGGGATATGTGGGGTCTCCAAGGATTGCTGTGGGCATTTGCATGTTCCCCATTGGAATCTTCTGGTCTGGAAAGAAAGTCCCTGTTTGCAGCTTTCTATACAGGCCAGTGTTCCAAAAGATGTGTGTATCATGCACCTTCCCTGATCACCTGGCATTAATGTCAGTGAAACGGCCTCAGTGATCCACGAGTGCCTGCAAGACCATGGAGAAGTAGCCCTTTTGGTTGATGTACTCCATTGCAAGATGGTTGGGATATGTGTTCTATCTCTCCCACTGTTGCAGTTAGGTAATCGCATTGCCTCAAAGCAGTGTTATTTTCTGGACATTACCGAGAGTCTCAGTCCTTCGTAGCAGGAGGTGATTAATGGCCCTGTACACTTGCATCACTGCAGCCCCCATGGTGGACTTTCTAACTCCAAACTGATTCACGACTGACTGGTAGCAGACTGGAGTTGCCAGCTTCCACACATGGATCGCCACTCACTTTTCCACAGTGAGGGCAGCTCTCATTCTGGTGTCCTTGCACTGCAGCGCTGGGGCGAGCACCGCACGGTTCCAGGAAGGTGGCTTTGCACATCTGAAAGTTCTACAGCCACTGCTTCTCATCCCATACATGCACCATGATGCAATGCCACTGCTCAGTGCTTGTTTCCTAAATCCAGTGCTGGTTGTCCACTATGGCAAGCTGGTCCATGAATGTCAGCAGCAATAATGAATGATTCATTTCCATGGCAGGCAGCAGGGTGGGCATCTGTTTCACAGCTCATGAAATGCTGTAGGACCAGCCGCGTTGTGTTCATAACACTTATCACCACAATGGTCAGCAGCTCAGGATCCATGCTGACAGGCAGAGTTGGAGGTCTATTGAAAAACAGCGTGAAACAAAGAAGGAATCCATGGAATGATGGGACGGAAAGAACTGCATCACGGGGCAGCAAGCACATTCCAGTGATGCACTGCCATCTGTTTGCAGAGCTCCCAGCAGCAGAGGGTGACAGAGGGTAGCGAGTTGCACAGTGGGCTAGCTACCCACAATTCAACACTTTCTCTGTCAATGCAAGAGCAACCACTGTAGACGTGCTCAGCTGACACAAGGAGCATTGTGTGGACATGCTCCACTGATGTTATTAAAGTGATTTATGATTGTTGACAGAACTTAAGTTGATTTAACGCTGTAGTGTAGTTGTGGCCTCAGTTACCTTTTGAAGTGCTGTGCCTTAGTTGATGATAAATCTTTGCTTGTTTTTAATTGCTTGGAATAAATATGTCTAAATCTCAGATTAAATGTATTTAAACACGAGTTAAAATGGGTGAAGACAATAAGGACAAATCCCATCCATTACATTTTATTTATTTTTGTTTAGCTTAGACTTTGTACTGTAAAATCGTCTTGGTTTGAAATGTCAGGAGAAAGGTAGCGCTCATTACCGCCCCCCCCAACCCCACAGCCCCTTTATTGACTCTCCTAAATGCTTTTCTTTTTGTGCATGAGGAGGGCTGGACTCGGCACTCTGGAACTCTGTGGCTGGTTGGCTTGAGGAACTTGAATGAGTGACACAGGATACCCTCTGCTTGTGGACTGAGTATGGCCGTCGCTTTGCTCTTGGTCCTTGTTGGCCTTAATGCTCAGGAGCCAAAGCTGGAGAGTGCGTATTGCCTTGATAGTGGCCAGAACAGCCCTTGTGGAATAGAACTTGAGGTTTCATTTAAATTGATTCTAAAATGATTGAGTTAAGATTTATTATTACTACAGATGTACACTTCAACAGATTTCCATTTTGACAGTAAATATGCTAAAGATGTTTAGGATGTTTGTCGGATACTCTAAATGCAGTAGAACCCCAAATTTATAAACAGCAATCATAATGAACAACCAGTTAAGTGAACCATTTTTATCCCCCAAAGAAAAAATCAATGATTTATTTCACTAGTTACTACAGGACACTACAGTACAGTATGTACCTACAGTACTGTATGACAAGACTTGGAGGGATTCGATTTTTATCGATAAATATTGGTAAACATTGATTTCACGATATACAAACTGCTGAAAAAGTATTCCATCAATAATAGAAAAGTGCAGATTGGTAAAGTAAGAAATGTTCCTTGAGAACTTATTAAAGTTTATTTAAGGATATTTACTTTGTATATTTTGACGTGTGATGTTGACAATTCATGATTTTTAACAAATAAAAAGCTTTAACTTGTTGAATCTCAACATTTGCTGTCATTAAATAATTGTCTGATCTTTCTCCATTGTCTGAATGCCTCCCGTAAGTTCCAGCAACTGTGAAAATTTCAATAAATTAAAAAAAATGCTCAAAATTGAACTTTGATATTGAAATTATAAAATAAAATAAAATTGAATTCTGCCAAGCCTATGTATGATCGTAATATGCACATGCATACATTTTTTACCATATATGTACATTATCATTGAACGAGTAAATTAACTTTTGCACCTTATCTACTACAACTAACTTTGAAAAGCTCAATATTTTGATGTTTTTAATGTTATGAACTTTAGTCCCCAAATGGTTCATAAAATAGGAATTCTACGGTATTAACTAGTAATTGTAAGTACCTTGCTTTCCCATGAAAATGAGCATGCTGTCAATTACTGTGGTTACTTTTGATAAAAACAAATCTTACTTTTTTGAATAGATTATTTTACTAATAAATTGCATTAACATACTTTTGATAGTAATCTATTTTAATAACTTTGGGAGAATTGGTTTTTTCCTTAATTTAAAATTTATTCTTTTAGGTGGACATTCCATCTGTTATAACAAAGAAAATGCTAAAGGCAGCAATGAAACACATAGAAGTCATAGTTAAAGCCAGGCAGAAAGGTACTGTGAAACATTTGTATGTATGTTAATGTTTTGTAGATTTAAAATGGTTTGTAAGTTTAAAATGCTAAGCCTAAAACTTTTGATGCTTCACATTTGCCAGTACTTTGGCTAATCTGTTCATTCTCAAATCTACTGTTGCCTTCATTTTTTAAAAAACTCCATCACTCCGTCTGCTGTGGTGCTTGTCTGGGGATAGAGGGCCAAACCTGGGCAAGGACTGAATGCAGACAGTTTTTGTTCGATTTAGCAGAACATAAGAATGGCCATGCTGGGTCAGACTAAAGGTCCATCCAGCCCAGTATCCTGTCTACCAACAGTGGCCAATGCCGAGTGCCCCAGAAGGAGTGAACCTAACAGGTAATGATCAAGTGATCTCTCTCCTGCCATCCATCTCCACTCTGTGACAAACAGAGGCTACGGACACCATTCCTTGCCCATCCTGGCTAATAGCCATTAATGGACTTAACGTCCATGAATTTATCCAGTTCTCTCTTAAACCCTGTTATAGTCCTAGCCTTCACAACTTTCTCAGGCAGGGAGTTCCACAGGTTGACACTGCACTGAGTGAAGAACTTCCTTTTATTTGTTTTAAACCTGCTACCCATTAATTTCATTTGGTGGCCCCTAGTTCTTATATTATGGGAACAAGTAAATAACTTTTACTCATTCACTTTCTCCACACCACTCATGATTTTATATACCTCTATCATATCCCCCCTGAGTCTCCTCTCTTCCAAGCTGAAAAGTCCTAGCCTCTTTAATCTCTCCTCATATGGGACCCGTTCCAAATGCCTAATCATTTTGGTTGCCCTTTTCTGAACCTTTTCCAATGCCAGTATATCTTTTTTGAGATGAGGGGACCACATCTGTCCACAGTATTCAAGATGTGGGTGTACCATGGATTTATATAAGGGCAATAAGATATTCTCTGTCCCTTTTTAAATGATTCCTAACATCCCGTTTTCTTTTTTGACTGCTGCTGCACACTGCGTGGACATCTTCAGAGAACTATCCATGATGATTCCAAGATCTTTCTCCTGATTAGTTGTAGCTAAATTAGTCCCCATCATATTGTATGTATAGTTGGGGTGGTTTTTTCCAATGTGCATTACTTTACATTTATCCACATTAAATTTCATTTGTCATTTTGTTGCCCAATCACTTAGTTTTGTGAGATCTTTTTGAAGTTCTTCACAGTCTGCGTTGGTCTTGACTATCTCGAGCAGTTTAGTATCATCTACAAACTTTGCCACCTCACCGTTTACCCCTTTCTCCAGATCATTTATGAATAAGTTTGAATAGGATTGGTCCTAGGACTGACCCTTGGGGAACACCACTAGTTACCACTCTCCATTCTGAAAATTTACCATTTATTCCTACCCTTTGTTCCCTGTCTCCTAACAAGTTCTCAGTCCATGAAAGGATCTTCCCTCTTATCCCATGACAATTTACGTAAGAGCCTTTGGTGAGGGACCTTGTCAAAGGCTTTCTGGAAATCTAAGTACACTATATCCACTGGATTCCCCCTTGTCCACATGTTTGTTGACCCCCTCAAAGAACTCTTAACAGATTAGTAAGACATGATCTTCCTTTACAGAAATCATGTTGACTTTTGCGCAACAATTTATGTTCTTCTATGTGTCTGACAATTTTATTCTTTACTATTGTTTCAACTAATTTGCCCGATACTGACGTTAGACTTACCGGTCTGTAATTGCCGGGATCACCTCTAGAGCCCTTCTTAAATATTGGCGTTACATTAGCTATTTTCCAGTCATTGGGTACTGTAGCTGATTTAAAGGACAGGTTACAAACCATAGTTAATATTTCCGTAATTTCACATTTGAGTTCTTTCAGAACTCTTGGGTGAATGCCATCTGTTCCTGGTGACTTGTTACTGTTAAGTTTCTCAATTAATTCCAAAACCTCCTCTAGTGACACTTCAATCTGTGACAATTCCTCAGATTTGTTACCTACGAAAGACGATTACGTTTGGGAATCTCCCTAACATCGTCAGCCGTGAAGACTGAAGCAAAGAATTCATTTAGTTTCTCTGCCATGACTTTATCGTCTTTAAGTGCTCCTTTTGTATCTCGATTGTCTAGGGACCCCACTGTTTGTTTAGCAGGCTTCCTGCTTCTGATGTACTTAAAAAACATTTTATTACCTTTTGAGTTTTTGGCTAGCTGTTCTTCAAGCTCCTTTTTGGCTTTTCTTACATTTTTACATTTAATTTGTCAGTGCTTATGTTCCTTTCTATTTACCTCACTAGGATTTGACTTCCACTTTTAAAAGATGCCTTTTTATCTCTCACTGCTTCTTTTACATGGTTGTTAAACCAATGGTGGCTCTTTTGTAGTTTTTACTGTGTATTTTAATTTGGGGTATACATTTAGGTTGAGCCTCTATTATGGAGTCTTTGAAAAGTGTCCATGCAGCTTGTAGGGATTTCACTCTAGTCACTGTACCTTTTAATTTCTGTTTAACTAACCTCCTCATTTTTGCATAGTTCTCCTTTCTGAAATTAAATGCCACAGTGCTGGGCTGTTGAGGTGTTCTTCCCACCACAGGAATGTTAAATATTATTATATTATGGTCACTATTTCCAAGGTTATAGTTACAGATCCTGTGCTCCACTCAGGACTAGATCGAGAGTTGCTTCTCCCCTTGTGGGTTCCTGTACCAGCTGCTCCAAGAAGCAGTCATTTAAAGTATCGAGAAATTTTGTCTCTACATTTTGTCCTGAGGTGATGTGTTACCCAGTCAATATGGGGATAATTGAAATCCCCCACTATTATTGAGTTCTTTACTTTGATAGCCTCTCTGATTTTCCTTAGCATTTCATCGTCACTATCACTGTCCTGGTCAGGTGGTCGATAATAGATCCCTACTGTTATATTCTTATTAGAGCATGGAATTATTATCCCTAGAGATTCTATGGAGCATGTGGATTCATTTAAGATTTTTATTTCATTTAGTTAATTTAGAAAACTGGTCTTTTTTCCTGGAGTGTGGAGCAGGAATGTGTTTCCTGTTCAGTTCAGAGCAAAATATAGATATTTTTCTTAAGACTTTCCAGATGAGCAACAATAAATGAAAGGATGCATGTGTATGTGAATATATTATTTAACTGAAATAAACTGTTCTATAACTTACTAACTAAACTAAAATGAAACTATAATTAAGTAACTGCAAACTGTGCTAATTTTATAGCTAGTGTGAAGTGACATCCATAATTTATTAAATGTAGCCAATCCAAGTATGTGACTTATAATGCATAGGCAGCCTTAACTTTGCCCTGTGAGTGTATGCATTGAAATACAGTCTGTACTTAGTCAAATTTCTGCCGGACTTCAGGCCTCAATGTGCAGGTTAGACGGCGCCTAGTGAACGAACGGGGAAGTTCTTGGGGTAAAAAACTGTTTTAATATCCTTGTTGTTCAACATGTGGCATGGCATGTATGTTCCTTCCCCTCCCCCCTGCACCTTAGCTACTGCACACCATCCAACACCTGCCTTGAATAAGGAACTTTTTCTTCAGGATTTTGCTGAATTTATTGTCACCCCTGCGACGTTAGCAAGTATTGTACCTCTGTTCTGCATCTCTAAAATGAGGATAGAGAGGCTGTTTCTTGCCCGTGGTGTCACAATCTATAGCAGAGGCAGGACTAGAACTAGAATCCGGGGTCCTAGTCCAGTGTCTTAACAGCACCACCATTCTTCATCTCCACCAGGTTCTTGTCTCATTCTCCACAGATTGTATATCTGTTGGAGTGAATGGGGTAGGATGCTTTGGACCCGGACCCAGTCACTGTGCAAATTTACCACATCACCATCCAGCGTGTGCACTGAGGCTCTGGTTCAGCAAGGTACTTAAGAATGTGCTTAACTTTAAGCATGTGAGTAGTGCTGTTGAAGCTGGTGGGACTACTTACATGCTTGAAGTTAAGTAGGCCTACTTGCTGAATTGGGGCCTAAATAAAGCACGGATTCTGCAGAAAAAGTAATATGTAATCACCTTTATGCAATACAACAGTCTTTAGTAATCAAAAGGGAATAGAGTTAAGGTGGCAGAGGCAACCTTAACTTCATCCATTCCTGAGTTTTCAGTGCTTTGCTTTGCAATCTTGACATTCTCTTAACTGTAGTCTTTATGTATGGAATTTCCTATGCTCTTTAAAAAGAAAAATGAAAACTCTGCCACATCTGGCTATTTGCTTGGAAGCAGTAGAATGCTCTGTGCAGCACAGTGGTGTAATCAGTGTGACGGAGACCTTTGCCTCGTTCTTTATGCACCAGTCCATAGCCTGTGGAAGAAGACAGGACCATGGAGCCTTGCCTTCTTTCATATGCCCATTCTCAGATTATATTCCACAATCCTTTGTCTATTAAATCTGCAATTTCACTCCACTTCATTTAAGGATGAGTATGTCCATTGGAATCCTGACAATTCCTTCAATGGAAATTTCCATTCGGGTTGCGTCCTCTATTTTGCGGAGTGTCAATGGAACTTTGGGAGCCTGCATGAGGTATAATTTAGACAAATCAAATCTAACTTTCACCAAGCAATGAAAGGTACATCTTGTGGTGCTATCATAGTAAATTTAAAGTGTCCATGGCCACTTGCTAAGGTGCTAACGCTGTTCAGAAAAAAAATTGCAAACATTTTTCTTACCAGAAGAGCTGCATTTTTTCACTTCTGTGCTTGTAAATGGCATATTGTGGGTGGGTTTTTTTTGAGATTTTTCGCAAAAAATATTGCTACCTGACTGAGAGCAGATATACCCAATTTCAGCTGTAAATGTGAAATTAGGAAATGTGTAAATAGCTGAAAATAACTCCTTGTAAAGTGAAGGTTTCCTAAGCCTTCCCCAGAGGTGTTGCTATATACACCACCATGGTTCAGAAATCTGGACTTCAAGCCTTGCCTTGGTTCCAGTTCTCTTTTGGCCTCTTCCCATTGTTTTCTTTTTCCTCTTTCTACACCCTTCATCTCCGAGGTCTCTTTCTCTCCCTTTTTCTTCCAACTTTTTCCTCTCCTCTATTTCAGATCGCTCCCTGCTATCTCCTATGGCGACTCCTTATTTATAGTTTCCAGAGTGTCTCTCCTCCTGCTGCTTTCAGCAATGCCAGTTAGCTAAATCTCATCAGGTGGTATAAGGATCTATAATAATTGACTCACTTTCAGAATTTGTTAACTGAGATTTATTTTGTATACAGATTCTAGTAAACTAAATACACCTATCTGTAGCCCTCTAATTCACAGGTTCTGTTCTGCAATTACTTCATTTTTAGTGTATTTCTTGGCATAGGGCCTATGTTGAATTAACTCACACCTTGTTGTGCTGATTTACTACAACCCAGTCCTTGCCCTTAAAGTGATTTAAAGGGATTATAAAATGTTTATTGCTAATTAAGGTGCAGAGGTTTTACCTGTTGAAAAAAAAGAATACTTTTTTCAAATAGCTACTGATATGTGAATACTTTATACTTTTGACCAAATAGTCCCAGGTCAACTTTAATTTAAACACAGTGACAAGCAGCACAAAAGATGTATTGCTTCAATCTTTCTTCCAAAGCAACTTTGGAGTATAAATTAAGTAGGAAACACATTACATAACTATAAAATTTCTAGTCTCAGATGTTTCCAAATTATATTTAGAGCAAACCAATAAATAAGAGCCTAGCCTTGGAGAGTGAAACTTAGGTAAAAGCAAATGGAAAGAAGCTGTAGTATAGTTAAAAATCAAACAAGGCTTAAGTTGTCCACTAAATGGTAATATTGAATTGGTCCAGTGAAGAAGTTACTATTTTTTACAGAAGAAGGTGGAAATTTTATGTAGGCTTTGAAGTATGGCTCTACTGTGAAAAGACCATGTACAGGTGTCTTTTTCTTATACAGTTGTTGCTTTGTGTGTCTTTAACAACTATGCATATGTTACATGACATTATCAAGGTAATATTTTTATCAGTGGTTTTCAGTGTGTGGGGGTCTGCAGACTGTTTAAGATTTCCAAAGGAGTCTGCTCCTCCACTTGAAATTTTTTAGGAGTCCGTAGATTGAAAAAAGGTTAAAAACTGCTGTCACATATCGAAGTGGAAAGAAATCTCCTCACCCATTATTTCACAACGGTAGGAAGGAAAAGAGTAGAACATGCTAAACCTTTGTTTTCTTGCAGTGAAAAATTCAGAATTTTTACAGCAAGCTGCTTTAGAAGAATATGGACCAGAACTCCATGTGGCTTTGAGGAGTCGAAGAGATGAACTTCACTATTTAAGAAAACTTACTGAACTTCTTTTCCCTTATATTCTTCCCCCAAAGGCAACAGACTGCAGGTATCAAATATATTAGAAGTTGTACTATTTACAACAGTTGCATGCCATGTAGCGCTGTAGTTCTTAATGGTGGTAAAGTGGGTAAAGGACAGTGTCAGCCTGAACTTTGAATTTTTTTTCTGTGTAAGTACCAAGCGTATTAAGTGTAATTTAAAGAGTGAATTCTTTCTTAATGTTTTTGTTGATTGTATATTTCTGTACAAAAGAGACTAAGTATCTGTTAACTAGGGAGAAGGGAAAGGAATTGAGATGCAGTAGCAGCACTTGGTCAGTTTCCTTGCTTCTACAGTAGTGATCTTAAGTGAAACTCCAAATACAAAAATATAAAATGAAAGAATAATTTGTTGCTTCCTGGGATCCAGGGCAGTGATAGGTTAGTGTGCTTGTTCTAGATGTTGGGTGCACTGAAGTAGATGAAGCTTATTGGGCTCATAAGGTATTTGGACTGGGTAATGCTGTCTCAGGATACTAGTGGTTCTCATAATGCAGGAAACAGCAAAGAAAAGTAGCTGCTTCTCAACAACCTACCCATTTTTACAGTTGGAAATTACCAGTGTCTGTCTTAAAGCTGAAATATATGATTTTTGCTGTTCTGTAGGAGTCTCCCATTAGCATTAGTGAGATATGCATGCATCGTGAATTTATGTCCAGTTCCTACACAATGTTGATTTTTGAAAACTGAACTGTAGGGGTGGGAGGTGTTGTTGCAAGCTGGTGACTGGGGGTGGGTGGGGAGCTTGATAGGCATCAGTAGCTGTGCTCGCATAGATAGGTGGCAGCACTGAAGTCTGAGACATCTACATGCAGTTTGCACCAATTTAACTGAATACGTTGAAAAACCAATTTAGTTAAATCAGTGGAACCCCTTAATGTGGTGCAGTTACCAGTATAAAATTGCTTATCAGTATAGTGAGTTTTGGTAAATGTTCAACTGGTAGCAGGCTGGCCACTAGCTTGTATTTTCTGAGCTCCATGTGTGGCATCTGTCATAAATATAAAGGGAAGGGTAAACCCCTTTGAAATCCCTCCTGGCCAGGGGAAAGCTCCTCTCACCTGTAAAGGGTTAAGAAGCTAAAGGTAACCTCGCTGGCACCTGACCAAAATGACCAATGAGGAGACAAGATACTTTCAAAAGCTGGGAGGAGGGAGAGAAACAAAGGGTCTGTGTCTGTCTGTATGCTGCTTCTTGCCAGGGACAGAACAGGAATGGAGTCTTAGAACTTTTAGTAAGTAATCTAGCTAGGTATGTGTTAGATTATGATTTCTTTAAATGGCTGAGAAAAGCATTGTGCTGAATAGAATAACTATTTCTGTCTGTGTATCTTTTTTGTAACTTAAGGTTTTGCCTAGAGGGGTTCTCTATGTTTTGGAATCTAATTACCCTGTAAGATATCTACCATCCTGATTTTACAGGGGGGATTTCTTTATTTCTATTTACTTCTATTTTTTTATTAAAAGTCTTCTTGTAAAAAACTGAATGCTTTTTCATTGTTCTCAGATCCAAGGGTTTGGGTCTGTGGTCACCTATGCAAATTGGTGAGGCTTTTTATCCAACATTTCCCAGGAGAGGGGGGGTGCAAGTGTTGGGAGGATTGTTCATTGTTCTTCAGATCCAAGGGTCTGGGTCTGTAGTCACCTAGGCAAATTGGTGAGGCTTTTTACCAAACCTTGTCCAGGAAGTGGGGTGCAAGGTTTTGGGGAAGTATTTTGGGGGGAAGGACGCGTCCAAACAGCTCTTCCCCAGTAACCAGTATTAGTTTGGTGGTGGTAGCGGCCATTCCAAGGATAACGGGTGTAATATTTTGTACCTTGGGGAAGTTCTGACCTAAGCTGGTAAAGATAAGCTTAGGAGGTTTTTCATGCAGGTCCCCACATCTGTACCCTAGAGTTCAGAGTGGGGGAGGAACCTTGACAGCATCAAACTAGGTCTCTCTTGAAAACTGCCCCCCTCCCCTCTTTCTCCAGACTCATACTACATAGACAGGCCTTTACTCTGTAAGTGGTGCTTGGGTGCATCATCGATGTAGAACAGTGGACCACCTGCTTCACAAGCGCCTCATCTTCAGAACAACATTTGTTTTAGGTTGTCAGTGTACCATGAAAGGATTTATAGGAAGAATATATAGCAGAGCCCAGCTGAAGAATCTACATGATCCTTATCTAGACTTCTTTCATTGGCACAATAGAAAACCTATGTTTCAATACTAAAGAAGGAGGATGGGGTAGTCAGCACAGTCTAAGTATTAAAAACAAGTCAACCTGCGTGTTGAGATAAGGACCTGCTTCCAAACACAAGCATGACCGTTTTTAAAAGGGAGTGCTGAGAATTAAGCAATGAGCTGAGTGAAAAGAGATGTATTTGCCCCTTAGTTTCCATGTGCTGAATCAGTTTAGATATCTTGTGATTCTGAGAGTGAATGTGTAGAGTACTGGAATATCTTTTAAAATAACATGTTTTTATTAAATAAGGAAAGACATTTTAGTACAAAAATATTAACTTTACATCTCTCATCCCATTACAAATTATGAATGTAATAACGTGAGTTACTATGAAAACGTAATACATATTTTTTTCCCTTTCAGATCCCTGGCATTGCTTATAAGAGAGATCCTGTCTGGTTCTGTTTTCCTTCCCTCCATGGACTTCTTAGCTGACCCGGTGAGATTTTGGAGCAGTAGAAATAATTTTTATTTACTCTATCATTGTGTTCCTTTTTGTCCGATGATGAGGTGCTTTGTGGTGAAACAAGTACTTCACATTGGTTTTATCATTGGTGACTGCTTAATGGTTTACAGAAAGAAAAATAACCCCATACCCAATCCTCTTATTTTTTTGGTGAAGCAGTGTTAATTTGGTTTTAGGGATTATTTGGCTACATTAATAAAAAAAAAAATACTTAGGCTAGGTCTACAAACTGATTTTTGTATTTGTTAGAGGTATGATTTATTACCAGAATAGTTATACTTACTAAAGCTGTGTATGCAATAAAGGTACTTACAATGGCACATCTTATAACTATATAAATTAATCCACACTAGAGTTGTACCACTTTATCTATACCGGTATAGTTACAATGTTTGTGTGTGGACAAGGCCTTTCTAAAAGCCACTCCCCATAGATGCAAATTTGTTTACTTCTTGCTTATGTAGATACGTGGTACTGCATTTATAAAGATTGGATAGAAAGTCACTTGTCTGATCTTTGGTTTTCAATTGGAAGAAAATTTCACAACTGTCTGAATACAGCTTGGCTGCAGGCAAAGATTAGTTGAGCTTGTGAAACTGCCTGTAGTCAGCTGTAACTCACCTGACCTGCACTGGCATTAAAATGCCAAACAGCTCTCATCTTTGCAGGATGGAGAACTTGTGTCTGTGCATGTCTCATTTGGGAAGTTCATTGACTTAAGAATCTGGATGTAGAGATTATTCAGGTGTCAATTTAGAAGTTGTTAGAACCATCTTTTAATTATTCTGCTTATGTTTGCAATTTTAAGATATAAAAATTGTCAGAATCTTGCTAGAAACTTGGATGGCAATGAAATGGTTTTCAGACAGATTGGTTTGTTGTCATTTGTTTGTTTTTTTCCATTAGGATACTGTCAACCATTTGCTTCTCAAATTCATTGATGATAGCCCAGTGAGTACTGACAAAATGAGAACATTTATAATTGATTCACGCATGTCAGTGTCAATCTTAATCAGTAGGTCAACACTCTTTCTACAGCCTGAAAAAGCAACTGAGCCAGCTGCTTCTTTGATTCCATTCCTGCAGAAATTTGCGGACCCTCGCAATAAAAAAACATCTGTAAGTGAAGAAAACTCTCACTATATACAGATTTTGAATAAGTATTGTATGAGCTGTACATATTACCAGTGCTCTTTTCATTGATTCTATTAGAAAAGGTTTATTTTAATGAAAGCTTGAGAAATATACAAACTAACTGCATTTTCCTCTTCATGTTTAGGTCCTGAAGCTGGAATTGAGGGAGATTAGAGAACAGCAAGACCTTTTGTTTCGCTTCATGAACTTTCTGAAACAGGAAGGGGCAGTACATGTGTTGCAGTTTTGTCTGACCGTAGGTAAGATTACCCTAGTATGCTTAAGTGTACTCATTGAACTTAAACAGTGAGTTTAGGTGTTGGTCCGTTAGTGGATTCTGCAATCAAAGACAGCATCTCAAAGCAAAGGACTGAGCTGAGGTTCTGTGTTCAGTTTTTACTTAGATATTTCCTGACATTTTAATGCTGAACTTAACAACATTAATGTTGCTTCATTGTGGGTTTTTTGCATTTAATTGGATTTCTATTTAGTTGAGAAGACTATTTATTTATTTATTTAAAAAAATTTCATTGCAAGTTTAAAAAAATGCACTTGTCAATTATACAATGTAAAGCCTGGGATATCTTGATTTTCCTTTAAAAGAAAACTATTGTAGTTACCATTGCTACAGTCTCTCTAAAAAGATGTACTGCAGACTATGAAAATTCTGTGAGAATCTCAGTTCTAGCTTATGAAAGTTCTGACTTCTGGGTGTGCCTCCCTTTTTTTGCAGAACGTAAAGGAGGTTGAAACTTGTTCAGCAGCTGTGTCCCTTTTGCCATTACTTATTCAAATTTTGTTACACAGACAGCTTTCTAAGCACTCATTTGAGAATCAAATGGTAGAGAATGGACAATGGCTGTGGTCTGTAAGCAAGATTTTCAGCAAAGAGGCACAACCAGAAGTCTCAACCAGAAGGGAAATAATGAAAATGTTCATAACCCATAGTCTTCCAAAGGAACATTGTGAATTTTACTGTGGAAGGGAATAATTAGTTTTATTGCAGCTCTTATTTTTATGGATCAATTTATATAACTTTAGATTTAAACCATAAGTATTCATACAACTTAAACTGCATTAGAGATTTTGGTGTTATCAGCTTGGTCATAAATTTTAAAACATTTAAGATTTTATGTATATCCACATCTGCTGGAAAGGTATCTGAGGGTATACACTGGAGTCTGGAGGTGTGATTGCAGCGGGTGTAGGTGTAACCAAGGCAACTAGCAGCCATTCAAGTATGTACCCAGGTTCCTGCACAGACAGAGCTATCCTGTGCTGCCATCTGCGCTACCCTGGATTCACTACTCTTGTTACTCCAGCTGCTCTTGATCTAGCTAGATCAAAGCTAGCTCAGATATGCTGCAATCACATGTCCTGAATGCAGTGTAGACATACCCTGATGGCTGATCTGTGCGCCACTTTAAGGTGCCACCATTTATATTAGCTAAGTTTGATCAACACATGCATTTTCTTTTCTTCACCTTCCAGAGGAATTTAATGACAGAATTTTGCAACCAGAATTATCAGATACTGAAAAAATGTCTCTTCATGAAGAGGTGCAGAAAATCTACAAAACCTATTGTTTGGATGAAAGTATTGACAAAATTAGATTTGATCCTTTTATCGTGGAAGAGATTCAAAGAAGTAAGTTTGAGATTGAAAGGAATGATCAAGAATTTATACTGGAATCTATAAAGCATTCTTTCAGACTAAAAAAAGTCCTAGTCAATTCAAATAATAAATAACTTTACCTTTAAATTTATCATAACCATACAACCTAATTAACAAACCAAAGATGTGTAAGAATACATATACTCCTATCTCTGGATTTTCCCTGCCTAATGTTCTCTATGAATGATAATGTATTTAAATCCTGCTTTACAAAGTACTTTAGTATTCCAATATTTTGGCTGCATCCTGCATGGATTTATACAGACTAATTTGAGACTGTGACCTGTAAAAATCAGAAAAACTTTATGAACAACAATGGCACATCCAATTAATATTCACAGCAGGATTTTTTTTCTGCAGTTGCTGAAGGTGAATATGTAGATGTTGTGAAACTTCAAACTATGCGATGCCTTTTTGAAGCATATGAACATGTTCTTTCCCTCTTAGAGAATGTCTTTACCCCTATGTTCTGTCACAGTGATGAGGTAAGCATGAAAGACTTGAAGTCTTGCCTTTAAGCACAGTTGTTTCTTTTTTAAAATGGCAGTGTAAATGTGACAGCTTAAACAATAGTTTTGCTCCTTGTATGTATTCAAAATTTTATCTATTTAACTGGTAAAAATAGGTGCTTTTATCATCAGGGTAGAGCCAATATAACTGAGGCCTGGTCTACGCTACAAAGTTATGTCGATGTAAGCTGCCTTGTGTTGACCTAGTTTTGTGTTTCTATATTTAAATATGTCTCACCCTGATGTAAATTTCTCATTAGGCCAACATAATAACACTGCCTCCCGGAGCAGAATTGAGCAAAGGTCAATGTACAGAGGTTGATGCAGCACGTGTGTAGATGCTGCATTACCTAGATCGATCCTAACAGCCCTCCAGCAGCTGTTCCACAGTGCCTCACATTGACTGCTGTGGTCACCGTTATGAACTCCACTACCCACAGGTCACCAGGACCAGACACTCCCCCCTCCTTGTTTAAAACCCCTTGAATTTTTGGAACTCCTTTTCCTGACTGTCCGGCTTGGCAATCACACCTAGCAACTCTCCATATTGAGTGTAACTGCCCAGTTGACCATGTCAGCTGCATGCTCCAGACGTGCTCCTCTCTGGAGTGGACAGAGGATATTGGCTCTCTTGGGCCTGTAGGGACAAAAGGCTGTGCTGGCACAGCTCTGAACCAGCCACAGAAGCATGGACATCTCTGAGCAGATGGCTCGAGGGATGCAGGAGGAGGGTATGACAAGGACCAGCAGCAGTGCTATCTGAAAACCAAGGAGCTGTGGCAGACATACCAGAAGGCCAGGGAGGCCAACAATCAATCTGGTGCCAAGCCACAGACCTGCTGCTTTTACAAAGAACTGCATGCCATATATGGCGGAGACCCCACTACCACCTAGCACAAAACTCTCAATACCTTCGGGGAACACAAGTCCCAGGCCTCGGCCATGAACAGCGAGGAGGAGGAGGAGGTGGGACAGGTGACTGGGGGATCCACCGCAGTCCTGCCATTTGAGCATGGGCAAACCTGATGCAAAGGAAGGAACCTCAGGTAAGTGTGTGGTTTTTTTTCATTTTTTCATTACAGAGATGCCACCCCCATTTTCCCCCCTGCTCCTCCTCCCTCCGACCCCCCCGTAGAATAGGAGGACATGGCTTTTGACTTTTGATTAATTTACTTGTGCTAGAAGAGGTAACGGAACAACCAAGAGAGGTAGAGTTGCTATCTGCTTTTTATTTCTCGCTAGAGTTAGGCAGGGAGGACCAAGTGGGACAGTTTGTTTATATATGTAGGGACGTTCCTTGAATCCTCTTGAGAGGTCTCAGTGGAACTTTCATGGAGGTACTCTGCAGTCCTCTGCTTAAGGTTTCTAGGGAGTGACTGCCTTATTTCTTCTTCTGCGATAGGATACTTTCCCATGCCAGTTAGCAATAACTTTGCATTACACCATTGCAGTACATAGGCTAGTTGCATACGGGCCCAGGCAGCTTCGGGACGCTAGCAGCAGCTGTGCTCTTTCTCCCTTTGTTACCCTCAGGAGTGAGATATCCGCTAAAATCACCAATGCCTGTGGAAAATGTTGCCAGCATTCAGTGCCAATGCCCTATGCTACTAGGTTCATGCAACCAAGCAATTCCCTCCTCATTTCCCTCATCCCCAGCTGGCCATACTCACAGTGGCTGATGCTGTGACTGGTGCCGTGCACAAGCAATCGCAAACAAAAGTGAGAATGAGCGTGTAGTGCTTAAAACTTTAGGAGAGCAAGGGGAGTGATTTCTGCAGGTTTGCTTCCTGTAGTAAATATACTGACAATGGTATCTCTGTTTTACTTCTGCAGGTGCTGCTGCTGCAGCCTTGAGGGACTCCACCTCCATACCTGCAGAACATCTGACCAAAATAAGGAGGAGAAGGGACTTGGGGTGGTATGATGGAATGCACAGGTGTATTCACAACCTACACACTACTGTAATAATCTTTGTGCAAAATATGCCTTGTAAGATTTCATTTAAAAGCTAATAACTCACAGGTCAGTCTTATCATGGTAAAATATATCTAATAACATTGTATGTGAAGTTATAAAATTCCCCTGTATAATGTTGTTAGCTCCCAGGGAGAAGCTGTCAAACAGGGCTGTCTTGAGCAAAAGAAAATGTGTTTGCCTTGATTTGCATTTAAGCAGTAAATGCAGTCATCAAACAGAAAGGGGGAAAGGGAGGAAACAAAAGGAAACCTGCATCTGAACATAAACAGGTGAAAGAACCCAGCAGGAAGCCTCCTTCCACACCAGACATGCTGTCTCCTTATGGTCAGCTGGAAATGCCTTTCAAAAGAGGGACTGAAACTATAAAAAGAGGGTCAAAGACCCCAAGTGACCTCTCTCTCCCTGGCCATTTCCCTCTTTCTACCTGAGAAGACCAGAGAAACAGCTGCTGGACTTTGAGGAATGGGTCCTGACCTGAAAAGTTCGGTCAGTAATGCTGCTAGAAGGATGTGGTAAGGACTCTACTTTGAATCAAGTATAGTTTAAGGTAGGCACTAGGAAGCAGTTTATCTTTGTTTTTCTTGTAACCATTTCTAACTTTTATGCGTCGTTGTGCTCACATAAAATCTCTTTGTAGTTAAATAAACTTGTTTTTTTCTTTCATTGAAACTGATACAGTGTGTTTAAGTTAAGTTGTTGGGCAACTCCATTTAAGATGGTAAATTATTGTGTTTTGTTCCCTTAAAGGGACAACAGATCTAATATCTCTGGACAGTCCAGAACGTACATTTTTGGGAGAAAGTCTGGGACTGGGAGTGTGTTGGGGTCACCCTGCAGAAGTGTAACCCAAGTGTGGCTGGCGGGTTGCAGTTACACACAGACACTCAGGGTCTGACTTGCTTGCTGGAGGGCTTTTTGTGAGCGGCCCAGGTGGGAGCTACTATAGCAAAGTATTGTAAGGCACCCAAGGTTGCAGAGCCAAGGTGACACAGCCCCTCACTGGAATGGACTGCACACTGGTATGTAACAGACATGTTCAATGATATCCTACATTGGACTATGAGTACAAGGCTTGGAGGATGAACACTGGGGACAGCTTGGAGAAGGAGAAAGTATAGAGGAGAAAGGTACAGGAAAAGAAGAGGGAGATGCTCCAGGACATAATGGGGCTTTTAAGGCAGCAAATACAGATGCTGCAGTCTCTGGTGTACCCAGGCTTGCCTTCCTCTGCAACCCACTGAGAACTCCATATCAGGATCTCCCTGTACCCTCCTCTCAACACTCCATGTGGCATCAGAGGTCACTACACTACCCTTACCACTACCTTGGGAGACATTAAAGACAATCACGGCTTCGTGTACACTGACCTCTGAAAACCAAGGTTGGCATAGGAATAGCTGAAATGGACATAAATGTTCTGTCTGCTTCTTAAGTTCTGTTCTCTTAAGTATTAGTAAATTTTTAAAATATATTTGTTTTAAAATTTCACGATTTCTTTTTTACAGTGAATTCAGTTGCAAACTAATAGAACTATTTTGTAACATCTGCTACCGAGTGCTTAGCAGGTCTGAAAGTAATCAATTACCTCTTACTAACTGTGTGACACAACTCATAGGATAAGATGCAAACAAAATTAATAGACATATTGACAATGTTATATTCCTAAACATACAGCATTCACCACACAATTCCTAACAGCCCACAAAAGAGCAGGGCCAGGTAAGGTCGGCACATGGATTCAGGAATATTGCCTTGTGCACCCAAAAGTTCTGCAACCACTGCTTGTCCTCCGAAGCCTGCATTATGATGCAATCCTATCAGTCAGTGATCGTTTCTTGGGCCAAGAAGTTGTGCTCCACCATCTGCAGCTACTTTGTGAATGCCACCAACCTTGAATTGGTTCTCACTATCTCCCACAGCAGTCTGGCCTCCAAGAAATCCCTGTTCCCCACTGATTCGGTTCTTCTTGCAACTCTGCAAATAGTTCATGATCGTGTGCTCTGTGTTTCCAACACCCATGGCAGTGCAGAGCTGTGTAGGCTTCATGCTTCTGTCAGACGGTGGTCAGCGAGGAGGGCTGTGCGGGTTTTGTGGGATTTTGAAAAAAAGGTGCAAAAATTATGGTTTACAGTTGACATTATGGGAGGAGACAGTTGCACACTGCGAAATTGACCTCAAGCTACTCGTCACCCCGTGCAACTCGTTTTGGCCCCACCATGCACTGCCAAAACTTCCAAAAGACAGAGCACTGCAATGTGGTGGGTTTCATGCTGGGATACCTGCCCATGGCCCACCTCACCATGCATCAATGCAAGCACTCGTTTTGAGTACACGTAGCGCCAATGCAAGGAGCCAAGTGTGCAGTCGCACAAGTGATGTACTAACAGTGACAGCTTTATGATGATATAACTTGCATCGACATAAGTTTGTGGAGTAGAAGTGGCCTCCTAAAGGGAGCTAGGTTCTTAGTGGCTTTCACATCAACAGAACTGTTAATTAGTTCCAGTTCCAGAATTTTTGATGGTGCAAGAGCCTGAAAGAATAAAACTTCCTTTTCAGTTATTACGTTGAGTTTGCAGCACTTACTTTTCTTTTAGAAAAAGGCTTTTTTCTACTTTTATAGTTTCAATTTCTGTCTAGAAGTAATGGACATATAATACATGTGGAACACCATGAATGTTCTTCTTAATTGTTTTTCAGACTACAACAGCACTTCAGGACTCGTATCCGTTTTACACTAAAAAGTTAGGTTGACCTAGCTACGTTGCTCAGGGGTGTGAAAAATCTCTCAAGCCATGTAGTTAAGCTGACAACCTCCAATGTAGGTCTTCCATTGACCTAGCTACTGCCTCTCGGGGTAGTGGCTTAATTACAGTGATGGAAGAACCCCTCCCATCGCTATAGTGATTGTCTACACTGAAGCACTATATATAGCATCACTGCTGCAGCGGTGCAGCTGTGGTGCTGCAATATTTCTAGTGAAGACCTAGTTTTAGTAGAAAGCCTGCCCCTCCATGCCTGTAAGGCTGCCCTTGGGAAAGCATAAATTATGTTGTAAGTTCCTTAGAACTGACCATTTAAAGTGGTCTTATGTGAAATACAATATCTCAACTGCAGAGACTTGTATAGTGTTTCTAATATACTTGTATTAAATCCTCAACAGCTGTGAAGTTAGAAGCAAGAAACATAATTAATTATTAATATTTACAACTGTAAACTACTAGTAAAGAGAGAGAATGAAAAAAATAGAAAACTTGAAGCCAACACTTACTTGCATATTAACTGTTCTATTTTAGTATTTCAGGCAGCTCTTAAGAGGAGCTGAATCCCCAACACGCAATTCAAAGTTTAACAGGTAGGTGTGTTAAACCTTTTAATACGTTTTTGCAGTTGAAAGTTTTAAAAATGTTTGTTTATATGATTGAATCTTCTGCCAAATATACAGTACTGTTCAATGTTAACTTATTTAGATTTCTAAACTTAGTTTTAGATTTGTAGATTACTTACAGGAGCAGCAAGTAATATGTGAAGCAGTACTTCACTTAGTGTTTTTATTGCTTTTTTATTTTAAAAAATGGTATGAGATTCAGACTTACAATCCTTTTTTTGAAATGTCAGAGTGAAAAACCCCTTCAAACTAAGGACCTGTCCAATAACATTAAGATAATATGGCAATAGTGAGTTATACAGAACACATTGGAGAAAGCAAAATAGAAAGAGTTGACTCTAGTGTTTGATTTCCACGTTGAATCACTTTTTCCAGTAACTGTAGAAAACAGCCATGTGAGATGTTTCATTTTACAAATCAGCTCAATAGGATCCTGTGAGAACTGTAACAATTTCTCCCGCTAATATTTAATGGTTATAACAAACACATTTAAGCTCTGAATCTGATTTCTTTAAGATACCCTTGATCTTGGAGTTTGGGAAGAAAAAATTAAAATCTTTTCAATTCTGAATTTGCTTCCAATATGGCCAAGTTTTAAAAAAACAAAAACCATACAGTATACCCAGATTTCCAAACCTCTGGATGTACCTGCTTTATCCTGTGTGGCAGAGGTATACAGAAAAATATATAAAAAATAGACATGCTAGCTTTTGATGTATCAGAAACACAACAAAATACAGTACCGATTTGCCAAGTGGAAGCCAAAAATGGTGGCCAATATCATTGTCAAGTTGTGCTGTGTACTATTTATACTTCAGTGTTAGGTTCCATTCGGCTGAACATAATTCAGGTTTCACAAGTAACATGACCAATGTTACCTCTAATTTTTGACAGGCCGTATGCGCAAAAAATTTCTTCTGTGCAAATTTTTGTGTGCACGGTGTTTTGCCATGTGTGCAGGGTTTAGGATCTGTGTGTGTGCGCACACGGGCACAGCTTAGAAGGAACAGTGAACATGACTAAAGAACAGTCTGAGACATTGTAGAATGAGTTGGTGGTTTTTAAAACACTGTTAGAAGTGTAGGAAGTTTGATCTCAGTCTTCTTTTCCCCCTTCCTTTACTCTATCCAGTATGTGGGGCCTCCCGTGTATCAGAACCAATAACTTCTCTTTAAGAACATTGTTTATTATTGGTTTTAGCATGAATTTGTTTTAGTTCATCCACAAGTTATTGTGCTTGGTGCAGGAATTACTGGGAAAATGTTACAGCCCATATTATGCAAAAGGTCAGACTAGATAATTAAATGGTCTCTTCAGTCCTTAAAATCTGTGAATCAACATAAAAAGCCCTTTGCATCTTTAAAGTTCTTTACAAACTGTTTTATTCATTTATAAAATGTCTATAAATATTTCCCAAAAACATTTTTTCTTTAAAGACTCCATCAAGCAGGGTAAATTCCTGTATGAATCAAACCTGAATTACAGCCTAAGGTTCTGAATTTTCAAGCATTTATGCACATGGTTAACTTTAGGAATGAGGGTAGTCCCTTTAAGCTGGAATTACTTAAATGCTTAACGTCTACAACACACTTAAGTGTTTTCAGGATTGAGGTCTAAAAATTAAATGCAACTATCCCAGCCAAATGCATGTGTATTGATCTCTGGTAAATTTTGGATATTTACATGCTATTTTGAGAATATTTGTCTGGAGATTGGTAGAGACCTTTATAAATACAACAGCAGTCATGCTAATTGCAATGAAAGTTCTAGGCTGTTTAGTGTTGCTTGAAATAAATCTGTCTCTGTCTTTGGGAGTCTCTCTCCTTCTGGGCTTGTGGGGTAATTTCTTGTACCTGTTGTTGCAGAGGTAGCCTGAGTTTGGATGACTTTCGGTAAGTCAAGATAATATGCCATAATTGTTGCCTGTTAATGTTAAATTGCATCTATCATGACTGCATCGTACTGCCTTTTTAACAGACATTAACTGTTTCATTTTTAAACACATGCAAACTCTTTTTGGGCTAAATTCATTTGAAACAGCAAACTAACTGCATGTTCATTCTCTAAGTTTTTAGCAAACAGTGGTTTTGGTCTTGGTTTAATGACTGTTTCTCATCCACACAAATATTAAAATATACAAAATATAATCTTCCTGGCCTTTACCTATTTTGTTCTCTCATATTAACTTAGCATATTAGTTGTATGTCTCAAAGTTTTATTGCTGATAGGGTGCTGGTTATTTTGTAGACTTTATTCAAAGTTTTTTCCTTGCTCCTTGTCACATGCTTTCAGAGCCTATCACTTTAAAAAAAAAAGGGGGGGGTGGAGGGGGAGAGAAAAGAAAATTGTGCCTTCCTTGGCATTAGAATATCAGGCAGCTTCTTCCTCCACTTTACCTGCACCCAACAGGGAGTCACTGAGAGCACAGGACAGACAGGCTCTGTGCTCTTAGTCATGACGCCCAGCTCCCCTTGGGTCTGTAGCAGCCCTGGGCTAGGTCATGCTCAGCGCTGATGGAATCTTCAGAGATTCTAGCTATGAAACTCTAACAAGTCTCTGCTGAGTAGTACAATCCATGATTGGTGAAGACTTACAATTGGGCCAGATTTTCTCAGGGACAGCAGAAGTCACATTCCTGACACAAACCTCATGGCAAACATCAAGTTCCTGTTCCAAAGCATGGGGTGCTAGAGTTTCTCAATTATTTTAACATTGGCAAAACAATGCATTTTCCTCTAGCCTCGTTCTTGGAAATGGCAGAACGGTTTTGGCTGATTTCTTCCACAAAATTCAGCCTGAGGCAGACGCCTATCTGAAAAAACTCAGTACAAATGGTTAAACTTTGGCAAAATTATAAGCACCTGAAAACAGGGTCTTATAATAGGAAGTGTAAGACATGTAATAATAGGGGGCGCTACGAGCACCATCTATAAAAATAAGTATGTGTTTGGGCCTGTCTTTGGGTAGGAGATGACAGTGAATTAGACTTTGTAGAGCGAAATGGGCTTGGGAGAACAAAGAACTGATTATAACAATTGAATTTTAAAATTCAATATACAGAAAAAATTGAGTAGAGTTATAAGCAGGTAAGATTGAAAACAAACATTCAAGTCCCCTTTTAACAAAAAAGTCCTCAGAGTCAACTGGTGATGTCACTGCAGCTCTTAAGGCAATAAAGACACTTCACCTGCTCTGCCCACTGTTCTGCTTTCCTGATGGATTTTTAAAGAATCTTTGTAACTATTACTAAAAATTTTCATATAATTAGAAAATAAACATTGAATAGTTTTTAGTTTTTTTAAAATGTTCATTACTCCTTTGAATGCCAAATGAGTTATCCACTTTTTTCACAATTTTCAGTTTTACAGTTCACCTAGCAGACTTGTAACAAGCTTTATGAAAACTTCAGATAACTATATTCATTAGGAATATGTACCCTCCTGCCCCAATAGGGTTTTTTCAGACTCTTAATTTGTACATTTCTAGTACAAGAAATAAGTTTTCTTTTTCAGGTCTGATGTAAGGGCAGTATATATGGCGTGCATACATTTATGTGCTGTAACATGTGGCTACAATGAAGACTGCAGGCTTCATGCGTAATGCCTCTGCCCTTTTTACTTGAACTTGCGGCTTTTGGATACTCTTTATCATAAGTAGTTCGAGTTCTGAACAAGACTTAAATTTGCATTAAGCCTTCATCTCTAGGGCAAATTGCCTTCTTGAGCTAGGAGTTTTCATCTGTTTCTGTTTTCCTTCATGTTTTGTAAGTTCTGACCCTCCTGTCTGGCTTTCTGCCTACTCTCCCTGCTGCTTTGAAGTAAGTCACAGTCCATCTTGCATCACATGCGTCTGTATAAATGTCTTGATGTTTATAAAGAAAATAAACAGTGTGTTTAAATGTGCAGTACTTGACAAATATGGATGAACGCTCTGATGCCAGAAACTGTTGTGTTGCTACAATCACTCGCTGAAAAGGTCATTGTCATTCCTTGCAATCTTTTACTAAAACACATTGTATTAGGAAGTTAGTGTTATGAAAATAGATTGTTGTGTGTTTCATTCCAAAGTAATGCTGTAATAAGAACATCAGTGTTAGTTTATAGCTGAAATTTTAGTCATGTCCTAAATGCTCTTTTTTAAATCATTTTCTTCCTCCCTAGCAGATGTATTTTACTGATACATTTTAAATTGTTCTGTAATATGCAATACAGCCAGTGAATCTGTAATACTAAAAAGTGTAAACCTACACATCAGTTCCATACTTCATACAATTGCTCACTCTTATCTCTAAATTATATGCAGTGGCTAGTATTACAATTTGTCCTATGCTGTGAATTTTGTTTTTGTATAATCCTTAGGGCCACACAGAAAAGAGGAGAATCATTTGCAATCAGCAGATTAGGCAGCAAAATTAGAGGAGTATTCAAGAGCAACACAATGGAAGGAGCTGTGCTACCTAACTATGGTTTAACTGAAGGAGAGGATGATTTTGTGAGTAGAAATTTTACATTTTTCCTAAATCACGGGGCTGTTGGTTTTCCAGAATCTTTAAATACTTTCAGCTTCTGTCCCTTCTTTTCCTTTCCTTTGCTCCTGGTATATTATAGGCTATTCCACCGTGCCATCCTAGGGGTCACAGCATTTTTCCAGCTTCCTTGTTCTCTTAGTACTACTAAGTTATTTACTCAGTGAGCACAAGATTTGGGCATCTCCCCAGTTCGGGTAATTCCAAGAGTTAATTGCTGGGGTAAAGAGAAGTATTAGAAAGTAATGTTCTCTTTACGAAAGTAATCTTTGTCAAGTAGTGTCATGACCAACTGTTACTTTTCAGTCTAGTAAATATTTGCAGTAAAGTCCTGGGGTCTTTCACACCTCAGTCCTTTCTTTGTCATAGGGCTATCGTGATTCAGGGCCAAATCTTTAGTAATTATTTGAATAATATCTCTCACAATACTGCTTTTATACTAATGGCTGAAAATATTTTTCTGGTTGCATAATTGATACATAAATAAGTATCACTTAAAATGTACAAAACTGTGTTTTGCTCCATAAGTCTCATTCTCATGAATTTTTGAAGTAGAGTATCTTTTAGTAGCATTTCAGAGGAAACCATTGCGGGGGGGTTTGTTGGGGGGTGTGTGTGTTTATAATATTTTCCATTCCAGCTCTTGGTGGTAGGCAGTGGTAGAAGCAACCTGTGATAAAGCTATAGGAACTGGATGTCTGAAAAATTGGCATAGCTGCCTTTAAGCTATGTTCCTGAAGGCCAAGTGTATGTCTGACCTTATGCTGGAGAGAGGAGATCACGGATTTGGGTGGGGTACAACGCTATATTGCGGTTAAAGGATGGATGTTTGAGGGAACCACACTGTTTTCTCTGTACACACGGGCAAAATGGAACATTGCCTGTAAGGCTTAAGAGCATTAAGACTACTTCCAATTTTTTTCTTTATTTCTTTTGTGGAACCATCTGCTTTGTGGGGTGACATATTAAATCACGGAAAATTTCAAAATACAGTATTAGACTGACTTCAGCTCAGATGGTGGGACCACGTACTCTGCTGTTTCTTGACTAGAAGGCAATTCACTTTTCTTGTATTTTAAAAGAAGAACCTTAGTTTCGATTTATTGCAGAAATCCCAGTTCTAGGTGGAACTGAGCTAATTGGGTTTTCCATAGTTTTTATATTTGATTACATTTTTCAAACTTTTACTGTTAGATGATGGAAATTTGGTTTAGTGATCATGGCTAATATGGAGCAGATAGGACACTGCCTAAATTGTAAATTGTCACAAGTTCCTTAAAAAGACAGATACAGTGACACAATAAGATACACAAGATACAATAAGAGAAATCATTAAAAATCTCTGAACCCTGGTGTCCCTACAGCTGTTCTTCAGAGGGAAATAAATTGAAATAATGTGTTAATATGTATATTCTGCACTCACACTGCGTTCATTTCCCTGATCCTAGATGAGCTGTTTACACTGGAGTAACCATGTGGGTCCATAACTCATGCTTGCCACAGCTATTTTGCCAGGCTTCTCTTGCAACTAGGTTTTTTCTTGTACACCAAACAGCAACAGCAGTGACTGAATAGCAAACTGGCTGTCAGGAGGTTGATGCCCTGGTATCCATGGCACAGATGTAGGCAAGGAAATATGAGGACGGTGTGGGAGATGAGGGAAATTAAGTTGGTCACAAACTGCCTGATAGTCATGAATTTTTAATTATTTAAATTTATTTCTGTGATGATTTCTCCTGAATTTATGGAAATACATTGGTTTTTAAGTCATGTGAATTTGAGACTTTCTATGGCACTTATAACTATTCCACTGTACATTACATTTAATCAACTTTGTGCTATGTTCTTTGATGCTGTGCTGGTCCATTTTCCACTACTGGAAAATAAAAATATAAAAGGTTTACATGAATTTGAATCTTTCATCTCCCCTCCCCCCATAGCTCCTCCCCACCCAACTTGTATCCAAAATGGTAAAAACAGAATAATTGATTTTGGAATCTGTATGTTTCCCCTTTTTCTTAAAGGATCCACAAGGTATAGGATAGCTCTTCAGACTATCATATCTTCAAATGAGCAGTGTTGCTTTGCTGTCTTGTAGAGTTTAGGTCTTGTGATGTCACTCATCATTGGACTGTAGTGTAATGCTCCCGAGGAAGGGGCAGAAAACAGATTGTCCAGTATCCTGCTCTTAAAGGATTAATTCTCATCCTACTAGGCTGAAATAAAGCAAGAGTGTATTTTTTCTCTTCTAATTTTTCAGCTATCCAAGAAAAGCAGAATTGTATTTGAATTTTTCATTCCTCAGTAATCAACTCTTTTAAGTTTGATTTTTTGGAAAAACTATAGATTCGTTAGAGAGTCTAACATCTTAGGTACAATGAGAGAGATCATAACAGAAATGTATAAAGAACTTTAAACACAATCTCATATTTATTGAAATAAATAGCTCCACATACTTATGTTACACTTCAGTCTTTTTTTAATTGAAAGACAAAGTTACAAAAAAAAACTATTAATATACTACTTCAGTCTGTTATTGAATTCTAGAAACGGATGGTTGAGATGATGTAAGGGATTATGCTCTATAGCAAAGGCTGTTCATGTTGGAAATAATTTGAGTGAGTTGCCAGTTACAGGGCTTTTGTGGGCAAAATGACCTGAAGCTAATTTTAGTGAAACTTGATAAGCTTGCTTGTAAAATCTTTATGGATAGTTGACTGATGCCACTTATGCCAAAGCAATATTATTTTTGCTGATAACAGAAATGCATAACTTGTATTTCTCTTTGAGTGCTTGCTCACCTCCATTCCATGTTAGGTGTGCGTGAGCTACGTGCACTGTTGCTGGAGATTTTTCTCTCAGTGGTATCCGTTGGGCTGGCTTGAGCGCCCTCTGGTGCCATGCGCTAATATTAGGAGCCCAGCCAGCCCCGTGCCCTCTCAGTTCCTTCTTACCACCCGTGACGGTTGTTGAAACAGCTTCTCTTGCTTCAGCAATGTGATCATTTAGTGTTTTTTTTCTGTTAATCTGCATGTCCATGAACTCTGAGCCCACCTCCTCGGGTACCGCTTGTGAGTCGCCTAACATGAAATGGACATGAGCAAGCACTCGAAGCAGGAAAAATGGTTACTAACCTTTCCGTAACTGTTGTTCTTGGAGATGTGTTGCTGATGTTCATTCCATGACCCACCCTCCTGCCCTTCTGTCGGAGTTAGCTGGCAAGAAGGGACTGGGAGGGTGTGGGGCCGGTTGGGTCCCTTATACCAGCGCATGAGTGGGCACTAGAGCTTGCCTGAAGGATACCACTGAGAAAAATTGTTCTACTTAACCTCCAAGGGTAGGACAAGAAGCGATGGGCTTAAATTGCAGCAAAGACAGTTTAGGTTGGACATCAGGAAAAACTTCCTAACTGTCAGCGTGGTTAAACACTGCAGTAAATTGCCTAGGGAGGTTGTGGAATCTTCATCAATGGAGATTTTTAAGAACAGGTTAGACAAACACCTGCCGGGGATGGTCTAAATTATACTTAGTCCTGCCATGAGTTCATGGGACTGGACTAGATGACCTCTCGAAGTCCATTCCAGTTCTATGATCTTGAAGAATAAGTTACAGAAAGATTAGTAACAGGTTTTTTTTCTGATTACTCTTACTTAGCTCTTACCTGTTTATATCTAGAATTACTTTTGTAATAGGTGTAGAATAAAATAGATCAGTGTCTGAAGTGACGACTTTAAACATGGGCAAAAGTGCAACAGAGTGGTGAAATTTGGTATTCTAGGTATAGTGTGCAAAATCCTTTCTCTACCTCCTCCCACCACCTAACAAAATGTAAAACCAACTTTGCAGGCATGTAAGGACTAAAAGACAGTGGAACAAGTGTGCTCCTACTGTGCATGGCAGGGCCTGAAATGTTGTTTTCCATTTACTTAGTGTCTACCACCAGTTGTAGCTGCAGGGTCTGATTAAGGCTTCATACTGGAGACCTTTTGTAGGGGTTAAAAATTGTTGCTTCTCAAAAGATTGAAATGCACCTTGCCTCTCACTCACTCAAAAGTTCTATGGTTGATTGCTGGTGGGCCTTCAACTGGTTCAGATTACCCTATAGTTTATAGGGGATAAACACTGATAGAGGTCCACTCAGTTCAGGCTCAGATGATTGAGTGCTTTGATAGAAGCAACATGCTGGCAGAAATGGTCCCTCAGATGAACCTCCATAGCTCACCAATTGAGAGAGGGCTCCCACTGCTTCAGCTCCACAGATCATCTAGCTGTGGATTGCCAGCTGAGACTGTTCTTTGCTCCTCACATTATTTCCTCACCACTGGGTGACACACCATAATGCCCTATAGTTTTGTACTACCTCAGCCAGTGCACCACTGAAAGTCTGCCAGCTGTAAATCCTGCCCTGAGGCACATAGATGGTAGATCCTGCCCTGATGCACATAGATGCAAGACACCTCTGACTCACCAGATGGAACTGAAGTAGGAAGAGCATCACTAGTAAATGGGCTCCTCCCAGCCCTTCAGCTATCAGCTCCCTTATTGGTGCCTCCTTTTAGGGTCAGGGGGACGTTGGTAGCTATGAGGTCATGAAGAATGCAGTAATCGGTTCTGCTGCAGTTCTAGCTGGTGAACTACATGGTTCATCAGAGCAAGATTTGTAACTGGCAAACAATGAGTGGTTCACTGGCTCAATTGCAGAGCTGGAGGTTACATATATGTGCCATTATTGCTGGGAAAGAACATGACCAGAATGACAGCCCACACGGTAATCAGTTAGGGCAGCCCTAGCTAGGTGCAAGGGCAAATCTTAAACTAATCAAAGATGACTGGAATGATGTACTCAGTTATTTACATAAGAACGGCCATACTGGGTCAGACCAAAGGTCCTCTAGCTCCGTAATCCTGTCTTCCAACAGTGGCCAATGCCAGGTGCCCCAGAGGGAATGAACGGAACAGGTAATCATCAAGTGATCCATTCCCTGTCTCCCATTCCCAGCTTCTATTTGTGCTTCATTCACTGCAGTACAATTAGCTGGTCCATGAGCACTTGAATGCTTTATTGTAAACAAAGCCAAAGTGGATCCTCTAGCCAACTCTGCCCTCCTTCCATAGAAGTGGATAAGGAGCTGTGGTAGCAACCCCTGAACGGCTTCCAGGTATACTCTGTAGCTTTTGTGGATAGCTTCAATTATCCCAATTTCCGCAGAACTCCTTCAAGCAAAACTGGACTTGAATTTAGAGCAGGTAAGAAGGTTCGGCCCTAATTTATTAAGTCAAAGGGGAGGGGAAAAAATGACTTTAGTTTGATGTGTATTCACACATAAGTGGTGTTTTTTTTTATTGAAGTTGCTTTATTTAATTTTATAAAGTGGGGATTTATAATTTACTGTGTTTATAATTTATTTTTAAAATGGGATATTCCTTTAGTTCACCTATTACTCCACGGTTCAAGATGGAGATCAGTTCTATCTGTACTAACTTATAGTGAGAAGTACTAGCCACTGGAGTTTAAGCAGGCTCATGAACCTTGCTGACAGTCTCAGCCATAATGAAGGGCCTTGAGGTTTTTTCTCTCATATCCAAGTTTACTATTCCGACAGGAGTTTATCTTCTGTTCAGCAACTGAAGAGGCAGGACCAGACCTGTCTACAACGAGGGAAGGGACTTGGCTGCCCACTAAAGAAAACAATCCAGTTCAGTTTGCTTTGTGGCAACTGCAGACAGGTTGAACAATTTAGGAAGACGTGACTGACTTCTAAAAACTGTATTTGTCTTTGGTAAAGATCGGTTTTTTCCAAATGTATCAACTGGCCGTACTTAACAGTAGAGCTGTGCAAAAATATATATATAATTTTGGATTGTTGGCCATTCTGAAAAATAAAAAATGGGTCAAACCAAAACCAATTTTTAATTGCATATTGAAAAAGTCAGAAAAGTGCCATTTTGTATGCTCCAAAATATTTTGTTTGGGGCATTTTTAACTGTTTAAATAAAAGTAAAGGAAATAAAGAGCTAGATTCATAAAACAGAAGGAAGAGGGGGTGGTCTTCTAGAGCAAGCATTTGAATCCAGGTCTTCCACATCCCAGGTGAGTGCCTTAACCTCCAAGCTATTAGTTATGCTTAGGTGATTCTCTCCGTCTCCCCTGTTGAAGCTGTTCCAATTTGAGAGTGATTCCATAGCTCAGTGGTTAGGGCACTCACCTGGGAGGGGGGACAGCCATGTTCCAGTCTCTGCTCCAGAACAGGGATTCAAACTTGGGTAGCCCACGATCCAGGTGATTGCCCTAACTACTGGGAAATTGGGCGTATGGGGGCACCTAAATCCCCCTGTGAATCTAGCCCCAAAATATCAAAATTTCTGAAAATTCTTACTTGTTTTGTCCAAAACAGTTACCTGAAATTGACATGAATTCATGTTTGTCAATCTATATCTGCATTTTTCAGCCAAAAAAAATTCAACTGAAAAATGTTGCCCAGTTCTACCTAATAATCTCCCCTAAAATTCTGCTTTTCTCATTTTTGCTGTGTTATTTAGGGTTAGGATTTTAGAAGCACAAATTGACTTTTTAAAGCTTTTTCTGCCTTTTCCCCCCTCTCCCCAGTGCACATACCACACTGTATCTAAATGTTCTTTTTGCTCACACATTTTAATTTCTATGCCAAATTCCAGACAGCTGAGATATGATTCTGTCTAGCCATGTTTGGGGGAAATAAGTAGCTTTTGAAATTAATCAATGGAGTGGTAACAAGATGTAACCTTTGATGTAAGGCCTTTAATGTTTTAGAATCTTTAAAATATTTATTTTATTTTGTTTTTGCTGGTAATGGACTACCAAACTTGATGGTGCTGTATACCATATTGTACTTGAAATGCCTCATCCTTCCCCAAGAGCTAGGAAGAAACTTCAACATGCTGTGAGTCAGCTGGTGATATATTAGATTGACACCTGAGAAACTGTTAACAATTTTGTTTTTAACTTCAAACAAACCTACAGGTCTAGAGATTTTTATACAGAAGTTCTAAAAATAGCAACTACGCAAACGTGCCCCCTTCCAGAATTTTGTTTTAATATGTTGTCTTTGGTCCTGATCACATGTACTTCTTATGCAAAGATTGATCTTCTATATGTTCTGCAAAATTAAAAATTGTGTCCTATACTAAAAATCAGATCAGGGAGGTCTTGATGCTTAAATCTTTCACTGCAGATTGAAGAAGGCATTATGGTAATGGAAGATGATTCTCCTGTGGAGACTCTTAGCACTCCCAATACACCTCGTAACCTTGCTGCATGGAAAATTTGCATTCCATATGTGGACTTCTTTGATGATCCCTCCCTTGAAAGGAAAGAGAGAAAAGAGAGAATTCCTGTGTTTTGTATTGACGTGGAGAGAAACGATAGAAGGGCAGGTAGGACTTTTTGTGATTAAATAAAACTACGTTAAAATGTAGCTCAAACTGTCTATTCTGCTATGTTTTATTTATCTGACTGTTCTGATGTGCTACACACACACATTTTAGCATCAAAGTAATGACTTACTAATGAATTTTAAGTCTTTGGTAATGTGGGCATGAAGGAAAAATGGTCACTTACTATCTGGAACTTGTGACAAATTACTTCTAAAAGGAGTCCAGTCTATTCAGAATTCCAACCAAGGCTTAGGAATTCCTCCTTCTCTACAAAAATGTTAATATTGTGATTCATGTTGGTAAATGTTGAATGTGTTTGAAATATATTGCTGGTACATTAAATGGAAAACTCTACTCACTCTTTCTTGAATAGTACTTTGTTTTAAGTAGATTTGTTGGTGCCCAGGTATCTTTCAGATGGACACCGTTACAAGTAGACAAATAGGTATTTACTATTAAACATTCCAGAGCAGGAACATGGCTTTTTCTTATAAACTTTAAAGCAGATTTCTTATGCAAATTAAATTTTTTGGTAACTCGGAAATAAACTTAAACTATTTGCAACAGAGGATTTCAGCATCTGTTTAGAGAAATGTCGATATTTGGGGAGAAAAAAAATCTAACTCCCCTTTTAGAGAAGTAAAAATGGGCATTAATGGGGCTTCTTTCTGCTATCTGAATACTGTAGCACTTGACAAACAGCTGGTGGAGATGACTGGAAGAGCCCTGTACTGAGAGAAGATAATTAGAAGACCCACGCTTGAATTAGATGCAGATTTCCTTCATAGTAGCGTTCCTGTCTACCAGCCATACCTTGGGCTTCTCATGTGATTTAACACTACTTTAGTTATTTAAATAACTAAGTGTGGCTAGAGTAGTGTTATAATATTGGCAGTACTGATTACTTTACACATTTGAGGGCTTTTCCTCTGTGGTATATTTGCTGATCTTAACTCTTTTCTACCACCTGGGAGAAAAGAACCTATATTACTTCCAATATGTGTATTTTTCAGTTGGACATGAACCTGAACGCTGGTCTGTCTATAGAAGATACCTTGAATTTTATGTGCTTGAGTCAAAGTTAACAGAATTTCATGGTACGTTTTTACTTCCTACTTCAGTGATTGCTTTTTAGAATTGAGCAGAAATTTAAGATACTAAAATTTTTCTTTTTGGTTTTAAGAATAAATGAATCTGCTTGACTTTTTACTAATTTATAGGTACCTTTCCTGATGCTCAACTTCCATCAAAAAGGATCATTGGTCCAAAGAACTATGAATTCTTAAAGACAAAGAGGGAAGAGTTTCAGGAGTACCTGCAGGTACCAGACTGTTGTTCCGTTTTTTAAGTAGATTGCATAATTGTGAAGCTTATAAAAGTTAACACATGCCAATTTTTCCCAAAGGTAATAAAAATTATTTTATGTGACCAAATACTATGTAAAATATTTGGCTGGCATTTTTAGTCTACAGGTTTAAAATTGTTCTATTCTCAAACATTTAAATATTTAATTCTGTTTAAAAAAAAAAAAAAAGTATTTGGATGAATGTATAATTTCTAGGATACCATAGCACTGTTTTAAAAATCTGTTGTTGTTACTATAGAGAAACAAATTTTTAACAATGTTCTTTCATCTACTCTCTTTTATGTCCCCCAAAGAAACTTCTGCAACATCCAGAGCTGAGTAACAGCCAGCTTTTGGCTGACTTTCTGTCTCCCAATGGTGGAGAGACGCAATTTCTCGATAAAATGTTGCCTGATGTAAATCTTGGTAGGTAACATAGTTGCTCTTTATTCTGGTAAATAGCACTCTTGTAGAAACTAATACACCAAAATTAAGTGAGGGCCCATTAGTACTGAGAGACTGAACTTTCATAAGTTCTGGGTGTGTGAAATGTGATATGTCTCTTCTGCTATATAGCTGTTACAATCCAGTCATTTTTCCAAGAGTCAGATATTTTGACGCTTACATTCCTATCCATTCCCAGGAGGGAAAGTATTGTGAAGCTTTGGAAAATCTAGTCTGCATATGGATACCTTCTGAATATCTAAGCCTAGTACTTCCAAAATCCATTGCTCATGGAGATCAGATCCTCTACGTCTTCAAGTAATTCAAGATGATGTATGGCATTAGCCCAGATTTTATTTTCAAGAATCAATCCGAGAAGGCAGCTGTTTGTTTGGGGTTTTTTTTAATGTTGATAGAGGCAGTGTATTGATTTAACTTATCTTTGAATATTAGCTGATCGGCCCTATTTAAGTTCATTTGAGAACTACCAGAATTAATGTCAATTTCGCGTACTAATGTTGAGTCTGTGTATTGTATAACATGGTGTCCGAAATTCAACACAGCACCCTATGTAGTTAAACAAGATGGTAATTTGTGTTTCTGCTGATGACCTGTTTAGCTGTAGGCCCATTTTTTTATGTTTTGGCAATTGTGAGCATCTCTTTCAGTAGAAGTGTTTTTTTTCCTGTTGGTATGACAAAATGTCCAAACAAATGTATGTGGTGGGTAAATGTGTCAGGTGTTCTGAAGAGGCATGTCTTATCTGGTCCCAAGCTAGGTGCCGTGCCTCCCCAAACTTACATTTGCTTTTAGTAAATAGAAATCCTCTCAACAATTCACAAGGTTTCTGGTCAGAGGTTAGTTTGTTGTGAGATAAAATTACTGATATATGACTGTTGTTGTGAGATGATAGATATCTAGCTATCTAGATAATCTCACAACAGTCTTAAAATTACTAATCTCTGACCAGAAACTTTGTGAAATGTTGATACGATATATAATTTCTTCCCTAAATTTCCCTTTTATAATATTTAAAGATAAGAAAATCATAATTATTGAATTTGATATTTAATTTTACAATATTTTTAAAATATATTTTTCATTTTTATTACCTTTTAAACTGTTCTGTTGTGCTTCTGATATTCTTATTCAGGTTAATGTGGGTAGTTTTTAAGAATAGGTCTACAGTCTCCCCAACCCTGTAAATCCTTTCTAACATGAGTACTTTCTTGAACTTGCAACATTGTGCATTTCAATACATTGTGCAGACTGGATGACTCTTATTACTGGGGGAGAGGAGAGTAAATACTGTCTCAGAAGTCTGAGGTTTAGGACATTCTTGTGTGATAAAGGCTTGCAGAGAATAAGTGACTAGAACTGAAAAATTATTCTTATCCAGATCATTCAAACAGAAAAATCGTTGGAGCCTAAATTATTGAACAGTTTAGGTCTTTTTTGTATTGTCCCTGTTATCCCTGCACCCTCAGGATGCCTCTTGCTATTTTTTCTTACTGTCACATGCCTCCCATCCACACTACTTGGAGATAAGGCTGTTCATCTCTCCATGGTCCTTTAGAAAACTACAGAAGAAAATCTATGGGACTTAGATTTCTTTATGAATGTGAAAACTTTCTTGCGTGTTTGTAATTTGAAATAGCTTTTGCTGATGGGTATCACATATTTAGTTCCTTTTTAAAGTTTGATGCACCCAAAATTCCATAACTTTCTTGTATGTACTCAGTATCTTTTCAAAGTACTGGTAATTTATTTCTTTCAAATGTTTCTTTAAAAAGATTGTGCAATGATGCTTAAAATGAAGCCATAGATATCAGTGGTGTAAGCTAATCAGTTTCAGACTGAGATGATAAAATGAGACCATGTGTAGGTTTTTTTGCTTCACTTCTGTAAAAATTTATAATATAGCTTATTATAGATCATGGTGGCTTATTCATTTGTATTACAATAGCTCTTAAATGCCCCAGCAAATATTTGTCAGAAACATCATATATTCATGGTAGAAGACGAGCCTTGCCGTGGAGATCTTAGTCTAAATAGAGAAAACAGATAAGTGGGGTAGGGGAGGAGAACAGAAGGAAACTAATAGATATCAGATATGATATTCAGAAGGGCATGTGGTAATATATACTTTTTTGTTCTTAATTGTAGGGAAAATTATAAAATCTGTTCCAGGAAAGCTAATGAAAGAGGTGAGTAAATACTGTGTCTCAGTAGTCTATGCTGTGACTATAGTTAGTATCTTTAACTGTCCACTGACAGGTTGCTACATGTTGGTCCAGCACAAATTTTAGTTTGGAAACTGTCACTTTTTTAACTATTTAACTATCATTATTGTTCACTGTGTATTTAATTTCAGAAAGGTCAGCATTTGGAGCCATTCATCATGAATTTCATTAACTCCTGTGAATCTCCCAAGCCTAAACCAAGTAGACCAGAGCTTACAATTCTCAGTCCCACTTCTGAAAACAACAAGAAGGTGCAGTAAATGTACAGAGGGGGAAATACTGACCCTTACCTGAGAATGTGAAGAGTAAAGGGGAGAAGCTATAAAGATGACAGCTTGACTGCCTATGTTCATGTCTGTTCTTATGGTGGTGGGTGGAGGTTTTTCCTTTTTTCCAGCGTCCATTCATCTTGGTACAGCTGACCTCCATGTTTATCCATGGATGGATTGGAGTCTGTACAATTTATAGAAACATAGGGCTGGAAGGGACCTCAGAGGTCATCTAGTCCAGCTCCCTGCACTGAGGCAGGACCAAGTATACCTAGACCATCCCTGATGTGATTGTCTAACCTGCTCTTAAAAACCTCCAGTGATGCAGATTCCACACCTCCCTGGGTCACCTATTCCAGCAATTAGCTATCCTTATAATTAGGGCTGTCAATTATCACAGTTAACTCACGCAGTTAATGAAAAAAAAATGAACTGTGATTAAAAAAATTAATCATGATTAATCGCACTGTTACACTATAGAATGCCAATTGAATTTTAGTAAATATTTTTGGATGTTTTTCTACCTTTTCAAATATATTGATTTCTATTACAACACCGAATACAAAGTGTACAGTACTCACTTTATATTATTTTTATTACAAATATTTGCACTGTAAAAATGATAAACAAAAGAAATAGTATTTTTCAATTCACTTCATACAAGTACTATACTGCAATCTATATCGTGAAAGTGTAACTTACAAATGTAGATTTTTTTCTTTGTTACTAACTGTTTTGTTTTTGAGTGCAATGTAAAACTTTAGCACCTACAAGTCAACTCAGTCCTACTTCTTCAGCCAATCGCTAAGACAAACAAGTTTGTTTACATTTATGTGAGATACTGCTGCCTGCTTCTTATTTACAATGTCACCTGAAAGTGAGAACAGGCGTTTGCATAGCACTTTTGTAGCCAGCGTTGCAAGGTATTTACGTGACAGATATGCTAGACATTTGTATACCCCTTCACGCTTCAGCCACCATTCCGGAGAACATGTTTCTATGCTGATGATGTTCATTTAAAAAAATAGTGCGTTAATTAAATTTGTGACTGAACTTCTTGGGGGAGAATTGTATGTCCCCTGCTCTGTTTTACCCGCATTCTGCCATATATTTCATGTTATAGCAGTCGTAGATGATGACCCAGCACATGTTGTTTGATTTACGAATACTGTCACTGCAGATTTGACAAAATGCAAAGAAGATATCAATGTGAGATTTCTAAAAAAAGCTACAGCACTCGACCCAAGGTTTAAGAAGCTGAAGTGCCTTCCAAAATCTGAGAGGGACAAGGTGTGGAGCATGCTTTCAGAAGTCTTAAAAGAGCAACACTCAGATACGGAAACTACAGAACCCAAACCACCAAAAAAGAAAACCAGCCTTCTGCTGGTGGCATCTGACTCAGATAATGGAAAATGAACATGCATCAGTCTGCTCTGCTTTGGACCATTATCGAGTAGAACCCGTAATCAGCCTGGATGCGTATCCTCTGAAATGGTGGCTGAAGCATGAATGGACGAACAATCTTTAGCGCATCAGGCACGTAAATAACTTGCGACACCAGTTACAAAGTGCCATGCGAATGCCTGTTCTCACTTTCAGGTGACTTTGTAAACAAAAAACAGGCAGCATGATCTCCTGCAAAAGTAACCAAACTTGTTTATCTGAGTGATTGGCTGAACAAGAAGTAGGACTGAGTGGACTTATTATAGAGTTAGGTATTCATAGAATCACAGGGTTGGAAGGGACCTCAGGAGATCATCTATTCCAACCCCCTGCTCAAAGCAAGACCAAGCCCCAATTTTTGCCCCAGATCCCTAAATGGCCCCCTCAAGGATTGAACTCTCAACCCTGGGTTTAGCAGGCTAATGCTCAAACCACTGAGCTAGTATGACTTAATAGGCTCTAAAATTTTACATTGTTTTATTTTGAATGCAGTTATTTTTTTTGTACGTAATTCAACATTTGTACAGTACTTATATTAGGGGAATTGAAAATACTATTTTTTTTACAGTGCAAATATTTGTAATAAAATAAAGTGAGCACTGTACACTTTGTATTCTGTGTTGTAATTGAAATCAATATATTTGAAAATGTGGAAAACATCCAAAAATATTTAAATAAATGGTATTCTATTGTTTAACAGTGCAATTAATCGTGATTAATATTTTAATCGCTTGACAACCCTACTTATAAGTTTTTCTTAAAATCTAACCTAGATATCTGCTGCTGCAGATTAAGCTGATCATTGAAGGTAGTATACAAAGTTGACATGGAGAACAATTGATCACTGTCCTCTTTGTAACAGCATATATTTGAAGAATGTTATGAAGAATGTTATGAAGAATTTGAAGAATGTTATGAAGTTCCTCCTTAGTCATGTTTTCTTAAGACTAAACATGCCTGTTTTTTTCAATCTTTCCTCATAGGGCAGGTTTTCTAAACCTCTTATAATTTTTCATGCTGTCCTCTGGACTCTCTGCAATTTGTCCACATCTGTACTTCAGCTGAGGCCTGACCAGTGCCAAGTAGAGTGGGACAATTACCTCCTGTATCTTCTATATCACACTCCTGTTAATACACCTCAGAATATTAGCCCTTTTTGCCAATGCATTGTATTATAGGCTCATATTTACCAAATGTAATGAATATAAAGTATACTTGCAGTCTTGCAAGCAAGTGACATGAATAAGTGTTATGATTATTTATTATTTGTATTGGGGCCTACCAGTTATACTATAGTAAGGAATTTGACTGATTTTTCTATATTTACTTACAGTCATAAGTCAGTTCTTTAGTATTTCTAATACATTTATCACTCTTCAAGTAATTCTCCGAAGAGTAAAGTCGCATTTTGTCTTAAGGCAGTCTTATACATATGGTCCCCGCTATTTCTAGTGGTTAATTTGAAAGGGACTAGTTTAAAACATCCAAAGCAATTGTTTAAAGTTGTCTGAAACTCTCTTGGGCCACACAAGAGAAGTGCAGTTTTTCCAGTGAACCGAGACCAGATGGAAGAGTGAGAGCATAAAGCAATCAAAATACAGTTCCCATAAAGCACTGCAATGCCTGTTTTGAATTGAAATATTTTATTTTTTAGCTGCAATATATTGGTTTGGGGGCATTTGTAACAGGTCTGCTGCTTAATGAGTGGTCCCTTGTGGCCACAGTGCCCTTTGCAGCAGCCTCCCTCCATTCTTCCTTGTTGGGGCCCCTTACAGACTCCCCGCAGCCTTTCTTAGAAATCCTACCGTCCTCCACTTGGGGCTGGTTTAATGACCACAAAAAGTCCATTACTGTAATCCAAAGATTCACACTTATCTCTAGCTCTTCTGCATGGATGGCAGAGATCTTCCTTTGCTATAGCCTGCTCTTCAGAGGGTCACCTTTTCATAGCTTTCCCTAGAGTTTAGCTTTCTGGCTTTGGCTTCCTTCTCTTGCCAGTGTCTCCTCAGTTCTGAGGGAGAATGCAGTTTATATACTGCCCTCCTTGAAAGAGCTCCTCCTGATTGGCTGGAAGAGAGGGGAACACAGCCTCACCCTGTGTTACAGAGCTCCTGATCTCCGGCCTGTAAAGGAACAATGGATGGTGGGGAAACCCCAGGACAACTCCGAATTACCCAGAACTGCTTCCTATTGTCCATTACCAGGTCATTTCCTGGGCCTTTGTTTGTTCCATCTCCCTGGAATGGAGTCTTCTGGCCCCCTCTACTCTTAAAGGGCCAGTATACCCCATTACAACATTCAACAAAATATTGAAATTTTCTTTGGAAAGTAAACATCTCTGAAAAACTTCATCGTTGAAATCAAATTTTCCATTGAAAATCTTGACCAGTCTGAACTTTTTAGTACTGATTGTTTTTACTCTAGTTAAGTGGTTCCCAAACTTGTTCCGTCGCTTGTGCAGGGAAAGCCCCTGGCGGGCCGCGCTGGTTTGTTTATCTGCCATGTGCGCAGGTTCGGCCAATCGTGACTCCCAGAGGCCGCGGTTTGCTGCTCCAGGCCAACGGGAGCTGCTGGAAGCAACGGCCAGTACGTCCCTCGGCCGGCGCCACTTCCAGCAGCTCCTGTTGGCCTGGAGCAGCGAACCGCAGCCACTGGGAGCCGCGATCAGCCGAACCTGCGGACGCGGCACGTAAACAGCCCCTGGCGGGCCGCACCAGTTTTTCCCTGCACAAGCAGTGGAACAAGTTTGGGAACCACTGCTCTAGTTTTCTTTAATTTGTTTGTTTTTCAAGATGTAATGTTTCTATTTTAGCTTTTCAATGATCTGTTCAAGAACAATGCAAACCGCTCTGAGAATATAGAGAGAAGACAAAATCAGAACTACTTTATAGAGATGATAACAGTAGAAGGAGTCTATGACTACTTAATGTATGTTGGTAAGAAATTATTTTTCTTTGTACTTGGTATGAAGTATAACAGAGGTGCAAAAATTCAGGGTGTTTGATTAGAGTGCTGTTTGAAAAGTTTGTCTAAAGTTTACAGTTTGTTATAACAAGGAAGATGCCAGTTAGGGACACTATCCTGTTTTTAAAGTTCTTGCTATTAGGGTGTCACAAATGTAGCAGTATCACTCTGATTGCTCTGCTTGCATGTTGTATCCCTTCCCCTCCTCTCCCCTACACACTTAGGTTTTGTATTTAGAGTGTAAAGCTGCTTGAGGTATAGACCATGTCTTCCTGTGGCCACTCTAATTTAAATAAATAATACCAACACTTGGTATTTTTGTAGTAAATGTAACACAAACGGATTTAAAAGCTAAAGGATCTGCTGTAGGTTGGGGGGAATGAGGTCACGTTGCATGAAGTTAGCTATCTCTTTTTTTTGGAAATATCAGTGTGCACACTTTTTAAGAAATAAAGCAAGGTACAATGATGATGGGAGCCTTCTTCATATGTGTAATAATAACTTTGCAGGTAGAGTTGTTTTCCGTGTTCCTGACTGGCTGCACCACCTCTTGATGGGGGGAAGAATTATCTTCAAAAACACATTGGAGATGTACACAGACTACTATCTACAGTACAAATTAGAACAGCTATTTCAGGAGCACCGCTTGGTATCACTGATAACACTCCTGAGAGGTTAGTGAAAAGTCATGCAAATACTTCTTCTTTTATCATGTGCTTCTTGTACATGCTTAAACTGCAGTGGTACTTATTTATAAGATATTGATGACTTAATTTTATACTTGTAGCACCCTTTTTTGTGAGCAACCCAAAGTGCTTTGCAAACTATATAGTGCAACATGTGAAAAAGAACACTTGCGCAACATAAATGAGTCAAGAGATTCCAAAAGTTAGTTTCTGCACAGTGTTAGTTTGATTTTGTTGCACATCCTTGATATTTTATTATAGAATTAAGTATTGTGAACAATAATCCACAAAGGCTTATAGTGAGCAAGGAAAAGAAGACTAAAAGACTAATGATCAACATGGTGGAGCTAATGATGCAGTATATATATTGAGTGTAGGAAATTCCTAAAGCGTATGTTATATTTTCATCTTTTTTGGGGGGAAATTAATGCTAGGTTTTTTAATTGTTTCCCTTTTTTTATAAGGGTGGCAGAGAAAATGAAGCCCACAGTTGCTAGCTAACAAGTACCAATTGACCATAGACTGAACAAAATTGGCATATTTAGGAAAATAACTTGGGTGGAGGCCAGTTATGAAAATTACAGCTTCCGAAGAGTTATTGTGAATGAATGAAACTAAAGCGAGGAAGCTTTGAGTGACTGAAACCAAAAGTGGTAGCTGCTCGTGAACGTTGTAAATATTTTTAGTCCTCTGTAGTAAATATGGCCTTTGCAATAGGCCCCATCAGTACTGCAGGGCTGTTTGACATAATGTGAAGAATATCTTTATACAGTTATAAGTACAGGGGGAATTATAGTTAAGCAGCATATAATTAACCTACAGTGGAATTTAGCCAGAATTCTGTGCTGCTGCAGAATTGTGATGCTCTTTAAAAACAGCTTAACACAAGGAATGAGTTGGCAAAACACTATGTATGACTTTACTGAAAACCAATTCCTAAATGACATTTTTGTTCTTTTGGTGGTTACAGATGCTGTGTTTTGTGAGAATACTGAACCTCGCTCACTTCAAGATAAACAGAAACGAGCAAAGCAGACCTTTGAAGAAATGATGAGATACATTCCAGGTTCCACATTTATGACCTATATAAGCTTTTTAATCCTTCAGTCAAGCACCTAGCCCAAATATAATATAATAATGCTAACTTTCCAATCCATAAAGTAGTTATCTGGCTGAGGTTTTAAAGAGTTGCCTAAAATGCCGCTGCTTAATGAGACTTTCATTTTCAAACTTCCATAGTTTTAACAAGGGTTACTTGCACCCCTAGGCCTTTGGTGTAATGGTTCAGTAATGACACTGTGCAGGTCAGGAGGAGCGTGGGATCTGAACCAGTTGAAAGGCTGACACTGATCTTGAGCAAGTCACTCCACTTCTTTGTACATCATTTGGCCCAGCTGAAAACTGAGTAAAAAGCAGGGATGCAGTGAAAACCTGAAGAAGAATTTCATCTGAGCTGTACTTTCCCTATATAAATTAGGAAAAAAATCCGGTGATTAGAGGTCATCCAATAATAATTCATTGCAAATGTTATTTGAAGTTGTTCTTTGAGTGCTGATCTCTGTGTGTTCTGCACATGGGTATGCATGAGCTCCATGCACCTGATACTGGAGATTTCTAGCAAGTAGAATCCATTGGTCTGCGCCTGAATACTTGTTCCCCTTGTGCTCCATATCAAGGATATATGGGGTTATGTAAACTGATGCCAGTTCCTCCTTACACCGGTGCATGGCCTGAGTTGGAATCCTCTGTGTCCAAAGCTATGTTTGCATTGTCACTCAAAAACCTGGAAATATAATTGTATATAGTTTTAGTATTCTTAGTGTGTTTATAGTTTAGTTAGTATAGTTTAGTTTCCCCTGCCTCAGGGATCGTCTTCCTGGGGAGAAGTACTGTGCCCAGAATCCTGAGGTTTAAGAACTGTCTTCTGACCCTGCTTGTTCTCAGTCAACAGTGAGCACCATTGCTCCCTTTACTGCCTTGGTGAGGCTCATGTTTCTGCCAGCTGCAGCATCTGACTCTCCTCCTCTCTCCAGACCCATGTGGCATGAGAACTTTGACTGAGGAAGTACCCCTTGGAAAAGGCCATGAGACCCAGTAGGATCCAGGCCAAGGAGATCCCCTGGTTCATTGGCCTCAGTCTAAGAGTGGTGCTCCTCCGAGCAAGCGTTCAGGAGCAGATGCCAGAGCTGTTAAGCCCAAGGAATCAATGCCTTGGGGCGCTCTCATGAACACAGACAGATCTGCTCCTACAAAAAAGGATCCTTTCCTGACTGTCCAGTCAGGTGAGTCCTAATGTTTGGGTCCTAAAGACTTAGGTCCACCTCAGCCTTCCAACCATGAAGGTAAGGTGTTTAGGAGAAAGGATCTATTGGTACTAGCTGTGGCTACAGCTATACAGAAGATCAGCACCTATTGACACCAACTGAGAACTCCAGGTTGAACTCTTCTTCCACAGTAGTAACTTGCTCCCAGAAGGATCTGTTGACTGCCGTGCCATTGGGCGCACTGGATCAGTCAGTCCTGATCACAGGGACACCTCATGCCCTGGGATGGACTGAAACCTATACCTCACCAGAAAATATTTTCACCCTACCTTACCCTCAATCTCCTGTCCTTTTGAGTCCAGCCCTCCTGAAGGACATTTTGACACCAGAGGAAGAAACCCCTTTGAAGAGAAGCGGATACTCCCATTCATAAGTTGGCACATTCATCCACCGGTATCGCTAGTGGAACCAGAACCTGCCTTCTCGTTATCAGAATCTGATGTTCCTGACCCACAGGGAGGCTAGCTTGGACTCATCCTCCACCCAGATATCACAACCTAGGGGACTGATGGTACCTGATGCATTGCAGTCGTCTCCCCCCCAACCCCCCAGCTTGTTGACTCTTCATATTGGCCCTATTGGGCACCACAGGATTCCTATGCTAGGCACTCCAGATCTGAACATGAATCCCACTGCACCCTCTCCTCCTAGCTGACACCAGCTGGCTCTTTTGGAGTATGCAGAGGAGGAAATCAATCCAGATCCACAGGTACCAATAGGTATTTCATCCTCTTCACCTGATGAGGCAGTTGCCCCATCTTCACCATCTCTGCTTGATGATCAGAGGCAATACCAAGAGGTCTTGCAAAGGGTGGTGGCTAAGAGCCAGATTCCTCTTGAAGCAATCCATGTTATACAGCATTGGCTCTTGGATATCTTGCAGCCCTCAGGCCCAAGCTGGATGGCTCTCCCAATAAATGAGGCCATTATGGAATCATCCAAGGCAGTTTGGCATACTCTTGTTTCCTGTGCGCCCCCTCTCCGTCCCCCCCCCCGCCACCCCAAAAAAGGTCTGAAAGGCAATATTTTATACCCGCTAAAGGTGCAGTTTCTGTTTATTCACTCTGGTCCCAACTCTCTAGTAGTAGCCACATATTTTCTCTGTTGCCACAGTGAAATCCAGGCTAGAAAACACCAAGGCACCCCCTGCAGACAAAGGAGCTAAACGCCTTGACCTTCTAGGGAGGAAGGTATTTGAATCCACCAGCCTTGAGTTTAGAATTGCTAACTACCAGGCCCTGTTAGCAAAATAGATTTCACAAATTACTCCAAATTCTTGGAATTCAAAGACAAACTCCCTCAGGAGGACATGGCTCAATTCCAAGCCCTCATGAAGCAGATACCTTATCTAGAGTTATAGCTAAAGCAGTAATTATGAGGGGGTGAATCTTGGCTCCACTCCTGGGGGGTCCCCAAGGATGTCCAGAATAGTATTGAAGACTTGCCTTTTGAGTCTGATCTCTTCAATGAAAAGACTAACAAGTTTTTACACTTGCTAAAAGACTCCAGGACAACCCTCCACCCCCTGGGCATTTATATCCCGGCTCCAAAGAGAAAATACCACAAACAGGAATATAAGCCAAGAGCTCTCCCTCAGCTGTTCTACCACCAGTTCCCTTACAAACTGTCGTGGAAAGAGAAGGGAGTACAAAGACCCAGCTGCACACATCCTCCACCTCAGCTGCAGCCACTCTACCTCACCCACCAACCAGGAGTTACTTTTGACAGCATGCTCAAGAACTGTGTACCCTTGTTGATGCAATTTCCTACTACTCCCCTCCCCCCACAACTGCCACCTGGCCCCTTTCGTCCACAACTGGAGGGCAATAACAACAGACAAGTGGGTATTCGAGATCATCCACTCTGGCTGCATTATCAAGTTTCTCTTCCTGGCCCCTCCTCAGGAACTACTCTCACAAGGAAATCCTCTCTCGGGAGGTAGACACTACTAAAATGAGTGCCACCTTAACATCAAGACAAAGGGTTTTACTCCCTATATATCATAGTTCCCCAGAAGAAAGGAGAATGGAGACCCATTCTCAACCTATGTCAGTTGAATTTCTTTATTTGCAAATCCAAAATTCCACATGATCAATCTGGTATCAGTAAGTCGCCCCCCCCGCCCCCAGAGAAGGGCACATGGTTTGTGTCTCTCAGCATGAAGAGTCTTACTTTCACAATGACATTCATCTGGCCCACAGAAGGTTCTTCAGATTTCTGGTAGGACAAGAGCACTACAAGTTCAGACTACTGCTATTCAGGCTGGCACTGGAACCCAGGGTCCTCACTAAAGTCATCTCAGTGGTGGCAGTCCAGATGAGACAAAGCAACTATACCAGCTTCCCCTACCTGGACCATTAGGTCATAACTGGCAGATTGGTCAGGACACCCAGTCAGTGACCATATCCTTACTCTGTCTTCTGCCACCTTTGGGAACCTGCGTAAACAGAGAAAATACAGACTTGGTCTCTTAGAATTAAGGGCAGTCTGCCTAGCCTGCAATGCATTTCTCAACTTACATGGTTCCATCATATTCAGATAATGTCAGATAATGTGACGATGATCTTCTATATAAGCAAACAAGGTGGAGCGAAATATCTTCCTCTCTGTATAGAGGCAGTCAATTATGGAATTAGTGCATTGGGAACCACATCATGCTCTTGGCAACATACCCACCAGGTGCGCAGAACTCTCTGGCAGACAGTCTCAGCGGACACTTTCCCACATACCACAGATGTGAGATACACAATTCTCTTCTGAACAAAATCTTCACCCAGTGGAGAACATCATCTTGGGACCTGTTCACCTCCCGGATGAACAAGAAGTTCAACCTAGACTGCTCCAGAGCAGCACTTGGTCAGGTCTCCGGGGGCAATAATGCTCTATCCTGGACAGACCACCTGAGGTACACCTTTCCTCCCCACAGGTTCTGCAAAAGATTTGTCACAAGAAGGCTCAAGCCATGCTCATACATCCAACTGGCTCAGATATTTCTGTTTGCTGTTTACAAATGTCCTCCTGTTCTCCCATCAGCTTCGACCCCTTCCTGGATCTGTTAACTCAGGAGAATACAAGATCAGACATCTCAGCCTGGACCCTCTTCACCTCATGGTTTGGTATTTGGATGGGCAACAGACCTAGAATGTTTGTGTTTGGAGGTTGTTCAAGATAGTCTTTTCTGCTTTGATTGAGGTTATCAGAAAATGCTATTTAGTTAAATGGAGATGTTTCTCTACCTCGAGACAACAGAACTAATTATCCCCCAAATCAACAGGAATACCTGCTATTTTAGACTACCTACTCACCTTCAAGACATTGGGACTTTCCATTAGCTCACTGCAAGTCCGCCTAGCAGCAGTCAATGCCTTCCATCCTCTCGTGGAAGGCGGTTCTGTTTTTACTTATCAACAATAAGGTCTCATTAGGACCTTCCCACTGGTGGTGAAACCATCGCTGCTATGGGACATCAATCTTGACCTCTCAGTACTTACCAGACCATCCTTTGAACCACTGGCCATGTGCTCCATGTCCTGCCTGTCCATGAAGGTCACTTTCCTAGTCACCATCACATCTGCTAGAAGAGTGAATGAGCTGGGAGCACTCATAGCTGTCTTGCCCTATTCCACATTTCATAATGAGAGAGTTTCTCTTTGCATCTACCCAAAATTCTTCCCTAAGGTAATTTCCAAACTTCACATAAATCAACTTATCTTAAATAACAAATCAATAAATCAGTATTCTTTCCAAAATCTCATGCAACCAATGAGACGATTACTCTCTCTCGACATAGAATGCTAAAGCCCTTCTGATCTGCAAAGAACTAACCAATTATGAAAAGGCCTACACTATTTGTTGCTCTAGTGGAACAATCAAGGGGACAAGCGTCTGCCCAGAGACTCTCTAAGTGGGTCTCTGGCTATATCATTCTTTATCAGCTGGCATATAATGCACTGCCAGATGGGGTGCAGGCCCATTCCATTACAGCATAGGCAACCTCAATATTATCTCTCTGAGAAGTATCTATGCTGGAAATTTGTAAGGTGGCAACCTGAAGCAGTTCTTTGAGTAGATGCAGCCATGTATTCCACTTAGGTGAGTGCACTGCCCAGAGCACCGGAGCCAGAGAATTTTGCCTAGTGGTACCCATAGGAGGCAGCACTCATGCCTCATGCTCATAGTGCCTCCCCTGGCTATATGAGGCAGTGCTGCCTCAAACCCCCACAGCTGCTTCTTACCCCCTGTGGCTGGAGTTGGAGCTCTGTGTGGTTCTTAACCTCCCAATCTCTCTCTTTATGGTCTTACCCTGTTGTATATAGTTAGTACCCTTAGTGGTAGTTTGTGTTAGATTTAGTTAGTACTTCCTAGTGTTACCCCTAACAACAATCTCCACACATGGTGCTTGCTGTGCTTGGGTGAGGCTCACGTCAAAGAATGGTGTTTGATTTGCAGATTGTTCACAAAATGGCATGGGGCCTTTGCCTAAAGCAGCACCTGCTCAAAGGGTCCATGCAGCCTGCTTTGACACCGAGGTCAGGTTCTGAGAGTGCTGCCAGTTTGCTCTCTGGAGCTGGTGACTATCTGAAGAGATGGAGGAGCTGCTTCCCATCAAGTGCACCGAGGCAGAGATCGCATAAGACCAATCAAGACCCTCCAGGTTTCATGCACCATCTTGCACCACCAATGTTACCATGGTAGCACTCCTCACCCTCCACTTCGGCATTGTCAGATGTATCAGTACTGCTGCTGACTTCAGGGCCGATGCCACTCGGAGCACCAGAAACAATGGAGGCGTACTTGGTGTCGGCGGTGCAATTTCTACCATCAGTGTCAGTCCCTCCCTGGTTTTGGGAGACGGATTAATCAGACCATTAGCTCACACCCTCAGGGCTGGCTCTATTTTTATTCCTGGAAACCCAAGATGACTTGGTGTCAAGGTTGGGATTTTCCTCCTTCCATTCTCCATCACGTAGCCCACATTGGGAACCATTCATGGAGTATTGTGGGTACTGGGATTGGCACTTGTGTGGCAGTTGGGATAGGATCCCATGCCCTGCACCTACTGGCCACTAATGCACTCTCATTATGCCCAGTGGCCTCCATAGAATTCGCAGGGCGCTCCTCAGTCATGGTGGTCGCACTCCACATCTCGCTCCAAGGCGAGATCACTAGGCATGTCTGTGGTGAGGGACGTTGACTTCCCACAGGTTCAGGCACCAGTGAGCCTTCCCATTGTGGAGCCTCCAGAGTTGTCTCATCCAGGACCACCTGTCCAAGAACAGGATCCAGTCCTGGTGCAGTTAACTGCCTCTTCATCATCCTTAGATGATTCAACGATGCTCGGCTCTTCCTTTCCTTCGGTGCCTGAAGACTTCAGGGTCTACCATGACATTTTGCAGTGTATGACTTTTTTCCTGGGCATTCTCCCTGCAGGAGAATGTCCATAAATTGTTGGATATCCTGCAGCCATCTGCTCCTGGGAGAATGACCCTCCCTATTAATGATGCGGTCCTGGAGCCTGTGAAGTTTCTTTTTGGAGCATGCTGGCTTTGGTGTCCCCTGCTGCAAAGCATTTGGGGAAATGCTACTTCTATTCATACCTGAAACATTACTCCTTAGTCCAGGCCTATTCTGCAAATGTAGCTGTTGGAACAACAGTATTATAGACCTCCATGGTAACTGTATCCTGATACCTCCTGTCCTGTTTGAATACTGCTTACCCATCATCCACATGTCAAATACACATAGGGACCAGCGCTCAAAGAAATGAAAGTCACTTACCTGTAGCCTGAGGTTCTTCGAGAAGTATGGTCTCTATCTGTATTCCACACCCCTTCCTCCTTACTTTCTGCTTTGGATCCTATTTGATTTTCAGTAAGAGAGAACTGGAGAGACATTGGTCCACACCTGTGAAGGCTGATTCCCCACTCTGGCACTCCGAGTGCAGAAGGTGGGGTCCCACAAGGATTTTAAAAATTAATACTTGCCACTCCAGGCTTGTATTAAACCCCCAAGGTTACAGCTTTTCTCTGACCTTGGCTTGGTAAATGCTGCCACCCCCCCAAGTGAAAAACTGTCTCTTGCAAATCCTGGAAAAACTCACTTGGGAAGTTTTCCCTAAGGCCCCTCGGCTTTTCCACCCCTCCCTCAGGGAAGCCAAGAAACAAACAAAAGGGAAACCTATTTGTTGCCACCAGCTAATGGAAAAATGCATGCACAGACCTTTTAAGACACAAAACCAATCAGGTTCTTAAAAAAAGTAAATTTTATTAAAAGCAAAAAAGAAAATATATCTGGAACTTAGGCTTTTGCTAGATTTTAAAAGAGCAATTCCAAAAATTGAGCACCCAAAATAGCTTTCTTGGGGGTTCAGCTTAAAGGTTACAAGCAAACAAAAGCATCTGGGGTTAGCACAGAGTAGTCCACAAGCCTTACAGAAAATAGATGCAATTAGGGTTATTTCTTTTATCTAAACATTCCGTGTCCCAGTGAATTCTTCTAGGTATGGACGATGAATTTTCATACCTGGTCCAAACTTTACACAGCATTCCAGATACCCCTGTCTCCAGCCCAGAGAGTCAAAGGGAAAGCTTTTCCCCTTTTAAAAAGTTCTAGCCTTCCCGTTGGCTTTTTTGGTCAGGTGCCCACTCCTTTTTCTTTACCTGGGGACTTTTTAACCCTTTACAAGTGAAGCAAGCAGCCACCAAGAGGGACTTTATAGGTAACTATCTGGCTAGGTGCCCAAAAAAGGGAGCTCCCCCTTTCATTTATCACAACATCTCTCCTTATTCCCTCAGTACAGAGCATGAAGGGGAGTAACTGCTCAGGCATGGACTAATGGATGCTACTTGCTAGAAATCACATCTCAAAAAACCTCCGTGTACAGATAAGGAACTTATGTTTTATTACACAAAGCATTAGGGCAGTAAACTCAGGTTGTATTTTTTTCACCTAAAATCTGGCAGTGACTTAGTTCTATGCCATTGAAAGTAAAACTACAAGTGAAAAGATATATGTGTATATCGCTGCAGTGAGTTGGCTAACAAAGGAATAATTTATCTCATATTAAGAACTTGAAGACATAAGCTTCCACTTGTACCTCTTGAAATTCATTTAGTACACACTTTGGCTAATTCTTAGCTAAAATAGTGTAATCAAAGGGGTTCAGAAAGATTTTTGACTTACGTGGTTATAAAAACAAATTCATTTGAAAGGTAAAGTTATAGCATACAAGTTTAGAGCTATTAGAAGTGCGGAGGATATGATCTACTGAATTTTGGTCTAGCCATGCTTTACTGTAGCACATAACTAATTTGTAATGGCTTTTTGTGATTAGTATGTGTTGGTATCTGGTCTAGATTTGATAGGCAAATGCATTGGAGAAGACGCCAAGTATGAAGGCATCAGACTTCTGTTTGATGGAATGCAGCAGCCAGTGCTTAACAAGCAGGTACTTTTAATTCTGAAAACAATTACATGAGAAACCTTACCGCTTGGTGTAGTGTTTCATAAAGGCTTTCAGTGATCTTTTGTGTATCCCAGGTAAATGCAAATTCTCTTTTAATTATTAAAAATGAAGAGCAATATAGTTGTTCTAAAGGGTTGTCATTAGAACTGACCTTGACTCTTTTACAACAGCTACTTTTTCTGTTTTTTTTAGTTGACTTATGTTCTGCTGGATATTGGGATACAAGAACTGTTCCCAGAGCTCAATAAGGTATGTGATGACAAACCCATATAAGTGCTTCAGAATAGATCTCCTCTAATCTTAGTCACTTTAAACTCCTCCACTATATTAATCATAAGCAGATAGACAAGAAATCCCAACAGTTACTGTTATCATTACCCATCGAAAGGTTAACTTCATTGAGGAGTCTGTATTTTGTTAGGTTGAAAGATGCCTTCAGATCTTCCAAGGCCAAACTTTTTAATTTTTGCTGATTAAAATTTTTCTCATGAGGCCTGTAAGTTGTGCTAGAAGTAGAGGTGCCAGTGAAACTGTGCAGGGTAGCCAGCGGGCTATCCCCGTATGCCTTGTCATTATTGACTGTCAAATTTCAGCAGATGCTGCCTTTGGAAAATTTATCCTGCTTGTTGCATTCTGATGTGGAGGTTCAGCATTTTTCCCATCGAATGTGTATTTTGTTGTACCTAATTTTGGTTATTGCTTTCTGAAATTCTCAGTGTCCAGATAAAGGAGAGAGTAATCACATGGCTAAAAAGTACTGTATAAGGGCTAAGCACTATTTATATAGTGTATAGTAATCTGGAGGGGTGTGATGTGTTTGTATCTACTGTGTATGTCAAACTTTTTGAAAGAGAATTGCATAATGAGTTTTTTGTTAGCCAAGTAACTTTGATATTTTATTTAAAATATAGAACTTGCATCTTAACAACTGAGATTGTAAGCACCACAGCACGGGAGCTGCATCTTAGAGTTTGCATAGTGCCAAGCACAGTTTTAGCACTTAACTCAAAAATAATACCCTGTTGTTGGAGCCAAATTAATATTTCAGTTTTTCTTGGTAAATATAAGTTAATAATGGAGGTTGAAATGGAGGCCATCTATATTACTTTCACGAAAGAGAGACCTAACTTACTTAGTTGAAACTGCTTTGTGCCTCGGACTCATATTTAATTCCTCTTGTATTTATGCGTTCTAGTGATTTCAAATTGAGGGCAGTGGAAATAAGTAAAGGGAAAAGAGAAGTAGCTTTTTGGCCCAAGACTATGAGGCTGCTACTCTTATGCACTGAACTATTTCTGTAGGTGTCCTGGTACTTAACGCTATATCACCAGTAACATTAACCAGTCCCTCAACTGAAGACTTCAAAATGAAGGTTAGAAAAAATGGTTCAAGTTTTTAAAAATCTTACAGGACAAGTTGAATTGTATAATCTGCAGTCATGCTAGACTGCATGTGGATGTACAAAGAACCTATCAAGAAGCTGAAAAAGAAAATGAACTCTGGGAATTATGTACTCCAGAAATTGACCAGTACAAAATGGGGAGTTCACCCCCAAATACTCCAAGCAACTAGTCACTCCTTGTGTTACTCAATTGCAGGTATTGTGCACCAGTATGGTCATGCTCCATCCATGCACACGCAATTGATACTGACCTCAGTCAATCCTGTAGGATCATCACAGGGACTTTGAAACTGACCCCCACACTGTCACTATACTGCCTTTTGGGATTGCACCACCATCAGTGAGGTGGGATGCCTTCAGTAAAAAGGACACTAAAACAGATGCATGGTCCAAGACACGCATTGTATGGACACATTCCACCATCCAAGAGGCTGAAGTCCAGAAAGATACTTGCCTCTGAATATCCCGTACTTCAGAATACCATTGTGGAAGGAGAGAAATGCCAATGATTCCAGAGAACCTTCAGAACAACTCCCTCCAGACACCTCGAACTGGTTGCTCTAAATCACGTGAGACCTAGGGTGGTAAAGCCTTGTGACACTATGACCAAGTGGAATTTGATAAATGACCCCAAATGTGAATGTGGAGAGCCTAGTCCAGTGGCTTTCAACCTGCGGGCCACTTGTGGGCCAATTAGCACACAGCTGCGGCCCAGCTGTCTGCTTAAAAAAAAAAAATTCAAAATTTGCTGCTCCAGTCTGGCGGAGGGTGGGGTTGGCTGAGGGGAGACAGCATCTGGCAGTCCTACTGGAGCGCTCCTGCCAGCAGGGGGCAGGTGAGTGCTGCAGGGGGCAGGGTGTGGGCCACTGGCCTAATTGACTAAAGAGCTATGGCCCTAGCTCTGGAAGCTTGATGCTCTTTTCCCCTCCCACTTGGTGGAAGCTGAGAGGGTCTAGGTCTCTTTCTTGGACTTCAGTGGCTGAAAAAGGGCAGAGATGAGGCCCCCACTTGACAAATTCAGCTACTCCCTCTTTGGCATGTGTGAAGGGGACCTTTTCTCCTAGGAGGCAAAAGCATTCTAGTGGAGATAACAGGTCTGGGATCAGGGTTGGGGGGAGGCAGCAGAAGAAAGACAACTGGTATGAGAGGGGTGGAAAACATGGCACAGGATGAGGGATAAGATCTGGAGTCCCAAAGTACCAAGAAAACAGGGGAGAATAAAATAGGTGATAGTCGCTTGATTCTAGGTTGGGGATTACATTTTGATTTCACCCCCATTCCTCCAATCTATCTGTCTAATTTCCATTGATTTGGTAGCTGAAATTTTCATATATAGTCTCCCTCCTAAAAATGCCCTTCCTGCTACCCTTTTTGAAAGAGCCTTGAAGGGAATCTCTTCTTTTTTCCCTCCAATAAATGAGGGGGAGGCGGGGAGCCCTGAAATTACAATCTGGTTTTTGCTTAGTTATTAGTTAACTGTTTTGGTTTTTTTTGGCAAAAGTCTTGACTCAAGTGTCTGGTCTGGCCAGAGTTACTTTAAGACTTCTGAGATTTATGTTCATTATAAAAATTAGAGAGTTACAACTAGTTACCTACAGAATGGTCCCTGTTTAATGTTGGCTTTCTTTTTGTCCAGTTGAGGAATTGTATTAAAACTAAAAATATATTCAGATTCTGAGCAAGAACATACAAAATGAGAGCTCCTCCCATCAATATTTAAAGAGAGGCTGAACCTAGCTTTTGGAGCATTGTTGTTACAGAACACTCACTGTGACGGGATCCCTGCAGTGCAGCCTGCGACTGTGGGACCACTGTGCCCCCTTAACTCTCCAGCTGGGGCAGTCTCTCACAATGCTTTGCTAGTGACAAGCAGCAAACCCCTCCAGGAGCTGTGATCACTCAACACAACTGCGTGTGGAGCCCCACAGCCAGCTAGATTGTATGAATGCTCCCAGAGCCACTCATGAATCACACAGATAAAGTTTCAGAGTAACAGCCGTGTTAGTCTGTATTCGCAAAAAGAAAAGGAGGACTTGTGGCACCTTAGAGACTAACCAGTTTATTTGAGCATGAGCTTTCGTAAGCTACAGCTCACTTCATCGGATAAAGTGTTTTCTTAAAATTAACATGTGCTGGGTCATCATCCAAGACTGCTATAACATGAAATATATGGCAAAATGCTGCTAAAACAGAAAAGGCGACATATAGTTCTCCCCCAAGGTGTTCAGTCACAAATTATTTAATGCATTATTTTTTAACGAGTATCATCTACATGGAAGCATGACCTCTGGAGTGGTGGCTGAAGCATGAAGGGGCATACAAATGTTTAGCATATCTGGCATGTAAATACCTTGCAATGCCGGCTACCAAAGTGCCATGCGAACGTCTGTTCTCACTTTCAGGTGACACTGTAAATAAGAAGCAGGCAGCATTATCTCCTATAAATGCAAAACAGACTTGTTTCTCTTAGCAATTGGCTGAACAAGAATTAGGACTGAGTGGACTTGTAGGCTCTGAAGTTTTACATTGTTTTGTTTTTGAGTGCAGTTACGTAAGAAAAATCTACATTTGTAAGTTGCACTTTCACAATAAAGAGATTGTACTACAGTGCTTGTATGAGGTGAATTGAAAAATACTATTTCTTTTTTCTCATTTTTACAGTGCAAATATTTGTAATAATATAAAGTGAACATTTTATAATTTGTATTCTGTGTTGTAATTGAAATCGATAAATTTGAAAATGTAGAAAACATCCAAAAATATTTAATAAATTTCAATTGGTATTCTATTGTTTAACAGTGCGAATAAAACTGCAATTAATTGCGATTAATTTTTTTGAGTTAATTGCGTGAGTTATCTGTGATTGACAGCCCTGATTTATATAGAACAATGGCTTTCAGCAGATCATAACCTTTCCCTTGATACCTCACATGGCATGCTTTAAATGCAAGATCACAATTGTATATAAATGAGGAATATGGGGGTTACAGGGCACTCCCCCAAGGTATAGTGTTTCACACTCACATACTAGACACATCTTGGGACTCAGGAGAGAAGTCAGCTAATTTTCAAAAAATAAATCAAGTGTTTATGCTTCTCCCTCAGCAACTGCTTGGGATTTTGGGAATGAATCTGCATTTTGAGGCAGCATTGCTTGTTCAGAAGACCTAAATGAGGATGTTTATTTTTGAAATATCCCATTGAAGATCATAGAATTGTACAATTATAGAAATGTAGGGCTGGAAGGGACCCCGAGAGGTTATCTAGCCTAGCGCTCTCTGCCAAGTATACCTAGACCATCACTGACAGGTGTTTGTCTAACTTGTTCATAAAAACCTCCAATGACAGGAATTCCACAACCTTTCTTGTAAGCTTATTCTAATGTTTGACTCTCTATGCAGGAAAACTTTCTAATAGCTAACCTGACTCTCCCTTGCTGAAAATTAAGTCAATTAGTCATTGTCCTACTTTCAGTGGAGATGGAAAACAATTGATCACTCTTTACAACAGCCCTTAACACATTTGAAGACTGTGATCAGGTCCCCCTCCTCAGTTGTATTTTCTCAAAACTGAATATGCCAGTTTATTTACCCTTTGCGCACGTGTCAGATTTTCCAAACCTTTTATCATTTTTGGTGCTCTCCACTAGACTCTCTCCAGTTTGTCTACATCTTTCTCAAGTGTGGCACTCAGAACCGGAAACGGTACTTCAGCTGAGGCCTCACCAGTGCCTAGCAGAGTGAGACAGTTAATCCTTTGTTTTACATACAACTCCCCTGTCATATATGTCCCAGAATATTAGCCTTTTTTGCACCTGTATCACATTGTTGGCTCATATTCAATCTGTGATGCACCACAACCCTAAGATCCTTTTCAGCAGTACTACCATATAGCCAGCTTTCCCCATTTTGTAGTTGTGCATTTGATTTTTTTCCATCCTAAGTGCACTTGTCTTTATTGCATTTCATCTTGTTGATTTCAGCCAAGTTCTCCAATTTAAGGTTGTTTTGAATTCTAATTCTGGTCTTCAAAGTGCTTGCAAACCCTCCCAGCTTTGTGTCTTCTGCAGATTTTATAAATATACTCTCCACTCCATTGGAGTCACCGCATTAGGAATCCATTAGGAATGCAGCTTCGATGCAGCATGCCCCACCAGAGATTCTGCAGCTCTTCGATCTTTGTGGTGCTGCAGAAAACGCAGACACCCTCCTCTAGCTGGGTGCCTCAGTCAAGTTCACCAGTACCATAGCCAGCTAGAGGCAGAAGCTCTAGAAAAGACTCTAGAGGCATTTCCTAGAGCACTCATTGACCAGAAAGAAGGGATCACTGCCTCTGGAACCTGGCCAGGTCCATCAAGGCTGACCTGTGAAAAATCCTTGTGTCAGGAATCATTACCACTACCAACCACTCCAGAGGCATATGAAGACCTGCTTAGCCTTTCAGTGCCAATATCCCCAGTGGTACAGAAAGGCTTCCAGTCACCACATCAGGAGCATTCAGTACCACTACAGCCCACACTTCCACAAAAGCCAGTGCAGTTGAGAGGCAAGCCAGCAATGATATCCTTGGTACTGCCATCCCTGGATTCTGGCTACCTATCCCCAGTTCTCACTGGCTGTGCTCTTCCATTTTCTGAGGGCTCAGGCTCTTCTTTGTCAGACTTGGGGGTGCATTCTTGTGTCCCAGCTAGTTCTCAGAGAACTGGGGACCATGGATGTCACAGTAATTACAGCACTGGCTGCCTCCTCAGGGGCAATGGCCCAGTCAAGCAGGAGTCCTAGGCCCATATCTGTTGCCATTCTGGATGCTGTGGGGAATTCCCCCCACCTGCTAGTACTTCTATTCACCTTCCTTGTTTGGTTTCCTCAAGGGTGCACCAAAAGAATTGGCACCACAGACAACATTCTCTAGTACCCGGTACTGAGAGCATCCAGAAGTCACTTGGGTGGCTTCTCCACCATAAGACTCAGAGCAGCCACTACCTCAGCATCTTGTGGTGTCGTCCTCTTCATCACCAGACAAGGCTGTAAAGGTGGCAGGTTTAAGCACCACCAGAGGACCATGAGGCTCATCAAGATCTACTGAGAAGGGTAGTCTCTTGTTCTTGACATTCAGGCAGAGGAGGTCTGTGAGAGCTCTCACAAGTTAGTGGACATTCTGTTACCAGTGGCCCTTTCTAAAATGGCGCTGCGATTCATGAAGCAATTATGAAGACCGTTAAGGCACTTGAGTAGACCCCCATATCTCTCACAACAAAATGGGCCAAGAGGAGGTACTACAACTGTTCTAAAGGATATGAGCCCTTGTTTTCTCATCCTCCTCCAGGCTCCTTAGTAATAGAATCTGCTAACCAGCAGGAGAGGTAAGGACACCAAGCATCAACATGTAAAGGCAAAGATTCAAAAAGACTGGACTCGCTGGGTCGCAAACGTTAATCCTTGCGAAGTCTGCAATTTAGGATTGCAAACCAGCAGGCACTCTTGAATCACTATGACTTCACGCTTGGGGAAGACATTAAATTCAAGAACAGGTTACCAGAGAGCTGCAGGCAGGAATTCACTATAATGATGGAAGAAGGTAAGTTGGTTGCCAGAACTGATCCTCAGAACAATTTGGATGGTGTGGACTTGGCAGCTCGAACCATGGCATCAGCTATTACTTTAAGATGTTCATGGTTTCAGTCCTCTGGGCTCCCCCAGAGGTCTGCCAGGCCATTCTTGACCTTGCTTTCGAAGGTCCGTCTTTGGTTTTGGATAATTTAACAATAAGCTCCAGAGACCCCTGTGGGATGCCAGGAGATATGTCCTTCCAGTCTGACAATGAATCATGGATAACTACTCTTTGAGTATGGGCTTTCAACCAGTTGTGCACCCACCTTATAGTAATTTCATTTCGATCACATTTCCTTAGTTTACTAATGCCTTTTATGACCCTTGCTAGATGTAATTCATTTTGTGCCTTAGTTTTTGATTTTCTCTCTACATTCTTGTGGGTATTTGGTACTTGTCCTTAGCTATTTGTCTGTGTCCACTTTTTGTAGAATTCCCTTTGGATTTTCACATCATTAAAGAGTTCTTGATGGTGCCATATTGGCTTCTTACTGTTCTTCTTGTCTTTCCTTCACATTGAGCTATTCTCATTGTGCTGTTGTGCCTTAAATATTGTCTCTGAGAAACGGCCAGCTCTCCTGAATTCCTTTTCTCCTTAGTTTTCTTCCCATGGGACCTTACCTGTCAGTTCTCAAAGTTTTTTTTTTTTTTTTGAGCGTTTTTTGAAGTCATTGTCCTTGTTCTGCAGCTCTCTTGCGTTCCTTTCCTTAACATGATGACATCTGTCATTTCATGGTCACTTTCACCCAGATTGCTTTTCCTACCTTCAGATTCACAACCAGTTCCTTCCTGTCCCCCTCGTTACTACTTCCACTTTCTGAAACAAGTTATCCCAAATACATGCCAAGAATTTATTGGACATTGTGTTTGCCCTCTTACTTTTGTAACAGATATATGGGTAGTTAAAGTTCTCCATTATTACCAGGTCTTGGATTCTGGATATTGCTGTTGTTTGTTGTAGAAATGCCTCATCTACCTCCTCCGCCTGATTTGGTGGTCTCTAGTGACCCCTACCTTGACATCATTCTTGTTTCCCCTTCACCCCCACTTATCTTTACCTAGAAACTTTCAGCTGGTCTGCATCTGACCTTCTGGACCTCAGAACAAGTGTATATATTCTTGATATATAATGCAACACCTTCTCCCTTTTTCCCTGCTTGTCCTTTCTGAACAAGCTCTACTCTTCTATACCAATATTCCAGTTGTGAGGTTTATCCCACCAAGACTTACCAGTGATGCTAATTAAATCATAATCTATCTTGTGTACTACTACTTTATTCCTCATATTCTTGCATTTGTGTATCAACATCCTAAGATGTTGAGCACATTCCCCTGCTCTTTTTCCTCTTGTTGCTCCTATTCACCCTGTTGTAATTTTCCATTTTCCCCGTATCCCCCCTCCCGCAACATCTAGCTTTGTTTGTTTGTTGCCTTTTTTTATGCCTACTTGGGGCATTTGTCACCTGCCCCCTTTGAACCTAGTTTAAAATGAGGTATTATGCTGTAAAGCCATAGCTTGTTTATATATTTGGTTAATAACCCAGTTCTTAACTGGTGCTATGAAATAATTCCCGGGCTTCAGGTTTATATCTATCTTTGTTTGTTTTGTCCAGCCATTCTGTTTCCTTTTCAGCCATTAATCTTCATGTTCGATGTCTTGGATTCTTATTTGATTAGCCTTGTCATTACCAGTATACATTTAATCATTTCAGATGTACTGGATTTAACACCCAAATAAACATTCATAAATAGATTATATAAGAGCTGTCTTTTTAGAAGAGCAGTAAAATGCCATTATATAAACTCAGTCTCAAACACAATGTACATCTAATCTGGAAACCCTGGGGTGGTGAGCTGGGATGATAGAGGGAGGAAGAAATCACAGCAGGGGATGAAGAGAAATGAGAGGTAAAGACTGAAGATTTTATTTCAGAATGAGGGATTCTAGATCATAGGATTGTGTTGAGAAAAGCTGGTTTAAGGTTTGGGAACAGAAGGAAATTACAGAGAAAGGACATTTCCTGATTTAAGGCACAGTAGGGGGGAAAAATTGTGAACATTATCCTTTAATTTCTGGACCTCCATATTTATTATGATGGTTTCTAATGTGTTTAAAATATTTTGTTCATTGTGATTGTTTCTATGTAAATGTTTCCATATGTCAGTAAATTACAGTGCAAATTTTTTCTCAATTACTACTTATAATAGGTTCAGAAGGAAGCTACCTCTGTATCATCTTGGATGTAAAAGCAGGAGCTTGGATGAACACCAAATGGAAATGTCTGCAGTGCACTAATTTAATGGATGTGAAACATTTTAGTCTTGAATTGTATATTTTCTTGTAAATAACAGTGAAATTTAACTTCTGAAGGTCTGTTTGCCTAATAAAGATTAATTCAAATTTAATACTGATTGAAATTAAAGAACTTTGTCCACTATTTGAACTTGTTACCCCTCTTCTCAAAAGTGTAACTGTTGCTAATAGACAAAATACTCATTTTACAAAGAATTGTCAGTGTAGGAGAGAATATGGTAATGTTTATTGTACATTGAAAAGCAGACCTGTAGAGGACGTAAATGAGTACTGCTAAAAACAAAGGGGTCATCGTCCTGAAAGGATATTTTGAAAAACTCTGGAATTAGGAAGATTTTGTGGGGAGGTGGCTACTGTATATAAACTTAGCTTTGATAGAGTAAGGTTGTAAAATATTGCTAAAAATTTCCCCAAACTAAATCTCTGTCTGTCTTCACTTCCTATGAAAAAAAATTGAATCTGTTGCAAGCAAATCATTATCTCAAAGCTTAAGTTTTTGGCCTTTCATATTTTGTTAGCATGAAAAGTACTTACATTTTGTAGAGAACGGGGAGCAAATGATCATTAAGTGTTCAGTTTATCTAGCAACTGATGTTGAAATATGAAGCACTTCAGACATAATTAGGTTGGTGGTTTTGTTTTTCTGTTTTTACTTCAGAAATATCACAAATATGAAGTCTTGCCAAAGTCTTCCTTAGAGGACTAAAAAACTGGAGTGGGAGCCCCCTCTGTTCTTGATGGAATATGTTTAAAGAATCTTTCCATGTTGAGATTCCCTCCCTTTTCCCGCCCCATGTGCATTTTAAGCTTTTTTTTCCCCCTTCAAAATAACACAATCCTCTACTTGAGTGATATTAGTAAACCCATTGACAAGTCCTTTTTAAACTAGTTTTATTTTTTGTAGTTACATATTACATGTCCATGCTATACCTTTTCACAGATACTCCTGGGCAGCACTTTCAGAAAATGTCAACACCAAATAAGATAGCTTTGTATTCTAACAAGAAGTTTAAAACAAGTACACAAATCTGAAACTCTGTTAGAGTTCTTGGTCAACCTCTGAGTCACATAACTTTTATATCCCCTTCCCATTTACTCCCTCCTCCCTTTAGCACAAAGATAGCTAAAATGTTAATTCCGCTGGCCAAATCCACCTCATTGGATAACTTGAAGGATACAGCAGAAGCTATCTACAAGGTTTAGATGCTTCTTGGCCCATAGGTGTAACCTTTTGTTGGTTTTTTTATGTCTGTTTAAAAGACACTGATCTGTAAATCAGACTAACTTTTATTCTGCTGGAAGTCTTTGCCTCTGACATTTTCTTATCTATAAGTGGAAGTTGCTGCCTCTAAGAGAGTACCTGTTGAAGGAAGAAGTACAGAATACTATTGAGATGGTATGTGAAATCCAAAAACTCTGCAACTTCCTGGGAACCCACCTTTCTAAGAATGTGGCAGTCTTAATCTCCTAGTTTAAGAGGAGCTTATGTCTGGTTTAAACACTGAAGCATAGTCAATCTCCATAAGAGGGGGCAAATTATCTCCTATTTGCTTCCTGTGTGGTTCTGCACCATCTGTGGCGTGTGGTGCTGGCCACTGTCACAGACTACAGGACTAACTGGACCCCAGGTCTCATTCAGTATGTTAATTCTTATGTTCCTATGCATATTTAGCAAAAGATATGAGCTGTCTCTCCCAACCCACCCTGGAAGGTTTTGGGGATGAGGATAAATATTGTTTGAGAAGGCTGGATCTGAGATGGACAAACAGGTAACAACTAACTTGTAACTAAATGTCTTAAGCGTACAAGAAGGTGGTAGCTATGCTAATATTTTACCTTATCAGAAGTTTAAAAATGCCTCTCTTAGAAACAGTGAGATGCAACCCCACATAGCTCAAGGTTTTTCCAGAACTACCTTATGTTGGAAGTTACCGATTTGAGAAGTAAATATTGACCATACAGAATAATTTATTTCCTGTTCATAATTTGCCTCTAGTATTAAATGTCCCATGTATGTAGTTCCTAGATAAAATGATTGGTTGTAATATAAATAGGTTCTGATTAACGTGGTGCCATCAGTTCATTTTTATTTTCTGGAAAACAGATTAAGTGAATTGAAAATCAATTACATACAGCTACACACAAACCATATGGAAACGTTTTGATATTAAGTTCCTTTATTAGTGGGAAGGTGATGGAAGGGTTTGCAATATCTGTAACTAAAAATTGTAACTAAAGCTGGTGCGGAAATGAGCTGATGTCATGCAATAATAGTGGTAAACTTGGTCCAGTTATTTCAGGCACTGACATAGCCAAGACAAGTGTTATTGAAAACTGGATACAGCTGTCACATTTAAGTTTTCAACCCTGCATAGGGGACAGAGGAAAGTAGTAATGCATCTATAAGTAGGAATTTACTTACACTACTGAAAAAAAGATTGTTTTCACTGTTTCAGCGTGCATGGGAAGAGTTGGAGGGAAAATTTTACACTGAGATGCTTGTAAATATTTCTATATAATACAAATTATTTTCTCCATGGAATAGGATGTTTTTCCTTTAATGCTTTGCTCTTTGGAACTTGAGTTTGAGGGTAGAAACATCAAGGAAGTGCACTTAAACCTGCTGTATCAAATTTGGAAACCGACTACCTGCCAAAATGTCCCATGATTCTGTATAGTATGCTTCACAGCTTTTTTTCAGAGCCAAGCATTGATAGCCAGATCTGGGCTAAAAACCTGTTAGAATGTGTCAACCTTCAGCAAAGCTGTTTTGTTTGTTCCCCAGAGAGATACATCTCAGGAAGCCCTTGGTCAAATGACCCCAAATTTGGATCAGTATTCCTACCTCAAACCCCTACGAAGCACACCAAATTTTAAGGCAACCTAGGTAACCAAGCACATAATACAGCATTTAGAAGAGCCGTGTTTTAGAGAGAGCTCGTCTCAATCTTGACTGTAGTACAGCTGCCCCTCCACTGTAATTACTGAATGCCTGCCGAGACCTAGGACCTGTTTAAACGTGTGCTGGGAGGTGCAGGCAAAGGGGAGGGGAGCAGGCATTCTAGCAGCAGTCTAAAAGCATCGCAAATAAGAATTAAAAAATAAAGTGCAGGAATGTCACAGTGAATAGTCCAGCAATCAGAGTAATACTTCCTTGGATGAAATTTCCTGCAGAAAACTTTACTCGACCTTCAACTGCTGGAAAAACACGTCCCATTCTAGAGATGTAATTGGAAACTACTTCAACATCGAGATCACCTAGATAAACAGAAGTTATAGATAGATATTGTGAAATTACAATTAATGTTAAATAGCACCCTCCAACTTTGTTTTCTTGATTCTCATTTTTAACTATAATTTCCCTTGAAGAAGGAATTGCTTTCTACTACATTTTCATATTCAGGAGAGCACAATTATTTATGACAGTGGTTTTCAACCTGTCGTCTGCAGACCCCTGGGAGTCCACAGACTATGTCTAAGATTTCCAAAGGGTTCCACACCTCCACTTGAAAATGTTTAAGGTTGCAAACCACTGGTTTAGGACATCAATGGACTGGGAAATCACAACTGATTATAAATGTGTGTTCTACAGGGATGGACAGCTAGAACAGTAAAACTTTTCACAATAGTTGTTCCTAGAATGTCCAAGGTGGGCATCTGAAAGATTACTGGGAGTGCATTGCCCCTGCCATAGTTACTCTGGTTTATCTTTGTAGGGTTCCTAGGGCATACCGAGTTTCCTGGCATGTTTACACAAAGAGTGATCCTGAGTCCCATTTCCAAAGGATTCTCTAACACTGTGCATTGTTATGCTGGTAACAGGTATGCATAGCTGACAGGTTATGCACTGTATCTTTCCAGTGTTAAATCTTTAGTATGTTTAGGAACTGTGCACTTCCTTGTACACACAGACTCCTTGTGAATTTTCCTTCAATATGTTAATTTATTTCTGTAGAGGGTTTTACTGGGAGTTGTTTTAACATTACAAAATAAGTGATAATTATGCAAATATGTTCACCTAATGAACATAAAGACACTATAGATTAACTGACTTTGAAATAGCTATGGCTCAAAAGATCCCATCTGTGAGGGATGCAAAAACCATAGATTCTCAGACTAAGGTCAGAAAGGACCACCACTGAACTCTTGCACATTGCAGGCTACAGAACCTCACCCCCCCTTCCCCCAACAGACCCCTAGCCTCTGGCTGAGTTACTGAAGTCCTCAAATCATGGTTTAATGACTTCAAGTTACAGACACTCCACCATTTACACTAGTTTAAACCTGCAAGTGTCCCAGGCCCTATTCTGAAGGGGAAGGTGAAAAACTGCCAATCTGACTCAGGGGAAAATTCCTTCCCAACCCAAATATGGTGATCAGTTAGACCCTGAGCATGTGAGCAAGACCCACCAGCCAGACACATGGGAAAGAATTCTCTGTAGTAACTCAGAGCTCTCTCCAGCTAGTGTCCCATCTCCAGCTGTTGGGGATTTTTGCTACTGGCAGTTGCCAATAGGCCACATGCCATTGTAGGCAGTCCTGTCATACCAGTCCCTCCATAAACCTATCAAGCTCAGTCTTGCAGGGTTTTTGTCCCCACTGCTCCCCTTGGGAGATGGCTCCAGAATGTCACCCCTCTGATGATTAGAAACTTTTACCTAATTTCAAGCCTAAACTTGTTGATGGCTAGTTTATATCCCATTTGTTCTTGTGTCCACACTGGTGCTTAACTTTAAGTCCTCTCCCACGCTGGTATTTATACCTCTGATGTATTTATAGAGAACAATCATATCTCCCTTCAGCCTTCCTTTGGTTAGGCTAAACAAGCCAAGCTCTTTGAGTCTCCCCTCGTAAAGTAGGTTTTCCATTCCTTAGATAATCCGAGTAGCCCTTCTCTGCATCTGTTCCAGTTTGAATTCATCTTTCTTAAACATGGGCAACCAGAACTGCACACAGTATTCCAGATGAGGTATGACCTGTGCCTTATATAATGGTACTAACATTTCCCTGTCTCTACGGGAAATACTTCACCTGATGGATCATAGGACTGCATTAGTCTTTTTCACAGCCACATCACATTGACAGCTCATAGTCATCCTGTGATCAACCAATACACACGTCTTTCTCCTCCTCTGTCACTTCCAACTGACATAAGTCCCTAGCTTATAGCAAAAATTCTTCTTGTTAGTCTCTAAACGCATGACCTTGCACTTTGTGTTATTAAATTTCATCTAATTTCTATTACTCGAGTTTACAAGGTCATCCAGATCTCATACGATATTACAGTTCTCCCCCCTATTCATAGTATCTCCCACCTTTGTGTCATCCACAAATTTTATTAGCTCACTTTTTGTGCCAAAGTCAGTAACAAAAAATGTTAAATAAGATTGGTCCCAAGACCGCTCCCTGAAGAACTCCACTACTCCCTGAGGAACCTCCCTCCAGCCAGACAGTTCACCTTTCAGTATGACCCATTGTAGTCTCCCCTTTAACCAGTTCCTTATCCACCTTTCAAGTCTCATATTAACCCCCATCTTCTCCAATTTAGTAATTTCTCATGTGGAACTGTATTGAATGCCTTAGTGAAATCCAGGAAGCTAAAATTTGCATTTCTATTGTCTAAAAAAAAACCCCAGGTATCTTCTCAAAGAAGATCAGGTTGCTCTGGCATTATCTACTTTTTGTAAAACCATGTTGTATTTTATCCCAATTATCGTTCACCTTTATGTCCTTAACTACTTCCTCTTTCAAAATTTGTTCCAAGACCTTGAATACAATTGAGGTCAAACTAACAGGCCTGTCATTTCCTAGATCACATTTTTCCCCCTTTCTTAAAAATAGGATCTATATTAGCAATTCTCCAGACATAGGGAACAACTACCGAGTTTACAGATTCATTAAAATCTGTGCTATTGGACTTGCAATTTCATGTGCCACTTCCTTTAATATTCTTGGATGGAGATTATCCAGACCCCCCCGAGTTAGCCCCATTAAGCTATCTGAGTTTGACTTCCACCTCAGATGTGTAATTTCTACTTCCATATCCTCATTGCCATTAGCCACCCTGCCACTACTCCAAGCTCTTCATTTGCCTCATTAAAAACGGAGGCAAAATATTTGGACCATGCCTAGATAATTCTTCATCTCCACCTCATCCTCAGCGGTCCCACTTCTTCCCGTACTTATATGGCTATAAACCTTTTACTATTAGTTTTAATTTCCTTAGCAAAGTCCAACTCTGCTGGACTTTGGGCAGGTCTCACTTTATCCCTACACTCTCTGACCTCCAAGAAGTAGCTTTCATTACTGATCCCTCCCAGCTTCCATTGCTTGTAGGCCTTCTGCTTTCTTTTAATCACCTGTTTGAAATACTCAACCAGCTTGGTCTGCAACCCTTCCCTACAAATTTTTCCCCTTGCTTGGGATACAGGCTTCAGATAGTTTCTGCAGCTTTGGACTTAAGTAATTCAAAGCCTCCTCCACATTCAGATCTTTCAGTGCTTCAGTCCAGTTTACTTCCCTAACCAATTCCCTTCTTTTGAAATCAAGGACCCTTACTGCAGATCTATTTTTGTTTATCCTTCCATTTAGTTTAAATTGAATTAGCACATAATCACTCAAAACAAGGTTGTCCTCTACAATCAATTCTTATATGAGGTCCTCACTACTCACCAATACCAAATCTAAAATGGCATCACCTTTTGTTGAAAATCAAAAGGGAACTTTCTTTATATTTTTGTGAATTGAGCTAACAGGACAGTAGCCAGTCTGGAACTGGGAGACCCATCAAAGTCAGATAACATTACAGACCAAATGAAAACTTGTGCTAGATCTAGAAGCATGCCTTTACCCAGGTACTCTGTTTTATGGGAGGCTCTGTCCTTTGTGTATCTTCAGAAATGAATTTGAATAAATAAGTGGCTGTTAACTATATATGTTAAACATTAAATCCTTTAAAAGTTTTACTTCCTAACAGATTTGGATGGCAGCTATACAGGGCAGAGTAGTGTACTTGGTAAACACTTAAATGCTATTTTAAAATGGTGTTAGAAAAATCCATTCATTTTCTTTCCCTCTGGTGCTGGTTTGGCTTCTATTCTGGTACCATCAGCTGTGTGTTGATGCTATATACTCGTACGTGACTAGTCATAATCTGATACAAGGCTCCAAGAGGAGCAAAAGACGCAGCACCAGCTTTTAAAATGCTGGCTCTGTTATGTACGGCATAAGGATTTTTTTCCCCCCTTTCTATAACTTGTTTCCATGTTGTCCGGTGGATGCCTCAGTACCTGGCAATGCAGCTTTGGTGATCCACACACAACAGACTCTCCTTTAGATTTTGGACTAACCTTTTTGGTAAAAGCTACTTGAGCAAATATATTTCTAGTTGGTAGCATGTTTGAGGTGTAGATGAAAGCAGCCACTCCCTCTTCGTTTATTACAAGCTGCATGGTGTACCTAGTGCAGATACCACCTGTGGCCCCTCCGGCACGCTTCTGCTTATTTCCGTAAAATGATACGTTAGTGACACTGTTTCCTGCTCTGTGCTAAACTAAGCTGTTACATGCAGCCAGAGAACCTGATTCTGAGAGATGCTGATTTCAGTGGAAGTTGCAGGTGCTTAGTTTCTCTCAGGATCTGGCTTAACACTTATCAACTGAAAGAGAAGGAGTTAAATCTGGATGATTAGCCCTCAGTGTTTAGCGACTCAAAAGCAAATTATATCCATTCTATTTAAGATTCAGCCGTGTGGTCTCATACTATAGAACATCTTTAACATTCTTAAAACTAGGGGGATGTTAGTCTTCGATGTCCACTACACAGCTAATAGCTTGCTACATGTTCAATATGGAGTGCCTATGCTTACCCTGATTGTGACTCAGTGATTTATTTTTTAGCATAGAATATCCATCTCCTCCCTGCTGCAGAAAAGAAGGAAGAATCACTTTGTATGTTTCATCCATTTGGAGTGGTACATAGGCTGGTACTCTACAGGCTGTGCAAAGAACTTCTGTACTGACAACTCTGCTTCCTGGTGGTCTGGAAAGATCATAGACCACGTGAATGCCTAGGAGAAAACACATTTTTAGACATCACTTTAAATAGCCCCAATGGAGCACCTCAGACCAATAAAATCGTTAAACTGACTACACTTCCGCATGTAAGAATTAGGCCTGACTTTTGAAAGAGAACATTCTTATTGTAAAAAGCTTCCTGCCCTGTCCCCCTCTTACACACAAATCAGCTCTTACTCTTTACTCCAGAAAATTCATGGTTACTGGAACTGTGAGAACAGAGGGAGCATCCCAGCTCAAGCTCCATACCCTTTTTCTTTTCCCAGTTCCCTCCTGGCTGCTGACACACACAAACAGTTCATTGGTGAGATTATGATATGGGAGGTCAGACACCTCCCCTCCTCACCTTATTCCTAGTCTGCCTCCTTGTCATGCATTTGTTTACATACTATTATCTTCCTGGTTGAAATGAGCTCGTATGAAGACACATGCTGACAACTATGCCAACACTATGGTTATTACAGATAATGGCTATCTTCTTCATTCTTTTTGTACCGTAGCTACTAACTCAAATTGATCTAGGCACTGTGGACTTCTTGGCCTCATTGTACACTATGTACGGAAGTTGAAGTAGTGATGGTGTAACTCCGGCCATAACTCATTAATACAGTACTAAAATGCAGAACCATACAATGAAACCTACCAACCATGCAATTACATTAAGGTGTGTCTTAATATGAGGGCAGCAGCATGAGTGAGCAGTAGAGCTAGCATTAAAGGAAGTACAAATAGGTCAAGATAATCGCCGATCTAGTACAATTCCCTTCAAAAGGATTAGTAATCCAATCAATATAGTTATTAGGGTACCTCACAGTCAGATCATAGCACAGTGACACTGTGACAAACTGACGAGAGAAAGGACAGTTGAGGTAATCCACTGGACTGATTTAGCGCAGTTTGTTTACCAAAGGACTGAAAACAGGAAATAGGAGTTTGCAGGGAAACCAGACACAATTTTAGGCAGAATGTCATTTTACCCTCCTTAGAGGCAGGCACCCTAATTAGTCAAAAGTGCCAGTCAAGCCATTGCTATAACAAACAGATTATTGAAATAAACGTGAGTACCCTACCCACTGCTCTGGAACTGCTACAGCACAAGATGTATTACAGAATCTGGTGCAGCTGCTCCCACGTCTCCTCAGGATAGTTAAGAATGTTCTTATTTGAACAGACATGAATGAGATGTTTCTTATCTGGTCATTCTCTTCCTGTTAGCAGTTTCTATCCTCATTTATTACTAACGGGTTAATGCCCCCCATCTATGGTATTTGGAGGTGGTCCGGTGTTGTTGCTGAAGGCTCTAGAACTAAGCTCTGCCCTTCAGATCAGGCCACTTGAAGAGTTGTTCCAAAGCTAGAGAAATGCTCCAACAACCTATTATTAGCATTAAGAGAACAACTTGATATAGTGTATTAACTAACATGAAGACAATACATGTCTAAGTCACCCTTCAGAGAAAATTTTCAATTTTGTATTCTGGTCATTTACCAGATTATCAAGCCAGGTTGAATTCAGAGAAAAGTTGTTAACAGAAAAAATTATCTGGTAAGAAGTTTCTTATTCTGTTTCACAGCTTCTGTCCTCATTCATCATTAATGGGAAGTAGTAAGTAGTAAATCCTAGAAGTGGGGGGGAGGGAATCATAGGGTTAGAAGGGACCACAAGGGTCATCTAGTCTAACCCCCAATTTTAGGAATAATTAAAAAACTCTGCTCATCCTTCTTACATAGAATAATAGGCAGGGATGGATGCTCTTACTATATAAAGCAAGAGATTTGTAAGCTAACGAGTTACATGGGAATCAACCTAGTAGCACCTTCCTATCAAAGGATGCCGCGGTCGAGGAATGGAAACTTACTTTGCACGTCTTCCTCAGATAAGGCTCAGACATGTATTCCCCAGTGCCCACAGGGACTTCTGGGAATAGTTTCCCAGATGCTCAGCATGCAAACTGGTGCAGAATTTAATGTCTTGACTATGGCAAACTTGAGGCCCAAAGGCCCTGGCTTTTTGGACGGCCAAAATGATGGCACTATCTCCCGGAAATTGTGGAAAGAACTTACCTTGAATAGAAAAGGTTCTGGAGTTCTAAGAATAACCTTTTCTTCATGACAACATCAGTGTGGTTCTTGTATAGATTGAGCAACAAATTCCAAAGCTTGCCTTTCAGAGGTAATAGCAATTATTAAAACCAGCCACAGGACTGGTCTAATGTGTCATTGACTCATTTTGGCATCTGATGATACTCAAATGGAGAGTCCAGTGAGCCTACCTACAGAATGCCACTAGGGCTGGTACCTGTTTTTATGGTGCTTGGGCTGTAGGACTCCAACCTATCATCCTGAAGAAACCCTAATGTAGCTCAGATCACCAGGACTTTGTAACTATTTTAATGTGTATCACAATAGCATCCAGAGGTTATGATCCCGATGTGCTGGGCACTGCACAAAGAGGCAGTTTCTGCTGCTTCCCCTTGCATTAGAAACATACATTTGACCAGATCAATACATGATCCTGGCTGAGTTCTGTCAAGATACCAAACTGTAATGGAGAATCCATGCTGAACTACACTTTTCTTCGGATGCCCAGGCTGTTAACTGTAAGTGTTCCTGGTCTGAATGAAGGAATCTCTGCTTCAAGAGATTTGGTCTCTTCATCAGGTACAATGTGGGGTCCTTGACTATCTAGCAAGTCCAAAGTGCCTTCTGGGCCAATGGAGACCTTCAGCTCTCCCTTTAGCTTTATGTAAGCTGTCCTGAAAGACAGCAGGTTGTTTTCCAACCAGGACATTATTTCCATTCCCACAGAGAAACTTTGACTTCTGGTTACTCCCTGGTTTTGGAAGGGATACAATCAATCATAAGACAACCTTGAATGGAAGGTAGTAAGAGACTTCTCCGTGAATGCCTGCTAGGTGGTCTCTTACACCTTCTACTGGTGCAGCTGGACTAGCCACTGTCATAGACAATAATGGACTTAATGGACTATTGGTCCAATTCCATATGACCATGTTTGTGGTTTTTAGTTTTTTGTCCAGACACATTCTGACAGTGCTATCAAAGTGAACTAAAGGGATGTGTACTCTGTGATTTTGGAAGTCTGTCTTCCAAATATGCTTCCCGCTCAGGCTTGCTTCCAGAGTGAGTATGCAAGGTCTAGAGTGAAAATTCGGTTGACTCTCAGCATGTTGCTTGCACCTATCTGCGCACAAAGGGGCCTTCAGATGTGATCTCAGAATGACACCTCATTTTCCACTGCATCAATAACATGTTTCTAGGTCCTCAAAGAATTTCTTCAGGCACATTTTCAGAAACCTACTCAGGGGATGGAGCTGATGGACGATACCAGCAATCCTACTCATTGGAGATAACTGGCTACTGATGACCCCCTCAGGATGTGATTGATGCAAAGTTTTGGATCTTTGCAAATCTTTACCATTATGGTAAAATTATAACCAGAGCCATGTCTGTTTTGACATCTGGGTGAGCAATTTTCTGCATTGGGATCAAAAGCTCTTCTTGATTTTGAAGGACTTGTAGCTATGAATCCTTTCCAGCAGCTTTCCAGTTATGACTGAGTCTGTGTAAGGCGATGAGTCATCCCTGAACCAGAGCCTGATTAAACCAGATGCGTAGATGACTCATTCCTGTGCTAGTTTCCAGCCAAGCCACATGCCTGGAGTTGGTTTTGTGACTCTCAGGACAGCCTCACAAGAGAAACAGCAACTCAGTCCGCTCACCATCACTTCATGAGTTGGAACTCTTCTCTACCTGATAGCGGAGACAGAATCCACAAGCCTTAGCCTGCTCCAGGCTTCCTCTTGCTCCAGCCTTGTTCCTCATCCTGTCCCTGCCTTGCTCTTACTCTGGCCTTGTTCCAACACTGTTCTTGACTCCTGATCTTGGCTCTGTCCCCCTGGCTCCAACCACTAGGCTGCCACAGCTCAGACTATCAGAAACTGTGATGGGGATGGTCAGGCCTAGTGGTCAATTTCCCTGCACAGGGTACTGATTGGTATGCTATCTATGCAGGGGTATAGGATTAATGTGTGACCTGTGCTTTGCTGTGACTACTACCAGCCACTTAAGACTCGGGATGCAGAGGATGAATCAGAAGGAAGAATCTTATGGTGGAATTGTAAGCTCTTGTACACAAATGCTTTTTTCCCCCCGTCATACTGAGGATTCTGTTGGTTTGGAAGAAAACCTACCTAGGCTTCCTTGGAAGTTTCTGTTTGTACTATAAATATGAAATTGAAGAATGAGTCAGCTTAAGTGTTGTTAAGGAAATATATGCGTGTTGCAAAGAAAGGCCCTGACTCACAAGCAGAAGGGGGGCCTTGAAAACCATGAGTGATAAGGCCAGAAGGAATGAAGTAGATAGGATATTTGGCTCAAAGAATAACTGAGATAAGGGAATGCTTCTAAAAAGAAGGCCTCTGGCTGATAAGGGTGACTGCAGGTGGTTTTAGATAAGACAGGGAATCTGTCTAAAAAGGAACCAACATAAACATTCCCACCCCACAGACCAGCATTATTGTAAAAGTAGAGCCTATCTGAAGCTAGGTGCAATGGAAGACTTTTGGCCAGAAAGGCCTTGGGAAGAATGGTGGTTGTAAATCTTATCTGAATTAAGACTGGAACTAAGAAGGAATGGTCTCAAATTGGTTTTTTAGCTGAAGTCAGTAACTGGCAATGACATCACTTGTTTGTTAAAGGGTATAAAAAGAGTTTTGAATTTGCGGGTTCTTTGTCAGACCCTACCTGATCTGCCCGAATGAGATGGCTTTCCCTAGGCCTGGCCTACTTGTAAGTATAATGATCATGTCCATGAATACTTTGTTACTGTACTGGGTGTAGTGACTTTATTTTCAGGCTGTTAGGCATGTTTAGAGCAATTGTATAAAATACCATTTGGCCTTTGGACTTAATATAGGAATTTATGGTTAACATTTGGTTTTAATGAGGAGTCAACATTTGGATCTTATGATGTACTAGGGAGGTATCCATGAGAAACTGTATCTAATATGGCATTTTACTAAATTAATGAGTTCCTTGCTAGCCACTAGCATCCTGTACTGAAAAAGTCTTGCAGGGTATTTGTTTATTTATTTATTTATTTGAGGGGGAGGGAGGTTCTTTGGTGATGTGTGCGTGGTACTTGCCCTGGATGTTAGAGGCGGGAGGTAGCTTGGTATCTGTCCTGGTCTGGAGGATCACACCACCAAGGAAGGCTACTGGTACACATCTTGATTGTGGGAATAGCTTGCTAAGGGGAGCTTGAAAGGCTGCCTGCATTGCTCCTCCAGCCTCGCTAGCAGCACCCAAGTAAGTAGGAGCAGTCTAGTACCACTCGGGTCTTCACTCAGATCTTGCCCATTACACCACTGTGTAGACAGGATAAGGTTAGGATTTCTAACATTCACTAATATGATGCACATTATTTGGTCCGTGTGGACCCTGCTGGGGGCATACGAGAAGTGCCCTAGTGTGCTTTAACTTAGTTCTGTTAACACACACGAGGGAACTCTTCGTGAGCACTAATGGTGTATGTGGACTAGTTAATGTGCAGCACATTAGTGCATGTTAGGCATCCCATGCCTGTGGTGCCCATTCCCCCACCGTACAGTCAGGCAATCAGTCAGGATCATTTTGAACATGGGAAGGGATCTCACACTTACACCTCCGTAACCCCATGATGGTGCAGCGTGGTTGGGAGCGGAATCCTTATCTCTTCTGGTCAGACTGCCTGAAGTACTTTTAAGGCTTTAATGTGGAGACAGTCATGGGGAGGAGGATGGGGAGTGAGAGACTCTTTCCTACCTTCCAGCTTCCAAGCCATTTTCGGGCAGTTCAAGGGTTTATAGCTAGGGTGACCAGATGTCCTGATTTTATAGGGACAGTCCTGATATTTGGGGCTGTCTTATATAGGCACCTATTACCCCCCACCCCCGTCCTGATTTTTCACATTTGCTATCCGGTCACCATATTTATGGCTGATGATCAGAAGGCACAATTCCATTCTGCTGCTGCGTGAAATCTGAGTCCCTGTCCCTGGCAGAGTGATGGTTGTGGGTGGAAGGCCAGACAGCCACAATTCCTGAGGCAGGACTGCAGTGGAAGGATGGGCTCCTCTGCTAGCCCAGACATGCTGTAGGGTGGGGGAAGAGGTGGTGAGCATGATACAGAACACTGCAAGAGCCTCTGTGTAGCAGAAGAGCCCCAGCAGACACTGCCTTGGGGAAGGCAAAGGAAGAGTTTAACTCCTGTTTGCAGCCATTGTTCACTGACAATATTAACTGCTGCGCTGAAAAGGGTGATGCTTGCTTTGCCTTTTTGGGACCCATGAGGAGTTTGCCAGACTTACTTTTGAACATCATAAGAATCCCTCAATTCACAGGGAGAAGCAGGAGAGCTTATAGGAGCCTTTTTTCTTTCCCTCAGGGAGAAGAGACCCCACTTCAGTGGCCGGGGGTCAGGGAGGGACTGTAGCTCCTTTGAGGGGGGTTTCTTCCTCTGGCACAGGTCCGTTGAGCAACCTACCTCCTGAGCTGGCTGGGTAGCATCCTTCACTCTCCCCAGATGCTCAGGGCTTTTCTGCATTAGAGTCACGGCTCCTTGGGGCAGGATGGGGACCCAAGCTGCTGGTCTGACTCTGAGCTCTGTATCTGGCAGCGTGGGGCTCAGCTGGTTGGGAACAGGCAGGGCACAATTTGCCCTCAGTAGAGCATCTAAGTCGGGATGGGCAACCTTTTTGGCCCAAGGGCCATATCGGGGTTGTGAAACTGTATGGAGGCCTGGGTAGGGAAGGCTGTGCCTCCCCAAACAGTCTGGTCCCTGCCCCCATCCCCTGACTGCTCCCCTCCGAACCTCCAACCCATCCAATGCCACCCCTGCTCCTTGTCCCCTGACTACCCCCTCCGGGGACCCCTGCCCCTAACTGCCCCCCAGGACCCCACCCCATATGCTCCCTGTCCCCTGACTGCCCCGACCCCTATCCACACCCCTGCCCCTCACCGCTCCCTGGGACCTCACCCCCTATCCAACTCCCCTGCTCCCTGTCCCCTGACTGCCCCCCAGAACCCCCTGTCCCTTATCCAATCCCCCCGCTCCCCGCCCCCTTACCATGCCGCTCAGAGTGGCAGGAACTCGCAGCCACACTGCTGCACTACCCGGCAGGAGCAGCAGGCCGGAGCGTGTGAGATGAGATTGCGGGGGAGGGGGGAAAGCAGAGGAGGGGCCGGGGCTAGCCTCTCCGACCAGGAGCTCAAGGGCTGGGCAGGATGGTTCCGCAGGCCACATGTGGCCCATGCTGATCTAAGTGCTGCCTCACACAGGGAACATCACTTAGTTTTAGCCAGGGACTGAGAGGGCAGAGGAGTCCTGCAGAGAAGCAGTGGAACAACAGGTGCATGTGGTTGAAGCCACCATGCTGCTATTTACCTGATCCAGGGGAAGAGGGGGAAGACTAATGTTGCAGCTGCACAACAATGAATACAAAATAAAAAGTTTAAAACTCGATAAGTTTATGGAGGAGATGGTATGATGGGATAACATGGTTTTGATAATTAAATATTCATGGTAAATAGGCCTAATGGCCTGTGATGGGATGTTAGATGGGGTGGGATCTGAGTTACCCAGGAAAGAATTTTCTATAGTATCTGGCTGATGAATCTTTCCCATATTCTCAGGGTTTAGCTGATCGCCATATTTGGGGTCGGGAAGGAATTTTCCTCCAGGGCAGATTGGCAGAGGCCCTGGAGGTTTTTCGCCTTCATCTGTAGCATGGGGCATGGGTCACTTGCTGGAGGATTCTCTGCTCCTTGAAGTCTTTAAACCACAATTTGAGGACTTCAATAGCTCAGACATAGGTGAGGTTTTTCGCAGGAGTGGGTGGGTGAGATTCTGTGACCTGCGTTGTGCAGGAGGTCAAAGTAGATGCTCACAATGGTCCCTTCTGACCTTAGTATCTATGAAAAAAAAAAAAAACCAAAATGGTGGGGGAAATTGAACTGCCAACTTGTTCCACTCCCGGAGGCAAAAAATCTAGTAGCCTGAACAAAGGGGGAGAAGTAGCAAAGAGTCCTGTGGTACCTTATAGACTAACAGATGTATTGAAGCATAAGCTTTCGTGGGTGAATACCCACTTCGTCGGATGCATGGGGGAGAAGTTAGTCCTGTAGTCTCCAGCAACAACACTGACCTGCCTCTAGATTTCATTAGTGATGAAGGAGGAGAGAAGCTGTGCAACAGAATGGTGCATAGAACTAGCATGAAGATAAATGTATTTTCAATTTTATTTCATTTCCATTTGAGGCAGTGCAGCTGGTTCCCCAGAGGTATAAATGCCAATACGGGCAGCATGAAGTATGGCTATATTGGAAAGAGAATAATAATAATTAATAAAAAAAGAGAGTAACTAACCCCCAACCTGCAGCAGCTCGCCAGTTCCTTGTCCATGTCTGCGCACACTGTGCTCAAATGCTTCTTTCAGAGTGGAGCCTTTTAACTCCATCAGATCAAAAGTACCTCCAAACGGCAGCACAGCAAGCAGGTCCTCCATCGTAATAGTACCTTGGATAGAACAACACTTTATGTAAACAAATGTTCTTCATAATAAAGCACCTTACATATCTTGTTTAAGATCACTTAATAGTGTGCTACATAACCTATAAAGCCGTGTATCATTTGAAGCAGTGTCATTTCATAGTACAGCAGTATAGACTCAGTCTTTTGATCTGTGTCTCAGTTTTCCAAACTGGCCAGCTAGACATATCTAAGGATTTTCTACCTCTGTTTATGTGTGATGCACATAACCCACCTATACTGCAGCTTCACTAGTGGAAATGGGAGCAAGGCGACAACCTTTATGTGGTGCTTCTGCTACATATTAATAATGAACACAATGAATATTGTCAAAAGGCTACCAGATGTCAGTTTGTTGATCTCCTGCTATGGATAAGTAATGCACAAATCTGTCAAGAGTCCTTGTCTGGGACAGAATCAGAAAACCATTGGACCAGCTTTACACGTGTACCTACTTAATGTAGGAGGTCTGTCCCATGCTATGTATGACTATTTTCCAAAAGTTCTCAAGGAGAAGGACACAGACACTGTTGAGGACTTCCAGAACTTCCCAAAGATATGCCTGAAATATCACAAGCCTTTTTCGGATCAGGCTAAAGCCCTTAAAGCATCGTCATGCAATCCTGAGGCGCACAGGAAAGATTTCTGGGACAATGCCAATGTCCCAAGCAATCACCTTACTGCCAACTCCACAAAACGTACTTCCAGGCTTCAGCCTACCCTGGAAACAGCGCACAAATGACTCTGGACACCAGTCGCAAATGACGGACCACACTGTAAATGAATACTTGCTTCAATGTTTGCCAGCGACATCTCAGAATTTACACCACGCCACTTCCCACGCTACCTGCTGGCTCACTACTCTGAATTCGGTTATTTGAACGTTGTTAATCACCTCTCTTGCCATATGAAAGAAGGTAAGTGGAAAATGGCTACCTGTCAATCTGGGGACAAGAAAAACAGAAGTTCTTACAAAATTTAGCCAGTTTATCCAGTTACTTTCAATTGCTATAGCAGTCCTACAGAATGAGTTATCCAACATTAAAACAAATTGTTCTTCGATTTTATAATATTAGACTGAATTTATGGCACCATAAGAGTATACAGAATTCACTTACCTGTGTGGCAGAACATAAGAGGTTTCTAACAGACATAGCCTCCCTACAGAAGTTTAAAATAGGAAGTGAAGAATACCATCTCCACTTCTTCTGAGCGTAATGACAAGCCATAGTGGTAAAAACATCAGTGACCAAACCCTGCTAGTGCTGTCACCAATGCCAGCATGGCTGCAGCTGCATTAGTGCTAGACTAACTGGGAGAAGTTGAGAATAGCCTCAGTGCAGATGCAGCCTACGTGTCTAGGCCAGACTTACAGGAGGTAGTATGGCTGTAAGTTATTTCAGATTTTTATATGATCCAATTTTATCTGTTGGTGGAACTCAATTTTGATAATGCCTAAAATACTAAAATGGATAAACTCTATTGAGAGATTATTATTCATTATTCTTAAACTCCAGTATTCTATTGGTGCTTGCTCAATTAATTTGTTACTTCTGGGACTACACTGTGCACCCTCAAGCATTGAAATATAGATATTAGTTGTTTCTGATTGTGTTTCAGAATCAGTTATGTATACAATGTGTTTAACTTTTATGCATGTTAGTGGTTCCAGTGAAACTACTGACATGAACTAAAAATTATAAGCATTGGCAGGATTAGGGCCATAGTCCTGAATCCAGAAAAACTGTTCTTTGTAATTGGTATAGTGCAGGATAGCAAAATATGTAAAAGTACAGGCAACAGTATAGAAAGCATCATTAAACAAGCTAACTTACCATTATTGTTGCGTTCATCAATGGGTGACCGTATCCCACCACCATTCATGATGCACATTGAAACATGATTCCATGTATTTTCATCTCGATGTTTGAGATTATTGTAAATCTGTAACATTAGCATAAAATATTTTTAACCACTTTTTAATCTTTGCTTAATTTATATGTAGGAATTTTACAAGTTACAAAATCTGAGTTTCTGGGAGTTTTTTCCAGGTTGGTAGGCCTGTATTTCTCCCCAGCAGTTAGGGAGAAAATCAATCAATTGTGCCATTTACAGTTATCTTAAAGAACAAACTTTTAATAATTCTGCATCCACAGTTTTATTATTTATTATTTTTACGAACAAATCAAGTTTAAAAATAAGCCCCTCTGTCTTTTCTCCCTGCAATCTCTGGTATTCTTTGAAAACCAGAGTGTGACATTATAGGAGATAGAAACCTAAATTGCACCCTCTAAAGCCAAAACTAAATGAAGGAAGGGATGATTCGTAGACAGTGTCATAAAGGAAAAGTAAAGGGTGATGTGTTATTTCAGAAAATGTTGAAATTACAGAGCAATAATTTACACCTATCTCAAGGATTAGGCAATGTCAGAGACCTTAAATATAGCTGCTCATTAAAACCTTGAAGGGGAATAATTAGAAAATCTAAACACATAAAATCAGTCTAATGATGTGCCTTCAAGATTATTAAGGGACCTGACAGAGCAACTTACTGTATCACTAGCATTTAATATTTGAAACAGTCTTAAAAATCCTGGGAAGGTAGAGAACTAGAAGATTGCACTCCATTTGCTTTCCTCCAGATTTTTCCAAAAAGTAAAGCCCAATCTATATACCTGTTGCTCAGAGGACCAAATTAGACCCTGACTTAAGTCTGAATGGTTGCACGAGATCCTCCTGCATTTATCTCTAGTAAAGTAATGAAAAACACACACAGCAAGAGAATCAAAAGACTGCTATAGAATAAGGAGGTAATAATCAGCCTGATTTAAGAATAAACATTACCAGACTAATCTAGTATCTTTGTCAGGTAAATTACAAACATAGTGACTGAAGGGAAGAGAAAGCAGCGATCACTGTACTGGAATTGCCTTAGTTCTTCAGCAAATTTTCAGCATAAAAACTTGTTTATGAATCAGAAATTGGCCTTCTGTGAATATTGGGCACCATCCACAATACTAATAATCATAGCAAATTTGATTAAATATTCAAATGACTATTCCCAGAGAGTTTGCAGTATCCACACAACTTTGTGCAACAAGTGCCAGGGATAAATGAACAATTTCTGATCTGTTCTCTTTTTTGCTCTATTGAGAACAGCCCTGGCCCCACATAAGGAGTTTCATCCAGAAACTTGCATAGCAGTGAGTTCCTGAGAGCTATTCATTGACTTTAATGGGTATTGTGGGAGTTTTGAGACTCTCAGGATCAAAGTCCAAAAGGGAGAACTAAGCACATTCCAGACCTATCCAGGAACTGGTAGATCTTCTATGTCAAACACTTCTAAAAGGAGTAACTGCTGCCACAGAATTCTATGAACTCTGCTAGGGATCTCACTACTACCAGTCTTTAACATGAAAGCAATACAAAACCCTAAGAATCATAGAACTCTCTAGAGTCCACTAAAGTTGAATTGTCCCAAAGCCCTCAAATACTAATTCAGATTAAATTATAGTCTGTGGTTTCTTACCATGGCATCACAAATCAAATTTCCCATGTTGCATTCTTGGAAACGGCATGCCTGACTTGTACCATTTAGGTAAACTATAGTTTTCCCAATCACATGGGAAGAAAAATTATTTAGCTGTATCTTCCACTTGTCAACTTCTTCTCTCAAGACTCTATCTAAAATAGAAGCATAGAATGAGGTTAAAATGGTTACTAACCTTTTGTAACTGTTGTTCTTCGAGATGTGTTGTTCATGTTCATTCCATGCTAGGTGTGTGTGCACAGTTACTGGAGGTTTTTCCGCTCAGTGGTATCCGTTGGCCGGCACTAGCGCCCTCAGGAGTCATGTGCATATGCATTGGTAAAAGGGGCACCCCCGGACCCCACACCTTTCAGTTCCTTCTTGCCGATAACTCTGACAGAGGGGCAGGAGGGTGGGTCATGGAATGGACATGAGCAACACATCTTGAAGAACAGTTACAAAAGGTTAGTAACAGTTTTTTCTTCAAGTGCTTATTCATGTCTATTACGTGAGTCAACTACCATAAGCAGTACCCCTGGAGGTGGGCTTGGAGTTCATGGACATGCTGACTGCAACACTGTCTCCCAAAACTGGCACATTGCAGGCCTGCTGGGTGATGGCGTAGTGAGAAGTGAAGGTCTGAACACACAACCAGGTCGCAGCTCTGCAAATGTCCTGGATAAGTACCTGTGCAAGGAATCCTGCCAACAAAGCCTGGGCTCTTGTGGAACAAGCAGTCACTGTGCCTGGAGGTAGAACTTTTGCCTGCTCGTAACAAGCTCAGATACAGGCAGTTATCCAGGATGAGATTCTTTAGAATGACATGGGTACCCCTCTCAGTCTTTCCACGACTGCTACAAAGAGTTGGGTGGACTTGCAGAAGGACTTAATTCTCTCAATATAAAAGGCGAGGGACCACCTTACATCCAACGTATGAAGGCACCGTTCCTCTGCGGGTCTTGTGAGGTTTTGGGAAGATGACGTAGAAAAATGTCCTAGTTGTTCTGGAATTGTAACACCACTTTTGGTAGGAAGGGTGGATGGGGGCAAGGCTGGACCTTGTCCTTGGAGAACACTGTTTAAGGGGATTCTGACATCACAGCTTTGATCTCAGAGACCTTTCTGGCTGAGGTAATTGCCACCAAGGTGGTGACCTATCACGAGGGGAGGAGCAGTAGAGAGCACGATGCTAATGATTCAAAGGGTGGCCCTATGAGCCTTGACAGGACCAGGTTTAGGTCCGCAGGGGTAACTTGAGGGTAGAGTGTTTCCAGCCCCATGAGAAATCGAGCCATCATCTTGTGGGAGAACACCATTCTGCCATTCACTACGGAGGGTGGAAGGCAGAGATGGCTGCCAGGTGAACCTTAATATATGAGAGAGACACTGATGTTTTAGGTGTAGCAGATAGTCTATGGTTGACTGCAGAGAAGATTGGGGTGGAGAGAGGTTCAGTTCAGAGGCCCAACAAGTGAAACGGTTCCACTTGCCTTGTCCTGTTTGATTTTCAGGAGGACCTTGTGAACCCATAGAATTGGTGGGAAGGCATACAGTAGGTGGTCTACACCTGAGAGCTGGAAAGCATCGGAAAGGTCGCCAATGCTGTGCCCATTCAGTGAGGAGAACTGATGGCATTTCCTGTTCTGCCTTGTGGCAAACAGGTCCTCCAGGGGAAGCCCCCACCTCTGAAAGATGACACTGACAACCTCCAGGTAAAGAGACCACTCGTGGTGAGAAGAAAGTATCTGCTGAGGTGATCTGCCACGGCATTTTGGGCTCCTGGGAGATGTGATGCCTCAAGGTGAATGGCGTGTTTCATGCAAAAGTCCCATAGCTGGAGGGCCTCCTGGCACAGTGCTGAAGGCACAGTGCTCCTCCCTGCTTGCTGATGGACAACACTGCATCAGTGTTGTCCATCAGGACCTGCACCACGCTGCCTGAGATCTGGGGAAGCCAAGCATACCTGACATTTATATGCAGGGCAAGTTCCTCCTGGGACCAGAGGTCTTGAGTCCTGAGACTGCCAAGGTGGGCTCCTCACCCCAGGTCTGATGCATCTCAGATTAGAGTAATGGATGATTGAGGGGCAGCAAAGGGTACGCCTACCATTACTGATCCTGGGTCTCTCCATCAGGTCAACAAAGTGATGACTGGGGGGTGGAATCATGAGTGTTGAGTCTAGGTGATGTCTTCTCGGGGAGTAGACTGACGCCAACCACATCTGGAGGGGTCTGAGGCATATCCTTGGGTACTGTACCACATAGGTACATGCTGCCATGCGTCCCAATAGTTTGAGGCAGACATGAGCGGTTGTTACTGGGAGGGTCGTGACATTGGAGATCCGGTCTGACATAGCTCAGAATCTGGCTTTGGTAGGTAGGCCTTGGCCTGGGTGAAATCCACTACAGAGGGTGAAATCGAGCACTGTCATGATGAATTCTATTCTCTGAAACAGGACCAGAGTTGACTTCCACTCGTTTATCAACAGACCCAGGGCCTGGAAGGTAGCCCATACTGTACTGATGCTGTGCTGGACCTGAGCTTACGAGTGACTCTTGACCAGCCAATTGTCAAGGTACCGGTAGACTTGCATGCCTCAACATCTGAGAGAGGCTGCTACCACTGCCATACACTTCGTGAAGACTCGTGGGGCTGCCAACGGGCCAAAGGGAAGCACAGTGTATTGGTAGTGGCACTGACCCACTACAAACCTGAGAAATCTCCTGTGACCATGGAAAATTGAAATGTGGAAATAAGTGTCCTTTAAATCGAGGGCAGCGTACCAGTCTGGATCCAGGGAGGGAATGAAGAGGCTAGGGAGACCACGCGGAACCTCAGTTTGAGATATTTGTTGAGGTGACACAGGTCCAGGATGGGCCATAGACCGCCCCCTTGGGCTTCGGGATGAGGAAATATCGGGAGTAAAACCCCTTCCATTCTCAAGTATTGAGGAGCCTGCTCTATGGCCCCTACACATAAAAAGGCTTGCACCTCCTGGACAAGAAGTTGCTCCTGAGAAAGGTCACTGAAGAGGGGTGGGGGGAGCGGTGGAAGAAAACTGGAGGGTGAAACCAACTGTTATAGGGCTGAGCACCCAACGGTCAGATGCTATATATGACCACACTAGGCTGAAGGGTGAAAGGTGGCCAAAAACAAAATGGGGGATGGATCTGGTGTCGAGACCGGTATACCATCCTTGGGCGTACCTTCAAAAGGCCTGCCTGGCCCTGCTGGGATAACTATGCAAGCCCGGCAGAGGCAGAGGCAGAAGGTAGGGGTTGGCGTTGCTTATAACCCTTCTTTTTTTTTGTAGGGGTCTTGGAGGTGCCATGAACCTGGGAGGCTACTGGGGCCTAAAATGCTTCCTGGAGGCAGGATAAGTGTAAAGGTCCAAGGAGTGAAGGGTGGCCCTTGAGGCCATGAAGCTTGGAATTCGTCTGTTCAGAGAACAGGGACGTACCCTCAAAGGGGAGGTCCTGGACGGACTGCTCCACTTCGTGAGGAAAGCCTGATGAATGAAGCTATGAACAGCACCTCATGGTGACCACTGACACCATAGTCCTGGCTGCTGAGTCAGCCGCATCATGAGCCTCCTGGAGGGAGATCCTGGCCACTGCCTTGCCCTTCTCTAGGATGGCTGTGAACTCCTGCCTCAACTCCTGCGGCAGGCAATTCTTAAATTTGGACAATGAGTCCCACAGGTTAAAATTGTATCTTTCCAGCAGAGCCTGCTGCTTGGAGATACTCAACTGGAAGCTGCCCATCAAATAAACCTTACGTCCCAACAGGCCTCTTGGCCTCTTTATGTCTGGGGGTAGCACTCAACTGCCCCATCTGTCCCACTCATTTGCCACCAACACTACCAGGGACCCCAGGGGAGGGGGTGTTGAGTAAGGTACTCAAACCCACTGGCTTGGACATAGTATTTCTTCTCTGCCCTTTTTGAGGTGGGGAGCAGAGAAGGAGTCTGCCATAGTGCCCTGATGGGTCACATCACCACCTCATTAACAGGCAGGGCCACTCTGGAGGGAGTCGCTGCAGCCAAGATGTCAATTAGGCTGTGTACAGACTCCGTGAGCTCCTTGATGTCTAGTCCCAAGTTTGCAGCGACCCTTTTTAGGAGCTCTTGGTGGGCCCTGAAGTCATCTGGCAGGAGTGGATTACTAGGGCCTGCAACTGGCCCATCCAGGGATGACGAGGAAGAGGCCTGTACCGGAGGAGGGGCTTTCTCCTCTTCCTCCACCTCCACCACATCCATTGGGGCCATTTGTTGGACTTCAGCACCAGGGTGAGTACCGGAGTCAAGGTTCAGTGCCGGACAGGAAAAAAATGGTAGCTTGCCTCTTGGACACCACCAAGTCTGAGTGGTGGGAAGGGGGGCCCAATACCAGGGGAACTTCCATGGATTCCAGTACTGCCACCCCAGGGGCCTGGTGGCCATGCACGAACTAGGGGGATGGTACCAAAGTCTGGTGTGTAGCCTGGGTACCAATAGGAATTAGGTGGAGCAAAGGATTCCTTTTTGGACTGTGAAGAGGATTCTTCCCTTGGAGACCCATGGCAGAGCAGTACATGCTTCTAGGTAACTGGCGACCACTGTATCGGGACCATGGAAGGTTTGCCCCTTGACAGCACAGCAGTGATCGATGCCACAGTGAAGCTCACTGCCCCTTGAGAACTTCCATCCCCAGTCACCTTGGCTGGCAGGGGGCCTGAAGGGGTCAGCGGCATTGGAAGAGACATCAGGTCCTTTGCTGCATGGAAAGCCTCTGGGGTTGAAGGGGTCTACAGGCGTGTGGTCCCATGGCTGCTCCCAGGAGTCGGAGGCAGGTCCCAGACGGGACTTGGTACTCTAGGCAGCAGTCACCAGAGCCATCAGTGGCTCTGGGGAGGACGAGTGGCTCAGTGTGGGTCTCACTATGCTGGTCACTCCCTACTCATCCCTCTTGGGCACCGGAGAGTGCCCTCTCTCGGTGCACTGTTTCTTATGCTTCTTCCTTGGCACAGAGGATGGAGAACGGTAACGGGGAGCGCTTCTCATAGAAGATGAAGTGCTTGGCACCAATTCAGAGTGGCTCGGCTCCAAGACTGGTCCGAGGACTGCCTCCATGAATAAGGCTTTTAGACGGATATCCTTGTCCTTTTGTGTGCACAGTTTGAAGCACCTGCAGATCTGGCACTTCTCTTTAACGTGAGATTCCCCGAGGCACTTTAGACAGCTAGAGTGTGGGTCACTCACTGGCATCAGCTTGCCACAGGACGCACACAGCTTGAAGCCCGGGGACTGGGGCATGCCCAACCCCTCGATGACAGGGACAACTGTTAACGGTATTACATAAACTAAACTATACACACTAAGTCCAATAACTATACAATATACGACAGAGAAGTCCAAACCACTTCTGGGAAAGAAGCCTTGCAAGATGAAGAAGGATCATTCCAGGCAAGCATCATGGACGGTAAGAAGGAACTGAGAGGGAGTGGGGCTGGAGGTGCCCCTTATGCTGGTGCATGTGCACGCAACTCCAGAGGGCACTAGAGCCGGCCCAATGGCTACCACACAGGGAAAAATCTCTGGTAACTGTGCTCATGACGCACACACACCTAGCATGGAATGGACATGAGCGTCATGTCTCAAAGAAGAACAAGTCTTCCATTAATTAGAACCCTACGTTCATACAAATTTTATGGAAAATTTGCTCCGTAGTGATTCTAAAATATATTAACCTTTCCTTGCATGAGAGCTCATTGAACAATATCAAAATTTACTTTACATGAAATCCAATGATGAGTGAAATTACAGAGGATCCTAATTGTTAGAAGATTACAATATTCATCATCATAAAATCTAGAAATAGGGGAAAATACAGTTAGGTGAGTGAATTGATCCCCTGCCACTGCAGGATTTATTCCCTGTAGTACATTTACAATTACTTTTGCCCAGTCCTGTTTTAAACTGCCAGTGAATGGGACTTCTACCACGTCCTTTGGGAGACGGACAGACTCATTGCACAGTCCAGCAGAGGGTTGGTTTTTTTTAAATATTCAAACTAAATTTTCTCTTACTTATGATCTCAGTTACTCCTAGTTATAGCAGCACTGACTTACAAATTTGTTTAAAACACTATTTGCATATTTCAGCACTGAACAATCTTACCAATAATCACGCAAATAACCATATAGGATTACTGAACTAGAAATTAATTTTATATGCATAGCTGTCCTATTAGTAGCAAATTGATGGTTTATTTTCAGAAACCAAACATAACTTGGATACAGCCATCATACAATTTCTCTGATGATTTTGTATTGTGTACATCATTTGGCATGTTACAAGGTTAATTTGCAAGCAACATATAAACATTAAGCATACTTCACCATGCAAATATCTAGTAGTCTGAATTATAACATTCATTGACATTGCAGAATTACTATAATGTTCAAGGCTTGGTTTAATTAAACTCATTAAATTTGTGAAAACCATGTGACTGGCAAAGCTGAAACACCATGTCAATTTTGAAATGACCTATTCTTCTATTTATATGCTGGTAGTGCCTAAGAGCTCCAACCCACGATCAGGGCCCCACTGTAGAAGGCAACGAACAGATAAGCAACAAAGAATACACACCCAGAGAACTCGTAATCTGTACATCAGACAGGAAGCAACCACTAAATGAAACAAATAAACAGGGTGGCTGGGCTGGAAGTATGAGAGATCTATTTACAAAACAAACCATGGAAGGATTTTCCTCGTTCATAGTTTTATGATGTTTGATGAAAAACATGTTCTTTTTGTATATTACATTTGCACATCGATGCGCTTTGCCTGAATGTATTTAAAAGGTCATGAGCAACCCACATAAAACTACTTAGTTGTTTTTACAATTAGAGTGAACTGAAATGCTTAAGAAAAGTGCTGGCTTGATAACCTCAGAGATCAAAGCCCTTTCTTTGTCCACAAACCAAGTGCAGAGATACCAAGAGTCCAGAGTTCCCCATCCTGCTGGAAACTCTGTTCTGAAGGATAAGATGTTAGTTTACTCTTCATGCCCATTTAAGCAATATTAAGATTAAATGTTTAGAGAGTCTCCTAAAAATGCTAAATGTCATGGAAATATATCACCTGAATGTCATGAGGAAGCTATTAGTGATTTTACATAGACCCAAAAAAACCCGAACACCTGAAATGTGATAAACTGGAAACTTGTTTGATTGCTGAGAGGAGTCAGTGAAGAAAGCAGGTTATAGCATTATAATGTACCCAGAACTTGATGCCAAAGATGACCAAATTAAGAGGAATGCTAAATTCTCCTGTAGCATTGTACTTTACTTTTAAAAAAAGCAATAAAGCTAAAAGTTTAGCTGGGTGATCTATAGGAACTCAAATCTCTGTTTCACATACCTTCAGGAATACTGCTATTTAGCAGAATAGGGTTTCCAGATGTATTAATTACTTTTCCTTGATCATCAAATGTTACATTTAAATAACCAAGATATTTTCCAAAAGCATAGGCTTGTACCACTGGCACCTGCCTCCCATCATCTGACTTCACCAGGAATGGATAGTTGCCAGCTGGCATTTCACTAGAAGGTGGGGGGCCTGAAACAAAATAACCACACAAGTATTTTATCTTTAGAAAATTATCAGCAAGGACTTTCAAATATGTTTTTCTTCCTTAAAAGAATATATGCAATATTTAATATCTATTAAGTAATAATTTGGAAATAAAATAAGGTTCTTCAGGACTTGAGTGCAAGGGTGTATTTTCTCCTTGTAGAAGTGAAAAAGTTGAGTTGATTTTAACCTCTTACTTTGCCGTAAGATCTCTAACTCACAGCAATTAACTGAGAATTAAAACTTTAAAAGAACAATGATTTTTCCATCATATATAAATTGTTGGATTTTTGCCTTCTGCTTTATTGATAAATTGGCTTCTCAGGTGACATTTTTCAGGAACCACGAAGCCCAAAAAGCATACATTTAAGCAGGTGAGTCCTCCAAACCAAATTACTACGTCATCATATTATTCCTTGATGAGATGGACTTTGTACTTTTGTATCATAAGATATTCATCCAAAAAGGAGAAGAGGCTTATCAAAGCTCCACGCACACTTCTCAGTTGAAGGCTTAGATTCTGTTTCATTAAAAAATATGTTTACAGAGGATAACGTAAGAAACAGTAACACCTCCTACTTTTTTAAACTCCTTTTAATTAAACTTTTGTCTGAAGGTTCTACCGAAAATCACCTCACTACGAAAAGCATTCCAGTCCCAGATTCCAATTGCCACATAATTTGTGAAAACAAGGGAAGAACAACAATTGTACTTTGGGTCCCCGAGTCAGCTCTCTTCTGCCAGCTATACATACGTCTGTGAACGTTGGGCAGGACAAATGGAGCTCCTGGAACAGTTCCCAGATGTAATTGTAATGCTGCTAGAAGACTCAAGTGCATGTTTGTAGCTGTCTGCCAGAGTATGCATTTCCAAAAATCAAAGCAGAATCTTTGACTCTGCCAAAGTAAATTTTTTTTGTCCGAACAGATAATGCATTTGAGCGGATTTGGGTGTGGACAGCTCTCAGAGGTCATTTTAGGCTATCCACTTCTTCCATGTTTACAAGACAAGCATTATTTCATATCCAAGTCAGGGGGATTTCTTGCCTTCATGTGTGAACAAGACCAATGAAGTAGAGTGTGAAAGTAGTTTCTGTGTTTAAAGTTATTCATGTGTTGCTTACAAAGGTTCCTATCTCTTAATTCAGAACTCGAGGGTGTGATTCTTTCTAAACAACTAGAATAATAAAAGGAGGCAGAGGCTGATGGAGAAGAAACTGCAGGGGAAGAGAGAGGGGAATGGAACAGCAGTGTGGTGAGAAGGAACAGGACAGTTAACTTAACACACACTGTTAAGTAGGTCCCAAGTTACACAGTGATGGCTGGGTATGTGGGCCGTTTTTTCCTGTAACTCATAGAACATTTCCTTTTTTTTTTTTTAAACATGCCTCTTCTGGCTACCTTAAATTTGGCAGAGACTTACAACTATTTTTGATTGCTTTAAAACAAGCCACTGTCACTTTTATTCATATGCTATTTTTATTAATAATAAATGTGGGTTGTGCTTATTTTCAATAGATTGAAAAGACGTGAGAGAGAGAGAGAGAGAGAGAATGTGTATATATAACACTAAGATGAGGGGAAATTGCCAAAAGAGTCCCTAGAACACTGGGACAGGGAAAAGAAATCAGAATCTGAAGGAATAGGGAGAGAGAGGGAAAGGGAACAAGAAGGAAGAGCGATGTCAAGTCACACTCTGTGACAATTTTGTGGAAACTTTATAGGCTGCTGACAGGAGTTCAACATTCTTGGTAAAAAAAAAAAATGCATGCCAAAGGACAACCACTTCCTTAGCCCTTGTCTACACTACAGAGATATGTCAACATAAGACAGCTTACATTGACCTTATTCAGCAAATATCTATGCTAAAATGCAGCTCTCATTAATGTAACTCACCCACTACACCAACTTAACTCCACCTCCACGAGTGACGTCACACTTAAGTCAATGTAGTTAGGTCAACGAAGTGTCAGTGTAGACATTACATTGCTTATGTTGACTGTTGCTGTCTCTGAGAAACTGTCCCACAATGACCCACACTACCAGTTAAATTGGTACAAGCACTCCTAGTGAGGACCCACACCAGACAAAAGAAGCGCAGTGTGGACATGCAAAAGCAGTTTAATTACTGTGGTGGCTGTAAGTCAATGTAACTTAAGTCGACTTAATTTAGTAGTATAGACTTGCCCTTAGAAAAAGGGTTAGTAAATAAGGGCATGTCTACACTTACCTCTGGAGCAATCAATCCAGCAGGGGTCGATTTATCGCATCTAGTGAAGACGCGATAAATCAACCACTGAGCACTCTCCCATTGACTCTGGTACTCCACCAGAGGGGGAAGTGTAGGTGAAGTTGACAGGGGAGCGGCAAAAAATTCTGGGAATTTTTTTCCCCACCTACAAATTATTAAAAGAGTAACAGCAAGTATTTTAGACTTTCCCACAACCGAGCCAATATTGCGAGACAAGCTAGAGGGATATGAAGAAAGAGTATAGTGGTCTTACAGATTAATTCAGGGGCAGTGGGGTTAGCCAGAGTGGGGAAGTGAACCAACAAGAGACAAGATCAGGTGAGTAAGCAGGGGCAGAGTGGTGAGGGGTTTTAACAGCTTAGGTCCAGAAGCTTGACTTTGAATCCCTCCACTGGTTACTGCTTTTCAGCTCAAAGAGGAGTTGATAGACTTGCTATGACATTGTATTAATAATAAAAGGACGTCATTGTATATGTAATGTATCTCCACCTCCAAATTGCTTTGCAGACATTAATCCTCAAAATACCCAGGCCTTATACTAAAAGCTCCTGAGTGCCTCCTGTGCATCCTCACACCCTGTTGTCTTCAAACAGAAGTTAAAGGCAATTAGCACACTACAGAATGAGGCCCTCCTCTAAAGTGGGGTGTGTTTGGGGCGAGACGGGGGGGGGGAATCACTAGCTTCCTCTCACCTGTGTTTTTCCTGTATTTTTGAAATAATCAAAATTCAAAACATTCTGACCAGCTCTATAGTTGGCTGAAAGATTAGAAAAGAACTTCAAATAAATATTTTGTCAATTTTTTCCTCTAGGATTTTTCATTGAAATTTCTTTTTTGTTTTAAATTAGAAAAAAAAAGTGACCAGCTTAGGGAGCGAAGTAGAAGTACTCAGAGTGGGCAACACAGAGTCTGTGACTTGCCCAAAGTTACACACAGACAAGTTGCCCAAAGTTACACTCAGGAAGTTCTGGCTCCTAGCATTGTGCTCAGACAACAATGAAACAGAGAAGCTTCATACAGTACTCTGAAGTGACACAGGTTCACTAAGTGGTACTGACAGCTAATCTATACTGCCCAAGTCTTTTCACACACACCAAGTAGCACTGCAGTGTATAGCCAAAACATCTATCATCCTTACCTCTGCCATCTGGCTTGCTCCTAACCCATGTAACCTGCTGATGAGGATCCTTTCTCCAGGATAGGTGCACAGAGTTTTTATATACACCATTCTTCAAAACGCAGAGATAAGTATATTACCTACAGTTTTGCACTATTTGTTTGATGGGGATCCATCGTTATCTGTAATCTACTACATACTTTTTTATGAATAAAAATATCATTTCCTTTAAAAGTCTGAAATCGCATAGCCCTGCAAGACTAGAAATGGAAGTTTAGATTATGTTGCAAAGGGTGATTTCTCCATTTCAAATGGAACTATGCACTTGTTTCTAGTCCTGAAAAGTCCTATAATGTTATGATTTTAAAACTGATGTTGTTACCTAAAAAGGTCATTTAAAATAAATTTTAGGTGGATTTTTTTTTAACTTTTTCTGAGGCTCTCTACATTTGGCCTCATGGTAACTTAGTCACCTATCTTAGCAAGCAGACAAATGAAGGGGAAAAAAATCCTAGTAGCATTAAAAAAAAAAAATTCCCTAAGGCATATACAGAATGTGACAGTGAGAGATAAAGGTTCTACTGGTACTCATTTGGGATGATCTTGCATAACTTATTTGTGGAGTCACCGTTCACTAACTGTGCCCATCCCAAACTCACACTGAGAAGTCTTTGCGGCATGCCACAGCACCATGCATTTTCCTCACACGCAGTTTGCACACATGTATAATTTCTATAGAATATATGGAACTTTGTAAATAAGAGCTACAATCTGGGCCAATGTTCAAAATGGAATTTTTTTAGGCATAGGAAGACAGTCTGTGCACTTTTCATTTTCTGTCACAGTGTGACAAACGTTCATGCTAGCACAATGCTTGGCAGTAGCTGGGTAGGCAAGAACATAAAAATTTTCTACTCTTCTGTCACTTTGGGTATATATTCAGGATCTGTCCCTACACAGATCCATGTCTCAAACACTTCTAAGTGTTTTTTTCTGAAATGTTTAAGATTTTATTTTCTTCCTCTTAAAACCCAATATCAGTGGAATTCTTTTTTAAAATAAATGTTTTCCCTCATGGACTAAATAATACCATCACTAGGCCACCAAATATTACAAACTACATATGTTTTAAAAACCTATACATACAGAAATAGGTTCTACAGGGTAACAATCAACTACAGGATATTTTGAAAAATAATCAAGTAATCTGACTTGTTTTATATTGATTAATTTGTTTCACTGATTCCTTTAATGCATGTATCATAGACAAGGTAAATTAAAATATTTTATTTATTTACTCCCTTATTCAGTAAACTTGTAAAACATGTTAGAATCACAGAAATGTAGGGCTAGAAGGGACCTTGAGAGGTCATCCAAATCCCCCCCCCCCCGGGAGTTAGGACCAAGTATACCTAGGCCAGCAGTTCTCAACCCGCGGTCCAATTAGCACACAGCTGCAGCCTAAGTATTATCTGCAGGACTAAGTATTATCTAGTACTTTGCATTTGTCCTCACTGAATTCCATCTTGTTGATTTCAGACCAACTTTCCAATTTGTCAAGGTCATTTTGAATTCTAATCCTATTCCTCCCAGCTCGGTATCATCTCAAATTTTATAAGCATACTTTCCAGTCCAGTATCCAAGTAATTACTGAAAATGTTAAAAGTACCAGACCCAGAACTGACCACTGCAGGACTCCACTAGATATATCCACACAGTTGGACAGTGAACCACTGATAATTGCTCTTTGAGTACGATCTTTCAACCAGTTATACACTCACTTTATAGTGATTTCACATAATTAGGGAAATGTAGTCTCTCTTATGAGAATGTCATGTAGGACTACTATTAAACAAGCTGCGCAATAATTTAGTAGCATTACTGTTTGTGTTGGAGTGGGTCTGTGTTGCACAGGTCATCCTGAATAAGTTCAAAGAGTTAGGACACTTCTTACTCACAGAGGATGTAAAAACTGGGAATGGACTCGTGTCATAGTCTCAGTGTCATTTGTCTTGCTTATGGTAAGGACTGCAAAAGAACTACATCTCAATGTGATATGTACTACATATAGTTGATTGGTTTTAATCATACAGGGTGCCAGATCCTCAGCTGCTCTCAATCAAGGTAGTTCCACTGAAATGGCAGTTGAGGAACTGGCCACAGTGCTTAGTTACAAGTAAATAACATTTTTACAAAGTCATCTCAGTTCAGTGAGAATTTTCTTTCAATTAATGATCAGTTTTGGTTAAAAGCAACACTTTACTGAGAGCTGTAATACCTGTATAAAGAAACGTGTTTGTATGTCCTCCAATTACAACATCCACTCCTCTCACTTTTTGAGCAATCATTTGATCTACAGTGAAGCCGGAGTGTCCTAGTGCAATAATTTTGTTAACTCCCAGCATGGTAAGTTTATTCACATGTGGCTGCAATGCTTCAATTTCATCTTCAAAGTATATATCCGTTCCTTTTTTTAAAAAAAAAAAGAAGAGAGAAAGGAGATTAATATTTATGAGGTATCTAAAAATACTTGTGTTTTCACAAGATCAGATTATTGAAACAGCTGATGGACTATGGCCAGAGTCCCACAAACTGTTGGGAGCTCTGGCCTCTCTCATTATTTAAATGCCCATTTTCGCCATCAAACACGGGATTCTAGGGTGAAAGGTTTAAATGATCTCTGAATTTTAGTGGCCCTAGGGTCCCACATTCCTTTACAGAATGAAGCAAATGAGTCTTTTAATTAGCTTTATTGGGATTTAGTTCAGACTTTTAATCTGGCCAGTGTTTTCAAGTATTGTATAAGCAACATGAACATTTGTGCTCAGTCTACCAACATTTATGAATTGAATTATATACACTCAACTATATATAACAAAGCTGTAATTCCATGAAAAGATGCTGGTGATACCAGCCAACAGAGCAAAGTTCCAATGGTTTTTGACTGCCATTAGAACGAAGAAAGAGTTACATTCAGGTTTGTCTCATATGCATCATTTGGGTGTAAATATAATATTCTTCTGCAATATTACTTCCTACTGATTTTTCCTTAGGCTCTTTCTTCTTCTTCCCCGTTAATTCTTCTCCCACAAAAATCTCCCCTCATCCTGGCTTATTTTGTTTGTCTCCTCTCTATTTCCACAGCAGTTCCCTCAGAGTCCTGCTGCACTAAATCTGCAGGCTCAGGGCCAAATCCTACTTGCCTTCCATATGCAAATTATCTAATTGAATGAGATGAATCATAGGATTTCTGACGGTCAGTGGTACATAGCAATAGCAAAGACTGAAGTGGAATTACTTCACTGAAGGGAGAACCCAAAGATAGAGATTAAAAAGGGTAATGTTTACCCAGCTCACAGTGTTGAGAAATCTTATGGTTTCTCTGAAATGTTTCTATTTTATCATTTCAGAATAATTTCATTTACAATATAAACATGTACACTCTCTCGCTCTCTCTCTACTGTATTTGCTGTATCTCGGTCACACTTTTGATTTCTACAAAAAGGATAAAAGAGCAGCTATCCCAGGTGCTAGGTTCCTTTGACAAAGTTTTAAAATACGTTCTTCTAAGTTACAGATCAACAAATTCCCCTTAAACTCTCCGGCCAAAAATGACCAACTAGAAAATAAACCACACTAATTCTACCTCCCATCCCTCACAATTTGCCTCCATTCCCAGGCATCTTGGGAGAATACAGGAGCCTTGCAGCATACCCCAGCGATCAACAGATCTGGCCTATTGCATAGCAAAGGGGAGAGTGAGAACTAGTCCAGAGTCCAATGCTAAATGTTTCAAGAAATAAAGAGTTACCGCAACAAAGGAACATTGACAAAGCAGTATTATGGGGCTACGTAAGTTTTCAAATTGCAACAGTTCTGTTGTTGCCCAAGTGTAACCCAGGATTCAAAATAAAACACACAACTCATTGCTTAGTACTTGGTCACCCACTTCTCAAAAGTTTAAATTTAGTTTAAAAAAGTTTTTTATACAACAGTTATTCATCTTTTTCTTTGTGGCTCAGCAATTCCATCATTTCTTTTTCAGTGCGTTAAACTAACAGGAAATAAGTTTTCTAATTTCTTTAAACTTTAGAAAGAAAATATAGAAAAGGCAACCAAACAGCACTATTTTTTAACAAGAAGAAAAGATAATGGGCTGGGTGCCAAAAGTATTAGGCACGTGTCCAAGGATAAAATAGTTGACAAATGTTCTCCATTGAATATTTCTACTATTCTACAGACAGGAGAAGTTATCAAGATACCGAAATAAAAAGTTATGCGCAAAAATGTGATTTACTATTTTGCAGCACAAAATGCATGCTAAGCACCTCACAGTACAAATACAGAGACATGGTCCCTATTCTACAGATCTTACAATACAACGAATAAATAAATACGGTCTTGCTTATTTACCACTATTTGGGCAACTGTTGTAGGAAAAAACCTAGTAGGGTGACTCAAATCTGGCAGGTGGATTTAGTAGTGCATAGGACATCTTTAAAAAAAGTTACCAGTTAATAGCTTCATCATTTGTGCAATGAATTATTAAAGTAGCCTTCACCCACTGTTTCCAGATATTTATTAGCAATCCTTATTGAGGGAGAGAGAGAAAGCGAGCGCTATGGGAACCTCCATCCCAATGTTTCAAAAGATTTATGATTATAATATGGTGATAGTTATGAATAGACTGTGAAGGTGACTATGGAAGCAGTAGTGATGAAAGACAACTAGATTAATGGTTAACTCACCAACCCACAATTTCAGCCAGGAGTTTATCAGCACTGCAGATTGCGAAGTCATTTCTGACAAACCACAGTATGTAGAAACTGAATCACCTTTTGAAAGCTACTGAAGGCTTCATACACTAAAGTGGTGTACAAGTAAAAAAGGAGAGAGTTACAAAAATTGGAGAGCCATTGGCCATTATCTTTGAAAACTCGTGGCGAACGGGGGAGGTCCCGGATGACTGGAAAAAGGCTAATGTAGTGCCAATCTTTAAAAAAGGGAAGAAGGAGGATCCTGGGAACTACAGGCCAGTCAGCCTCACCTCAGTCCCTGGAAAAATCATGGAGCAGGTCCTCAAAGAATCAATCCTGAAGCACTTGCATGAGAGGAAACAGGAACAGCCAGCATGGATTCACCAAGGGAAGGTCATGCCTGACTAATCTAATCGCCTTTTATGATGAGATTACTGGTTCTGTGGATGAAGGGAAAGCAGTGGATGTATTGTTTCTTGACTTTAGCAAAGCTTTTGACTCGGTCTCCCACAGTATTCTTGTCAGCAAGTTAAGGAAGTATGGGCTGGATGAATGCACTATAAGGTGGGTAGAAAGCTGGCTAGATTGTCGGGCTCAACGGGTAGTGATCAATGGCTCCATGTCTAGTTGGCAGCCGGTGTCAAGTGGAGTGCCCCAGGGGTCGGTCCTGGGGCCGGTTTTGTTCAATATCTTCATAAATGATCTGGAGGATGGTGTAGATTGCACTCTCAGCAAATTTGCGGATGATACTAAACTGGGAGGAGTGGTAGATACGCTGGAGGGGAGGGATAGGATACAGAAGGTCCTAGACAAATTGGAGGATTGGGCCAAAAGAAATCTGATGAGGTTCAATAAGGATAAGTGCAGGGTCCTGCACTTAGGACGGAAGAATCCAATGCACCGCTACAGACTAGGGGCCGAATGGCTAGGCAGCAGTTCTGCGGAAAAGGACTTAGGGGTGACAGTGGATGAGAAGCTGGATATGAGTCAGCAGTGTGCCCTTGTTGCCAAGAAGGCCAATGGCATTTTGGGACGTATAAGTAGGGGCATAGCGAGCAGATCGAGGGACGTGATCGTTCCCCTCTATTCGACATTGGTGAGGCCTCATCTGGAGTACTGTGTCCAGTTTTGGGCCCCACACGACAAGAAGGATGTGGATAAATTGGAGAGAGTCCAGCGAAGGGCAACAAAAATGATTAGGGGTCTGGAACACATGACTTATGAGGAGAGGCTGAGGGAGCTGGGATTGTTTAGCCTGCAGAAGAGAAGAATGAGGGGGGATTTGATAGCTGCTTTCAACTACCTGAAAGGGGGTTCCAAAGAGGATGGCTCTAGACTGTTCTCAATGGTAGCAGATGACAGAACGAGGAGTAATGGTCTCAAGTTGCAGTGGGGGAGGTTTAGGTTGGATATTAGGAAAAACTTTTTCACTATGAGGGTGGTGAAACACTGGAATGCGTTACCTAGGGAGGTGGTAGAATCTCCTTCCTTAGAGGTTTTTAAGGTCAGGCTTGACAAAGCCCTGGCTGGGGTGATTTAACTGGGAATTGGTCCTGCTTCGAGCAGGGGGTTGGACTAGATGACCTTCTGGGGTCCCTTCCAACCCTGATATTCTATGATTCTATGATTCTAATTGTGATTGCTACAAACAGTGGCCCCTAGAAAACTCCCTATTAATGCCAACTGCTTTTGGATTCCTCAGTTATACCACAGTATGTACTTACAAAAAAGAAAAGGAGTACTTGTGGCACCTTAGAGACTAACCAATTTATTTGAGCATAAGCTTTCGTGAGCTACAGCTCACTTCATCGAAAGCTTATGCTCAAATAAATTGGTTAGTCTCTAAGGTGCCACAAGTACTCCTTTTCTTTTTGCGAATACAGACTAACACGGCAGTTACTCTGAAACCTGTCAGTATGTACTTAGTCTGTCACTGCTTTAGCTTTGCCTAAGAAAGTAATAAGCCTTCTGTCTTACTACTGCTCCTCCTCCTCTTTTGGCTCCTTATTGGCCCTTTCAGTACAATTATAACCATCTTTAGTTTTTGCTACAAATTTATTAAAATATGTCCTTTTACTTAGCAGCAGTTGTAATTCACCACCATCAAACTTCTGCTCTAATATTTTTCCCAGCTACAAAAAGGTAATTTGAAAGTCCTCTCAAAACTCTCAAAATAAACTCTCAAAATAGATAAATTATGACACTGTTTCTCAATAACTTATTTTAATTCCTAGCATGTCCAATTTAGCCAACTTTCTGGATTGCCTGGATGAGAAACCGGCGCACAGAGGATACATAGGCTCTGATCCAGGAGCTTTCCCACATTGCTTCATGGATATTATACAAGCAGGGATATTGTGCAAGCAGAAATGCAAGGGGCTGAGACTGCCAACCTCCCTGGTTGGGTCAACACTCATAGGTAAACATTTAGAACATATCAGTTATGTTATGTTAAGAACTCTCTTCATACCCTCAGCACTATAAGCTTCTCATTTTGCACAGGCAAAGGAAGAATACATTTTCCTTGTTATTCCTTAGAGGAAAAGGATGGACTCAAATAACTGAGCCTCTTGTGTCCGAAGGCAGATTAAAAGTTTCTGTTGACCATAGAGAGGTCTCCTCTGTGGATGTGTTTAACCATTTGCATTGGACTTTAGACTTTTATGTCAGTTGTACATTTGAATACTTGGTTTAAATATTATCATACCTTCCCTATTCTGGGCTAATTTACACCTTCATTTTTACAGTTATTATGTTATTTCAGTAAGTAATGGACAGAAAAGTAGTAATATCTTCCTTGTATTGAAGAGTGATTTTTAAAAAAAATGCTGTGTTCAATGCATTTTAATTCCATTGTGTGTCTAGTTTAAAACCAGAGGGGAATGCAAGGTCCTTTTGTTAGGCGTGAAAGTGGCTCTTTTGCACCTATAATGATGTCCTACATCTGATTAAAAGGGCGAGGTGAGAAACTCTAATGTGAAAATGGTGTTTTTATTATTCTAAAATACAATTATCTGTTCTTAAAATCAGAAGTAGTCTGTTTTTATCTCATTGCTTTACACTAATTAAATAAATCTTGATCACTGGAACAACTTCTTTGTCAGAAGAGGATGAGTTTATGCTTCATCACTTCTGCTATCAATCACTGACAGAAAATAATTGTAATTCCTTCTGTAGTCTAATTTCTGGTATATACTTGAGATGCTGAAAAACAGCGGGGAACAAATTCTTCCTTCAGATACACATATGCAATTCCCACTGACTTTAGTGGGATTTGGGCATGTCTCTGTCTACCTGAAGGCTGAATTATGTTCCTCAGAATTCAAAATTGTCAAATTTTAATAAAATCTGTAAAAAACACATTTTCCTTAATTATACAAGATGTATTCATGTCTTTAGGCTCTCGTATGTGGCCAATAAGGAGAAAAATATATAACCTTTTTTTTTAACCATTGTAAACTTAACACCCCTTTAGAGCAGTGCTTCGTGTGTTCTAAATGGATCTGTGTATGGAACACATCTTTTCATATAACTCGAACATCTAGCAGTTAAAACCAGTCAACTGGCCAGGGAGCTGAATAATACAAAAGTTCTACAGGCAACTAAAACCCTTCATCAATATTCATTAATTCATACTAAGAAACGATATATAGTTAAAATTTTAGCATTTGACCGTTTAAGAACGGCCATGCTGTGTCAGATCAAAGGTCCATCTAGCCCAGCATCCTGTCTTCCGACAGTGGCCAATGCCAGGTGCCCAAGAGGGAACGGACAGAACAGGTAATCATCAAGTGATCCATGCCCTGTCGCCCATTCCCAGCTTCTGGCAAACAGAGGCTAGGGACACCCCATTCCTCTCCATCCTGGCTGTCAAGATTCCTTCCCCACTCTGAACTCTAGGGTACACATGTGGGGACCTGCATGAAAGACCCCCTAAGCTTATTCTTACCAGCTTAGGTTAAAAACTTCCCCAAGGTACAAACTTTGCCTTGTCCTTGAACTGTATGCTGCCATCACCAAGCGTTTTAAACAGAGAACAGGTAAAGAGCCACTTGGAGACGTCTTCCCCCAAAATATCCCCCCAAGCCCTATACCCCCTTTCCTGGGGAAAGCTTGATAAGAAGCCTCACCAATTTGTACAGGTGAACACAGACCCAAACCCTTGGATCTTAAGAACAATGAAAAATCAATCAGGGTCTTAAAAGAAGAATTTTAATTAAAGAAAAGGTAAAAGAATCACCCCTGTAAAATCAGGATGGTAAATACCTTATAGGGTAATCAGATTCAAAACACAGAGAATCCCTCTAGGCAAAACCTTAAGTTACAAAAAGACACATCTTATTTTATCAGCCATTAAACAAAAGAAAATCTAACGCATGTTCTAGCTAGATTACTTACTAACTTTACAGGAGTTGTAATGCTGCATTCCTGATCTGTTCCCGGCAAAAGCATCACACAGACAGACAAACCCTTTGTCCCCCCCTCCATATTTGAAAGTATCTTGTTCCCTCATTGGTCATTTTGGGTCAGGTGCCAGCGAGGTTACCTTAGCTTCTTTACCCTTTACAGGTGAAAGGCTTTTGCCTCTGGCCAGGAGGGATTTTATAGCACTGTATACAGAAAGGTGGTTACCCTTCCCTTTATATTTATGACATTGGCTAATAGCCATTGATGGACCTGTCCTCCATGAATTTATCGAGTTCTTTTTTGAACCCTGTTATGGTCTTGGCCTTCACAACATCCTCTGGCAAGGAGTTCCACAGGTTGACTGTGCACTGTGTGAAGAAATACTTCCTTTTGTTTGTTTTAAACCTGCTGCCTATTAATTTCATTTGGTGGCCCCTAGTTCTTGTGTTATGAGAAGGAGTAAATAACTCTTCCTTATTTACTTTCTCCACACCAGTCATAATTTTAGAGATCTCTATCATATCCCTGCTTAGTTGTCTTTTTTCCAAACTGAAAAGTCCCAGTCTTATTAATCTTTCCTCAAACGGCAGCCGTTCCATACCACTAATTTTTTTTTGCCCTTTTCTGAATCTTTTCCAAGTCCAATACATCTTTTTTGAGATGGGGTGACCACATCTGCATGCAATATTCAAGATGTGGGCATACCATGGATTTATGATATGATCGAGGCAATATGATATTTTCTGTCTTATTATCTATCCCTTTCTTAATGATTCCCAAAATTCTGTTCAAGTTTTTGACTACCTCTGCATATTGAGTGGATGTTTTCAGAGATCTATCCACAATAACTCCAAGATCACTTTCTTGAGTGGGAACAGCTAATTTAGACCCCATTGTTTTATATGTATAGTAGGGCTTATGTTTTCCAATGTGCATTACTTTGCATTTATCAACACTGAATTTCATCAGCCATTTTGTTGCCCAGTCACTTAGTTTTGAGAGATCCTTTTGTAGTTCCTCACGGTCTGCATGGGACTTAACTATCTTGAGTAGTTTTGTATCATCTGCAAACTTTGCCACCTCACTGTTTACCCCTTTTTCCAGCTCATTTATGAATACGTTAAATAGGACTGGGCCCAGTACAGATCCCTGGGGGGACACCACTATTTACCTCTCTCCATTCTGAAATGGAGACCAGTTATTGACCATTTATTCCTAATCTTTTAACCAGTTACCAATCCATGACAGAACCTTCCCTCGTATCCCTTAACAGCCTTTGGTAAGGGACCTTGTCAAAGGCTTTCTGAAAATCTAAGCCCTGGTCTACACTAGGACTTTAGGTCGAATTTAGCAGCGTTAAATCGATGTAAACCTGCACCCGTCCACACAATGAAGCCCTTTATTTCGACTTAAAGGGCTCTTAAAATCGATTTCCTTACTCCACCTCTGACAAGTGGATTAGCGCTTAAATCGACCTTGCCGGCTCGAATTTGGGGTACTGTGGACACAATTCGATGGTATTGGCCTCCGGGAGCTATCCCAGAGTGCTCCATTCTGACCGCTCTGGACAGTGCTCTCAACTCAGATGCACCGGCCAGGTAGACAGGAAAAGAACCGCGAACTTTTGAATCTCATTTCCTGTTTGGCCAGCGTGGCAAGCTGCAGGTGACCATGCAGAGCTCATCAGCACAGGTGACCATGATGGAGTCCCAGAATCGCAAAAGAGCTCCAGCATGGACTGAACGGGAGGTACGGGATCTGATCGCTGTTTGGGGAGAGGAATCCGTGCTATCAGAACTCCGTTACAGTTTTCAAAATGCCAAAACCTTTCTGAAAATCTCCCAGGGCATGAAGGACAGAGGCCATAACAGGGACCTGAAGCAGTGCCGCGTGAAACTGAAGGAGCTGAGGCAAGCCTACCAGAAAACCAGAGAGGCGAACAGCCGCTCTGGGTCAGAGCCCCAAACATGCCGCTTCTATGATGAGCTGCATGCCATTTTAGGGGGTTCAGCCACCACTACCCCAGCCGTGTTGTTTGACTCCTTCAATGGAGATGGAGGCAATACGGAAGTAGGTTTTGGGGACGAAGAAGATGATGATGAGGAGGAGGTTGTAGATAGCTCACAGCAAGCAAGTGGAGAAACCGGTTTTCCCGACAGCCAGGAACTGTTTCTCACCCTGGACCTGGAGCCAGTACCCCCGAACCCACCCAAGGCTGCCTCCTGGACCCAGCAGGCGGAGAAGGGACCTCTGGTGAGTGTACCTTTTAAAATGCTATACATGGTTTAAAAGCAAGCATGTGAAAGGATTACTTTGCCCTGGCATTTGCGGTTCTCCTAGATGTAGTCCTAAAGCCTTTGCAAAAGGTTTCTGGGGAGGGCAGCCTTATTTCGTCCTTCATGGTAGGACACTTTACCACTCCAGGCCAGTAACACGTACTCGGGAATCACTGTAGAACAAAGCATTGCAGTGTATGTTTGCTGGCATTCAACCAAAATCCGTTCTTTATCTCTCTGTGTTATCCTCAGGAGAGTGAGATATAATTCATGGTCACCTGGTTGAAATAGAGTGCTTTTCTTCAGGGGACACTCAGAGGAGCCCATTCCTGCTGGGCTGTTTGCCTGTGGCTAAACAGAAATGTTCCCCGCTGTTAGCCACAGGGAGGGGAGAAGGTTGAAGGGGTAGTCACGCGGTGGGAGGAGGCAAAATGCGACCTTGTAACGAAAGCACATGTGCTATGTATGTAATGTTAACAGCAAGGTTTACCCTGAAAGAGTGTAGCCACTGTTTTATAAAATGTGTCTTTTTAAATACCGCTGTCCCTTTTTTTTTTCTCCACCAGCTGCATGTGTTTCAATGATCACAGGATCTTCTCCTTCCCAGAGGCTAGTGAAGATTAGAAAGAAAAAAAAACGCACTCGCGATGAAATGTTCTCCGAGCTCATGCTGTCCTCCCACACTGACAGAGCACAGACGAATGTGTGGAGGCAAATAATGTCAGAGTGCAGGAAAGCACAAAATGACCGGGAGGAGAGGTGGCGGGCTGAAGAGAGTAAGTGGCGGGCTGAAGAGAGGGCTGAAGCTCAAATGTGGCGGCAGCGTGATGAGAGGAGGCAGGATTCAATGCTGAGGCTGCTGCAGGACCAAACCAGTATGCTCCAGTGTATGGTTGAGCTGCAGCAAAGGCAGCTGGAGCACAGACTGCCACTGCTGCCCCTCTGTAACCAACCGCCCTCCTCCCCAAGTTCCATAGTCTCCACACCCAGACGCCCAAGAACGCGGTGGGGGGGCCTCCGGCCAACCAGCCACTCCACCACAGAGGATTGCCCCAAAAAAAGAAGGCTGTCATTCAATAAATTTTAAAGTTGTAAACTTTTAAAGTGCTGTGCTTAAAGTGCTGTGTGGCATTTTCCTTCCCTCCTCCACCACCCCTCCTGGGATACCTTGGTAGTCATCCCCCTATTTGTGTGATGAATGAATAATGAATGCATGACTGTGAAGCAGCAATGACTTTATTGCCTCTGCAAGCAATGATTAAAGGGAGGAGGGGAGGGTGGTTAGCTTACAGGGAAGTAGAGTGAACCAAGGGGCGGGGGGTTTCATCAAGGAGAAACAAACAGAACTTTCACACCGTAGCCTGGCCAGTCATGAAACTGGTTTTCAAAGCTTCTCTGATGCGTACCGCGCCCTCCTGTGCTCTTCTAACCGCCCTGGTGTCTGGCTGCGCGTAACCAGCAGCTAGGCGATTTGCCTCAACCTCCCACCCCGCCATAAACATCTCCCCCTTACTCTCACAGATATTGTGGAGCACACAGCAAGCAGTAATAACAGTGGGAATATTGGTTTCACTGAGGTCTAAGCGAGTCAGTAAACTGTGCCAGCGCGCCTTTAAACGTCCAAATGCACATTCTACCACCATTCTGCACTTGCTCAGCCTGTAGTTGAAGAGCTCCTGACTACTGTCCAGGCTGCCTGTGTACGGCTTCATGAGCCATGGCATTAAGGGGTAGGCTGGGTCCCCAAGGATACATATAGGCATTTCAACATCCCCAACAGTTATTTTCTGGTCTGGGAATAAAGTCCCTTCCTGCAGCTTTTGAAACAGACCAGAGTTCCTGAAGATGCGAGCATCATGCACCTTTCCCGGCCATCCCACGTTGATGTTGGTGAAACGTCCCTTGTGATCCACCAGAGCTTGCAGCACTATCGAAAAGTACCCCTTGCGGTTTATGTACTCGGCGGCTTGGTGCTCCGGTGCCAAGATAGGGATATGGGTTCCGTCTATAGCCCCACCACAGTTAGGGAATCCCATTGCAGCAAAGCCATCCACTATGACCTGCACATTTCCCAGGGTCACTACCCTTGATATCAGCAGATCTTTGATTGCGTGGGCTACTTGCATCACAGCAGCCCCCACAGTAGATTTGCCCACTCCAAATTGATTCCCAACTGACCGGTAGCTGTCTGGCGTTGCAAGCTTCCACAGGGCTATCGCCACTCGCTTCTCAACTGTGAGGGCTGCTCTCATCTTGGTATTCATGCGCTTCAGGGCAGGGGAAAGCAAGTCACAAAGTTCCATGAAAGTGCCCTTACGCATGCGAAAGTTTCGCAGCCACTGGGAATCGTCCCAGACCTGCAACACTATGTGGTCCCACCAGTCTGTGCTTGTTTCCCGAGCCCAGAATCGGCGTTCCACAACATGAACCTGCCCCATTAGCACCATGATGCATGCATTGTCAGGGCCCATGCTTTCAGAGAAATCTGTGTCCATGTCCTGATCACTCACGGGACCGCGCTGACGTCGCCTCCTCGCCCGGTATCGCGTTGCCATGTTCTGGTGCTGCATATACTGCTGGATAATGCGTGTGGTGGTTAATGTGCTCCTAATTGCCAAAGTGAGCTGAGCGGCCTCCATGCTTGCCTTGGTATGGCGTCCGCACAGAAAAAAGGCGCGGAACGATTGTCTGCCGTTGCTCTGACGGAGGGAGGGGCGACTGACGACACGGCTTACAGGGTTGGCTTCAGGGAGCTAAAATCAACAAAGGGTGTGCCTGTACATCAAGGAGTATTTCAGGCAGGACTGCATGGAGGGTTCCAATAAGAAATGGTGCACCTAAGTTATCGTTGTTATTGGAACAAGGAGGTTAGCCTGGCCTCTGATTGATACATGGCTAGATTTACCTCGCTGCACCTTCTCTGTGAGTGACTGCAGTGTGATCTAGACAGGGGAGGAGGCAAATGAGTACAAAACAAATCTGGTCTATTTCTTGTTCTGACCCACTCCATCTATATTTTACATCTTTGGCTGGCAGCAGACGGTGCAGAAGGACTGCATGCCATCCACATCTCATGGCTGCTCGGCAGAAGATGGTACAGTACGACTGCTAGCCATCTTCATCTCTTGCCTGTCTGGCATAAGATGGTACAATACGACTGCTAGCAATCCTCATCTCTTGCCTGCCTGGCAGAAGATGGTACAGTACGACTGCTAGCAGTCCATATCGCCTGCCCGCTCACCATAAGACGGTTCAATAGGACGGACTGCAGGACTAAAGAGAATGACCTGGTCAAGTCACTCCAAATTTAGTCCCTGCGCCCATGTCTGCCCAGGCGCTCCCAGCCGACGTGGCCAGGAGCACCTCGGACACGACGAGGACGACTACCAGTCGTATTGCACCGTCTGCTGCCAGAAGGCAATGGGTTGCTGCTACTGTGCAGCAATGCCGTACCGCGTCTGCCAGCACCCAGGAGACATAGGGTGACGGTTACCTGAGCTGGCTCCATGCTTGCTGTGGTATGGCGTCTGCACAGGTAACTCAGGAAAAAAGGCGCGAAATGATTGTCTGCCCTTGCTTTCACGGAGGGAGGGAGGGAACGGGGGCCTGACGATATGTACCCAGAACCACCCGCGACAATGTTTTAGCCCCATCAGAGTGCTCCATTGTGACTGCTCTGGACAGCACTCTCAGATGCCCGATTGTTTGCCATTGCTCTGACGCTGGGAGGGGCGCTTACAGGGTTGGCTTCAGGGAGCTAAAATCAACAAAGGGGGTGGCTTTACATCAAGGAGTATTTCAGGCAGGACTTCACGGAGGGTTCCAATAAGAAATGGTGCACCTAAGTTATTGTCCTTATTGGAACAAGAAGGTTAGCCTGGCCTCTGATTGATACATGGCTAGATTTACCTCGCTGCACCTTCTCTGTAAGTGACTGCAGTGTGATCTAGAAGAATGAGTCCCCTAGACAGGGGAGGGGGGGAAGCAAATGAGTACAAAACAAATCTGGTCTATTTCTCGTTTTGATCCACTCCATCTATCTTTTACATCTTTGGCTGGCAGCAGACGGTGCAGAAGGACTGCATGCCATCCACATCTCATGGCTGCTCGGCAGAAGATGGTACAGTACGATTGCTAGCAGTCCGTATCGCCTGCCCGCTCACCATAAGACGGTTCAATAGGACTGACTGCAGGACTAAAGAGAATGACCTGGTCAAGTCACTCCAAATTTAGTCCCTGCGCCCATGTCTGCCCAGGCGCTCCTGATCGACCTCACAGAGGCGACCAGGAGCACCTCAGACATGACGATGACGGCTACCAGTCGTACTGTACCGTCTGCTGCCACAAGGCAAGGGGTTGCTGCTACTGTGTAGCAATGCCGTACCGCGTCTGCCAGCACCCAGGAGACATAGGGTGACGGTTACCTGAGCGGGCTCCATGCTTGCCATGGTATGGCGTCTGCACAGGTAACTCAGGAAAAAAGGCGCGAAATGATTGTCTGCCCTTGCTTTCACGGGGGGAGGGAGGGAACGGGGGGCTGACGATATGTACCCAGAACCACCCGCGACAATGTTTTAGCCCCATCAGGCATTGGGATCTCAACCCAGAATTCCAATGGGCAGCGGAGACTGCGGGAACTGTGGGATAGCTACCCACAGTGCAACGCTCCGGAAGTCGACGCTTGCCTCGGTACTGTGGAAGCGCTCCGCCGAGTTAATGCACTTAATGCACTTAGAGCATTTTCTGTGGGGACACACACACTCGAATATATAAAACCGATTTCTAAAAAACTGACTTCTATAAATTCGACCTAATTTCGTAGTGTAGACATAGCCTAAATACACTATATCCACTGGATCTCCTTTGTCCACATGCTTGTTGACCCTCTCAAAGAATTCCAGTAGATTGGTGAAGCATGATTTCCCATTACAAAAACCATGTTGACTATTCCCCAACAAATTATGTTCATCTATGTGTCTGACAATTTTGTTCTTTCCATAGTTTCAACCAGTTTTCCCACTACTGAAGTCAGGCTTACCGGACTGTAATTGCCGGGGTCACCTCTGGAGCCCTTTTAAAAAATTGGCGTCACATTAACTATCCTCCAGTCATTTGGTACAGAATTTGATTTAAATGATAGTTACAGACTAGTTAGTAGTCCTTCAATTTCACATTTGAGTTCCTTCAGAACTCTTGGGTGAATACCATCTGGTCCTGGTGACTTATTACTGCTTAATTTATCAATTAGTTCCAAAACCTCTTCTAATGACACTTCAATCTGGGACAGTTTCTCAGATTTGTCACCTAAAAAGAACGGCTCAGGCTTGGAAATCTCCCACACATCCTCAGCTGTGAAGACCAATGCAAAGAATTCATTTAGTTTCCTCGCAATGGCCTTATCATCCTTGAGTGCTCCTTTAACATCTCAATTGTCCACTGGTCCCACTGGTTGTTTCGCAGGCTTCCTGCTTCTGATTTACTTTAAAAAAATTGGTATTACTTTTTGAGTCTTTGGCTAGCTGTTCTTCAAATTCTTTTTTGGCCTTCCTAATTATATTTTTACACTTCATTTGCCAGTGTTTATGCTCCCTATTTTCCCCAGCAGGATTTAACTTTCACTTTTTAAAGGGTGCCTTTTTGCCTCTCACTGCCTCTTTTACTTTGCTGTTTAGCCACTGTGGCTCTTTTATTGGCTCTCTTACTAGGTTTTTCAATTTGGGGAATACATTGAAGTTGAGCCTCTACTATGGTGTCTTTAAAAAGTTTCCATGCAGCTTGAAGGGATTTTACTTTTGGTGCTTTATCTTTCAATTTCTGTTTAATTAACCTCCTCATTTTTGTGTAGTTCCCCTTTCTGAAACTAAATGCTACAGTGTTGGGCTGCTGTGGTGTTTTCCCCACCACGGGGATGTTAAATTTAATTATATTATGGTCACTATTGCCAAGCTGTCCAGCTATATTCAAATCTTGGACCTGACCCTGTACTCCACTTAGGACTAAATCAACAATTGCCTTGCCTCTTGTGGGTTCCAGAACTAGCTGCTCCACGAAGCAGTCATTTAAGGTGTCAAGAAACTTAATCTCTGCATCCCGTCCTGAGGTGACATGTACCCAGTCAATGTGGGGATAGTTGAAATCCCCCATTATTATTATTTTTTTTATTTTAGAAGCCTCTCTAATCTCCCTGAACATTTTACAGTCACTATCACCATCCTGGTCAGGTGGTCGGTAATATATCCCTACTGCTATATTCTTATTATTCAAGCATGGAATTACTATCCATAGAGATTCTATGGTATAGTTTGGTTCATTTCAGATTTTTACTTCATTTGATTCTAAGCTTTCTTTCACATATAGTGTCACTCCCTCACCAGCATGACCTGTTCTATTTTGTATCCTGGTATTACTGTGTCCCATTGATTATCCTCATTCCACCAAGTTTCTGTGATGCCTATATCAATATCCTCATTTAATATGAGGCACTGTAGTTCACCCATTTTATTATTTAGACTTCTATCATTGGTATATAAGCGCTTTAAAAACTTGTCACTTTTTAGCTGTCTCCCATTACATGATGTAATTGCATGAGACATTTTTCATTTGACTGTTTCTTATCAGATCCTACCTGTATTTTATCATCTTCCATCCTCTCCTCCTTCTTAGGACACAGAGAATTTCCATTAATAGATCCTCCCCCGTTTAAATGTATATGGTTTGTTCCTGCTATACTAAAGAAAAGCATACCTGGATTTGAAAGGAAAGATGTTTCCTTAGTGGTATAGCCAACAACTCCGATTTTTTCTGAACCAACCTGTAGTATTTTATAAGGCTGAAAATATCCAGTGATCCTGGATGCTACTGATTTGCTTGCCTGAATGTTTGCACTCAGAATTGAAAAATTAACATTTTTAAGTAGTGGATCCAATAATCCATCCAGACCATTATCAAACTCATGGTTCCCCAAAGCCTACGAAAAACAAAAAGGAAAATTATTAGACACTACCCCCAAATAATAACTATAAGTGCTCTCTCAGAAATTACATACTGGGCATTTCTGACAGTACAAAGTTTTATTCTAGAAAAGCACATTCCTACCATTTTCCAAACAATATTCTATTGTTTTGCACTAACACAATCATATTATATTCATTTTTAATACTTTTTCTTCTGCCTCCGAATCTCCCTTACACCTATTCCAGCTCTGATGCTAGCTTCTGGTACCAAGGAGATGCACCAACCCTGCAGCTATTCAGTGCTGTGTGTGGAGGTATGAACGTCAAATTTAAAACTAGTATAAAACATGACACAAGAGTGTGCGCTGATGAATATTATTGGACTAGAAGGTGAGCAACCTGGTTTTGTTAACTGCTAATCTTGTTCATATGTAAGAAATTAGCAGTTAAAACAACCAGGCTGACATTTTCAGTAAACAAACTACTATGGTTGTTTACCATACTGACAGCCACATTTTGGTAAACTTTCATTTTATTCTAACATATTATAACCCCAATAATAGCTAACATGAAAACACACTATTGTATTTGTGGCAGATATGGAAATTTCCTGCAATATCCTTGGCAAACCTTATCCAAAGAAACTTAATTCAGTAGGATTTAACTTAAGTGTTTTAGGAGTTCATTGTATTATTATTAAATATCATTACATTATTAAAAATGCAAACGTGTTATTGTAAGATTGTATGCAGCAACTCTGGTGCAGCGGGGGAAGGGGAAAAACATGCCTAATATCTCTCCGGGAAGTGTTATGAGCTTCAAAGAACAAATGTCCCAGACAAAAATGAACTTTTAAAGTTAATTGAGTTTCCCAGGAAATATCTAATGGGAGGTATATGCAAATGTCCCTTTCCCTGTTATGCAAGAACTCAGCCTTTTGAAGCTTCACCCTGAGGAGGGGACTTTTGTCTGCTGGTCACCTGTTACATGAGTACAAGATCAGAGGCCCATAAAGGAGTGACTCACTGATTCATGGCAGTTCTTGCTCTGAATGTAAGATGAAGACAGAAACCCCCCCGGTGGGGTTTAAAGACTGATCACCTGCCAGACCCCTTCTTGGAGCTGGGGTGATTTCTGAGAAGCTTATTAACGTGTGTTAGGCTTGGTTATTGTTTTAATATGTTTTCTCTGCAATGCTTTCAGCATAAGAATAAACGTGCTTGCTTAGAAAGGGCTGTGTGATAACTTACAGAGGAGGCCAGTTATGCCTCTGAGGAGAAAGCAAAGCAGGGCTGTTGAGGCAGTTTGACTTTCTGGGGCACTCACAGTGTAGGCAGGGAACTATGCAGCCAGGAAAAGCCCCCCGTCAGGACAGGAGGCAGAGAGACATAGGTCTCTGTCCAAGAGAGGTGACGGCTGGGAATCGACAGCCTAAGAGTAGGTGCCCTTGCAGGATTATCGAGGGGGAATCCGGATGCAGTTGCCCTAAACTGTGACAGTAGCCAGCAGCATATTTGTATGTTATCACTTATTTATATTATATCACCTATTATTACAAGAATTAAATGATATCCCTAAACTCTTGCCATCTGTGAAAAAGAAAACTGCACCAAAACCAAGCTGAAATAATGTCATTGACTTCAATGAGGCCATGATTTCACCCTCAGTGTTAACATGGGAAGTGGGTACCAATGATCAACGAATACCGTATGTATATCCTCTACTGAGTTGAAGAGTCCTTCTGTATCCTGAAGAAAGCTGTGCCAGGATTCTACAAATTTAGGGCAAGCTTTTGTTGCTGAGACAGATCAGTCTTATGCAGAAAGGAACTAAAATCACTTCACATTCTCATTGCATCATCCTGCTTTTCAAAAAGAAATAAGGAACATATCTATATTGGCGAGTACCAGGATAGGTGTAAATAAATAAAATAAATAAATATCAGATTTTTTTTTATTTAAAATCAGATTTTTAAAATACAAATTAAATACATTTTTCTTTTTTTAAATAAACCCATTTAAAGGGGAAATTCTGACCGTCACATTCCAGGGCAACTGCACCCGCATTCCCCCTCCATGGTCCATCAAGGGCACTCACTCTAGGCTCCCGGCTCCTCATCCATTACTTCTCTTGGGCAGAAACCTCTCTCTCTCCCCCTCCTGACCAGAGATTTTCCAGGCTGCACAATTGCCTGCCTAAACTGTAATATTCTCAGCAAGACAAACTGCCTAAACAGGTCTGCACCTGCACTTGGTTGTCTTTTTGAAGGCTACGCACAGCTTTAATTGACAGCAGTTACAACACCACTCTAAGCAAGCACATTTATTCTTAAGGTGAAAGCATTACAGTGAAAACATAAAAACCTCACACATGCTAAAAAGCTTACCAGCAGTTACCCTGGCCCAACTCCAAACTTGGGTTCTCATAGGAGTCAGTCCTTTAAAACCCACAACTGGGTTTTTCTGCATGGTTACAAGTTCATAGTTATGTCAGATTCAGAAACAGAACAAACATGAATAGGTCAGCCTTCCCTTGATACAGCTTGGGCCTTTGATCTTACCAGGTGATCACCAGACAAAGGCCTCTGCTCAGGGCGCAGCTTCCAGAGGCTGGGTTTTTGCAAAACCAGAGATGGGAAATTTGCATTAACCTCTCCTCAGATACTTCACATATATTGTCCCAAAAGTCCACTCTTTTCTTGCACATTGTTCAATATAGATCTTTGATCATCCAGGCCTTATAATATCAGGATATTGTAAGTTGTTGTGACAAGGCAATTTCTTACATTAAGGCCTAAACTTACTATACCCTATTACAATCATTTAAATTAAACACAAAATAATATTAAGCAGTACAAACAGTACAACTGTTTGAAGTTGTAGAGAAAGTCAAACCACTGAACTGCTGGAAGTCACAGGCTAAGCACCTGGAACCAGAATGTGTTGCAGTGCTAAACCAGCATTTGACTGCAGTAGCCTCTTTGGCAGTTGCAGAGAATATATTTTCTTCATTGCAGTTGATTCAGTTCAATGACTAGTTCATGCAAAGTTACAAAATGGATTAGGAGTTCAAAATGCAGGAAAGCTTGTTTTCCTCTTCCAATCTATGAATAAAAATGAGGTGTGATGAGGGCTTATCTACGTTACCCGCTGGATTGATGGGCAGCGATCTATCCAGCGGGCGTCGATTTATTGCGTCTAGTCTAGATGCAATAAATTGACCGCCAAGTGCTCTCCCATCAACTCAGGTACTCCACCAGAGCAAGAGGCAAAGGCAGAGTCGACGGGGGAGCATCAGCAGTCAACTCACCACAGTAAAGACACCGCAGTGAGTAGATCTAAGTACATCGACTTCAGCTACGTTATTCACTTAGCTGAAGTTGTGTAACTTAGATCGACCCACCCCCACCAGTGTAGACCAGACCTGAGAATGAGAGTTACAAGTTCTACAATCTTGAAAGACACGGTAACCAGAAACAAATCACGACCTATAGCTAATACTTCCTTTATTTAATATATCAGTTAGTTTTAAATGCAAAACATGTTTTTAAAAACATTTTTTCTCATGTATCCAGCACATTTAAGATAGTTTTATTTAATTAATACAAAATTAAAATGCAAATACAGCACACTATCGTGTTAAATGTAAACTACTAAAAAATAAAGGGAAAGTTTAAAAAAAGATTTGACCAGATAAGGAAACTGTTTCTATGCTTGTTTCATTTAAATTAAGATGCTTAAAAGCAGCATTTTTCTTCTGCATAGTAAAGTTTCAAAGCTATATTAAGTCAAGGGTCACCTGTAAACTTTTGAAAGAAGAACCATAGTGTTTTGTTCAGAGTTAGGAACATTTCAGAGTTAGGAACAACCTCCCTTCCGCAGGTGTTCCTAACTCTGAGGTTCTACTGTGGTACCTCCCCTACCTTGTCTCGCCAACATTAGAGTGACCAGGCTTTCAGATCAAGGCAAATATTGCCTCGCCTTTTGCCACAGGATCACAACACACTTTACTGCTTCACCAGGCCAACCCCAGGGTTCAGCTAGGAGCTCTGCCTGCCCCTGTCTCCCAGGGGCCCCGGTGGTTCCTACTGAGCACCAGCCACTGCCCAGCAACCTGCGCACCGGGCGAAGCGCTGCGGCGCCGCGAGCTTTAGAGGGTCAAGTTCAAAACACATGGGGCCTATTTCCCTGCAGCTACCCCCCTCCCCTCCCTGCGCCCTTCCCTGGCACCAGCCCCCTGCATCCTCCCTCTCCGGCCGCCCCCCGGCCCGGCAGCCCCCCGATCATGCACCACTTATGCGCACACACCTCCGCTCCCGTAGCCCCAAGTTGCCCTGGAGCCGCCCGCCCTTGCCTGAGCCCGTGGCCCCCCGCGAGGCGCCTGCCCCTTACCATAGCGTCGTAGCCCAGGAAGTTCATGAAGCGGGCCGCTTCCCGCCCCTTGAAGTAGCTGAACCACACGGTGCCCTGGTACTGGTCGCCGGCGTCCAGGAGCAGCACGTTGGGGTGGGTGGCTCGGATCTCCCGGATCTTCGTGTACCTCCGCGCCACCCCGCCGTAGCAATCCGGGGGCCCGCCGCCGGAGCGGGTCTGGCACTTGCCGGAGTCGCGGCTGGTCTGCTCCACCCGCGCGTGGACGTCGTTGGTGTGGAGGATGGTGAGCTGGAAGGCGGCCCGGGCGGCGTGCGCCAGGCACAGCAGGGCGGCCAGCCCCAGCCAGGGGCCGAGCGCCCCGCGCAGCCTCCCCATGCCTGCCCCGCGCGCGGCTGCTGCGGCTCAAAACGGGGCCCCCTCGGGGTGGTAGCTGCGAGGAAGATCCATGGCAGGTGCTGGGGTTGACGGCTCCACCACCCTCCCCACAGGGGTTGAGTGTGGGCGGTTAAAATAATCCTCTGTGCTCCTGCAGCTGCGGAAGTGAGGGCAGGGGTGGGGAGAGATTCAGGATGTCCCCAGAGTGCCCTCTCCGAGGTAGTAAAGTTACACACAATGTTCCTTCCCCTGCCTCCTGCCTCCCTCGAAACGGGGCGAGTCCGGGCTGCTGAGGAATTGTGTGGAAATCGCGCCGTGCCCTGCAACCGCCGGAGGCCGGGCTGGGCAATGTACTATGTAGTCCCGTCAACAGGACGTGATTCAGGCAGCGGGGCGGCTTGGCCAGCAGAGTGTTTGGGTTGGAGATCACTGGCTATTTGCAAGAACTGTAGTGGTTGGCTGCTCCTCCTAGAACACCTGCAATCCCCGCCCACTTCCTCAACAGGGTGACAGGTTTCAGAGGGGTAGCCCTGTTAGTCTGGATCAGGAAAAACAATGAGGAGTCCTTGTGGCATCTTAGAGACTACCACATTTATTTGGGCATAAGCTTTCCTGGGCTAGAACTCTAGAGTGGCAAGTATAAATACCCAGCACATGAAAGGATGGGACGCACTTGGTAAGGCAAATCCCATCCTTTCATGTGCTGTGTATTTATACCTGCTACTGTGTTTTCCACCCCATACATCAGATGAAGTGGGTTCTAGCCCATGAAAGCTTAGGCCCAAATAAATTTGTTAGCCTCTACGGTGCCACAAGGAGTCCGCGTTGTTTTTGTCAACATGTTTAACTTGTAAGCAGGTGGGCAAGAGTTCTCCCTGGGGCTGCATCAATTTGCCTAAATCCCTCATGAAAATACAGCCACAGCTCAGGTGGGGATGGACTGGTCCTCAGCAATCCCCTGAGAGGAAAACTCCGCCAAGAACTGTCCCGTTCTCACAAGAAGCCTCAGTGTGTCTTTAATGTGCAGGCAGAGCACGCAAGACCTGTTTTTAAGGTATTTTTCCCCAATGACCCCATAATACTCTGGCTGTCAACTCGGGCTGTCAGCATGATTTACACACAATCTCTCAGCAGCCCGGACTCGCCCCGTTTCGAGGGAGGCAGGAGGCAGGGGAAGGAACATTGTGTGTAACTTTACCTCGGAGAGGGCACTCTTGGGACATCCTATATCTCTCCCCACCCCTGCCCTCACTTCAGCAGCTGCAGGAGCACAACTTGGGGCTGGGGTGGGCTCCAGTTGTGAGCCCCGCAGGGCTGACAGCTTGGGGCAGGGGGTTTGGTAGCTGGCGGCTGGCAGGGGGCTCCAACTGTCAGTGCCCCACAATGTCCAACACAGGTAAGTCAGTGGAAGCACTCCTGGTGAGGATGAGCACTGCTGACAGAGGGAGCATAGTGTGGACATGAAACATTGCTTTAATTACTGCTCCGACTCTACGGCCCCTTAAGTTGACTTAATTTTGTCGGGTAGGGCAAGTCTATACACTTCATAATTGCTTAAAATGAAGGTGCCATTTCAACCTTAAATAGTGTCAACAGTACAATGGTCTATTTAATGATAGCTTTAGTGATCTTATTGTAGTTTAACTAGATTTCACATACTGATTTAAAAATAACACTTTCTGTTCTGTGGTGGGATGCTAAATTTATAGCTGAGGCTTGAGTATATATAGTGAGGTAGAAAACAACAGAGGGTTTGAAATGATAAACAACTTTAGAGGATAGATTTAAGTTGCAAGTGACAGCTGGGATGAAAATTATAATAAAGCTTCCTTGTAGTTGGTGGATGTAGCTCCACATGTTTTATACTTATCACACATCCAAATTACCAGAGATCAAAGAAAGACTATTTGGTAGTTTTTGTGTAAGTACTGTAACTATTGTATGTCAAAGCATTTCTTCACACAATCTGATTTTGCAAGTCGTTTCTTTCATAAATATAAAGGGAAGGGTAAACCCCTTTTAAAATCCCTCCTGGCCAGAGGAAAAATCCTCTCACCTGTAAAGGGTTAAGAAGCTAAAGGTAACCTCGCTGGCATCTGACCAAAATGACCAACGAGGAGACAAGATACTTTCAAAAGCTGGGAGGAGGGAGAGAAAGAAAGGGTCTGTGTCTGTCTATATGCTGCTTTTGCTGGGGATAGACCAGAAATGGAGTCTTAGAACTTTAGTAAGTAATCTAGCTAGGTATGTGTTAGATTATGATTTCTTTAAATGGCTGAGAAAAGAATTGTGCTGAATAGAATGACTATTTCTGTCTGTGTTTCTTTTTTGTAACTTAAGGTTTTGCCTAGAGGGATTCTCTATGTTTTGAATCTAATTACCCTGTAAGGTATCTACCATCCTGATTTTACAGGGGTGATTCCTTTACTTCTATTTCTATTAAAAGTCTTCTTGTAAGAAAACTGAATGCTTTTTCATTGTTCTCAGATCTAAGGGTTTGGGTCTGTGGTCACCTATGCAAATTGGTGAGGATTTTTACCAAACCTTTCCCAGGAAGTAGGGTGCAAGGGTTGGGAGGATTTTGGGGGGTAAGACATGTCCAAACTATGATTCCCAGTAAACTCAGTTAGAGTTTGGTGGTGGCAGTGGATATTCCAAGGACAAAGGATAAAATTAATTTGTACCTTGGGGAAGTTTTAACCTAAGCTGGTAAAAGTAAGCTTAGGAGGTTTTCATGCAGGTCCCCACATCTGTACCCTAGAGTTCAGAGTGGGGGAGGAACCTTGACAGTTTCCTTGCTTTGTCTCCACATCACTCTTGAAAACAAAAATTTGTAACTGGAAAAAATGATACTTTATCCCAAGGTTGGGTAAGGCTGTTTAAATTGCTGTCTTTTTCTTGTTGGGATGATGTCAGGCCCTTGTCTCCTTGGAATCTGAAGTTGCTGAGATGGAATTTGAACTCAGTTTGGTCTATGTCTCCTCCCCTCCCACCCCCCCCCCCAGCTTACTGAAAAGTAAATGAAGTTTCTTATTCTTCTGCACTGTTATGTCCTGTGTGTAGTTTTTGAACATTGACGGTAGTATCTATCCAAGTTGGAATTTAGATGATGGGGATTTCTACAGGCATCAAAGAATCCTGCTATAAAGTGAAGTGATCTGTGACTACCAGAACAGCATGAAAAGCTATCTAATTTCATCTACTTCTCAGCTGTTCGGGTGTCTCTTTCCTCAGACCTGGTCTTCACTACAAAGTTAGGTTGATGTACGTCACCTTTAATCAACCTGTTTGTGCTTCTGTCTACACTGAAAATTGTCTCTGACCAATGTAAACACCCTGTTATGGTTAGGGTGACCAGACGTCCCGATAAAATCAGGACTGTCCCGATATTTAGTTGTTTGTCCCGCATCCTGACTGATATACAGTCGGGACGCCATTTGTCCCAATATATTGCTTCGGTGACACTCTGGCTTTTTTTTTTTTTTTTTTTTTTTTGCTTCAGCGGCACTCTGGCTTTTTTTCTTTTTTTCTTGGGGCGGCAAAAAACCTAGAGCCAGCCCTGGTGGGGGGGTGAGCCTGTGGCTGCCCCCACAGGTGTCCCGATATTTTGTTCTTGTCATCTGGTCACCCTAGTTACGGTGATGCTGTAAAACTACCTCCCCATATGGTGCAGAGCCATGGTTGACCCACCAAGGTCAATGTAGTGCTAGTGAAGACACTTTGCAACCTTTGTTGATCCTAACAGTCCACTAGCAGCTGTTCCACAATGCCCCATTCCCTGAGACAGTGACCACTCTGATCACAATTGTGAACTCCACTGCCGAGAGCTCACAGAGATCAGAAGCCACACACCCCTTAAAATTCCCCACATATATTTGAAATGCCTTTTCCTGGTTGCTCAATTTGGCAAGCATACCTACCAGCACTCCCTCTCAAATAAAGTAAAAATATTAAATGAATCAAACTGTACCAGAGAATCTCTCTGGATAGAAATTCCTTGCTTGCACATTCAGAGTATAGAAGTAGGAAATTTACTACCGACCACCTTACCAGGATGGTGATGGTGACTGTGAAATGCTCAGAGAGATTAGAGAGGCTACAAAGGCAGAAAACAATATAGTGGAGCATTTTACCTATCCTCCTATTGACTTGGCACATATCATTTGAGGAAAGGATAGATGACTGCTTTGTAGAGCAGCTTGTCCTGGAACTCAAGGGGAAAGGCAAGAGGTGAATATAGCTGAACTGCTCCTTAATAGAAACCATAATGTAATTAAACGTAATGTCCTTGTGGGCGGAAGTGCCAAAGAAATGTTACTGTCGTGGGTTTAACATCAAAAAGGGGAACTACACACAAATGAGGAAGTTAGTTAAACAGAAAAAATAATCCCAACTATACATGCAAAAATAATGAGGTCTAAATTAGTTGTTACCACTCCAGAAAGAGATCTTTAAGTCATCATCGATAGTTCTCTGAAAACATCAGTTCAATGTGAAGCAGCAGGGCACCGTGTGGTTCAGCTACTTCAAGGGGCGGGAAGCGGCCCGCTTCATGAACTTCCTGGGCTACGACGCTATGGTAAGGGGCAGGCGCCTCGCGGGGGGCCACGGGCTCAGGCAAGGGTGGGCGGCTCCAGGGCAACTTGGGGCTACGGGAGCGGAGGTGTGTGTGCATAAGTGGTGCATGATCAGGGGGCTGCCGGGCCAGGGGGCGGCCGGAGAGGGAGGATGCAGGGGGCTGGTGCCAGGGAAGGGCGCAGGGAGGGGAGGGGGGTAGCTGCAGGGAAATAGGCCCCATGTGTTTTGAACTTGACCCTCTAAAGCTCGCGGCGCCGCAGCGCTTCGCCCGGTGCGCAGGTTGCTGGGCAGTGGCTGGTGCTCAGTAGGAACCACCGGGGCCCCTGGGAGACAGGGGCAGGCAAAGCTCCTAGCTGAACCCTGGGGTTGGCCTGGTTGACCATTAGGAAAGGTATAGGAAAAAGAGACAAAAAGTATCATAATACCATTGCATAAACCAATGGTTACTCCTGGGGGAATTCTGTGGCAAAAAATTAAAAATTCTGCACACAATATTTAAAAATTCTTCATATTTTATTTGTCAGAATAACACAGTGTAATCACACCAGTTTCAATTATTTTTGGCCATTTATTTCAAAATACCTGTCAGCAAGTATCTCTGTAACAATACAGACAACCAAAAAAATTCAGGAAATGTTTTTTGATGAATAGATTCCTTACCAGGCATATTAAAACAGAACTCTTAGTAATATCCCATTTAAACTACAGTACAGAACCATATTTCCTGCACCCCTCAGAAGCAGTGCAAAGGCTTGGGGGAGTCAGGGATAACGGAGGAGCTGAGGGAGAGAGAAGTAAATTGCTGGAAAGGAACCTGGCTGTGAAC